TTTGTAGATTTTTGTTAGTGGTCGTAGAAAAAATATACTGTATAACTCGAGTGGATTGTCCATATCTACTCTTGTTGCACAAACTACTATTTTAATTTAAAATAAGTAACAACTATGTCAAACTGTCAGTATATTTTTTAGTTATTAAGAATAAATATAAATTAAAAATGAGTGAGTCTTGTGAAGAATCGATAAATAATAGCATTGCACAAGTTATTTGTCTATATTTAAAAATAAATCGCAAAGTCGAAACTATCTAAAACCAATTTAATTATAAGTATTGATTTGTTGTGCGAAATGATTGAGGTTCAAATCCAGGATTGACGACTAATTATTTTTAAAACTTTTTTATCTTAAATAATTTATTTTACAGTGTGGCAGTACGTATATAATAATTACTTTTCTTTTAACTCTAAATTTCAAATTACTTCCCATTTAGATTAATTACACTTCTACCCCTTTCATTTTAATTTGCCTTTTAACTGTAAACACAATTCAGTTTGGACAATGATTTGGGGATAACCCCTTATCTCTATACAAGCACAAGCTTTTTTATAGGCTTTTCAATGATGTATCACAAGTAGGGGTTTGCTATTTAAACTATTTTAGTTGGGATAGGTAGGACCTAGGGGGTTGATGGGGTGAGTTCACTTTTATATTATTTTAGTTCCCCCCTTCCTATCCTAAAAACGGTTTTAAGTATTTTTTGATAACATATTTCGCTTGTAAGTTTTTAAATTGTCACACTATATATTTGCATATTTTTATATTATATATTTACACCTGTTATCTCTGATTTACGCCCACAATTATTGTAGATAAGCACTGAAGATGGCCTTATGCAGAAAGCGCTTTGCATTATTTAAATAAAAGTTTTTTTGCTAATTTGTAAAGTAGTTAAATATCTATTTAATATAGATTTGTCTATCTTTTTTTTTTTTAATATAGATCTATCTAAAAAGTCCAGTTTCTTTTCAATGTTTTTATTTATTATACCTAAATTAATTTATCACATTTTCAAGACGAATAAATTGCTTGTGCAAACGGTAGTTTTCCACGAAACCCTTCAAGTTTACTCACGAACAACTTGTCCAACATTTTTTTATTATGTAAGAAAAAAAAAATAAAAAATTGAAGACGTGTTTTGGCTAAACTTGCCACTGGGGAGCTCGGGTTAGGTAATTTAAGAGATATTTATGTTTTCTTGTGTATGAGGTTGAAATAAACGACTACTACAAATTCCATTAAATATTTAACTATATTTGCTCTCCACGAGTCACTTTTTTTCTTTTTTCTCGTTCTAAAGGTAATCGATTTGTTAAATAAACGTAAAAATAAATGTATGATGAAATTGGGTTGTTTTCTTTTCCCTTTAGAAACCCTGCAATTTTAATAAGTTATCTTTTTTAATATATATTGCGTCAGAAATGGGAAACAAGCGCAAAAACTGTTATTGTAGAAGATTAATTATTAACTGTAAAATAAAAGAATAAGAAAGTTTGGCCTCATAAAATATCCTGTAGAAAGATTTTTCCTGATTTTCGAAGCTTTTTCATCCAGAATATTCTTTGTATGAACTTGTTTGTAGAAATGCACTACCTATTAAATAAACAGGAAATACTAAAAGAAAACCTGAGCGCGAGTTTAAAGATATACCTACAATATACCGTCAATTTTCCAGCCATTTCACTTGAATAATGAAAGATTTTTAAATTGGATTCTTCCATAAACTACACTTAATAGACTTTGTAGGATTTACTTAAATATACAACATGAATAATAGTATATTACATAACATTATATATTATATACCTAACAATTTATAAGAGTGGGTCTAGAAAATAGTAAATGTAAAACAAGCGCTCACCAGTAAGTAGCATGAGCGAAGCGAGTGTTACAAAGCTCATATACATACGTGCATGAATTCTCATTTCCAGGAATTGTACACTATACTTTTTCTATTCGATTAATTTGTTATAAAAACTTTCTTGCAAGAAACAACAAATATTAAATAAATAAACATTAATTGCTATTACTGAAATAAAAAATAATTATTGAGCAGTTATTTAATACAAAATTTGGAAGGATTTTAGTTTTATTAAAAATGTTACATCGTTGAACAAAATTTTATTCGTTTTTGGAAGTGGATGGTTATAAATTAATTTTCTCTAAAGAAGTAGTAATTTTATTTGATATTTGAATTTTATTTACTTATTTACCATTCAAATCATCTATATGTGATACGTTTGTGGATTTTCAGCCCTTTTTTCGAAATATACCAATAAAAAATCTGATGTGTCCAACACATATGACTTTCCTATCTAGTTATTATAGGATTTTTCCGGTTATTTTGTACAACCTATTGCAGCACCTCTATAAATATTTAGAGGATAAACTAAATATATACATTTTCCACATACGAGTACCAGGGACCCGGAGCGAACCGTTATTAACCGAAAACCGGACCGGAACCGAAATGTTTTAGATGGACCAGAACCGAACCGATAATATATTAAAAATATTTTTTATGGACCGGACCGGACCGAACCGAAATAAAAATTAATTTTTTTTCGGTTCTTGTGTCTTTTTCATATGCTTTTTTGTTGGCTGGAATAGCTGATTCACGTGACCAGTAAGACTCACTGAGTCACTGAACACTGAACCCCATAGTTTTTATGACTGAAAGTAGCTGAATAATAAAACCACACCCCACATCGGAAAAAAGACAAATAAAGTGAAAGTAGGTAACGTCAATATTAATTCAGCTACTACAAACTACAATTAATAGACTTAGACTGTTTTTTAGGTTTGAAATACAGACAATTGATGTTGATGCTGAAGAAGAAATCATAAATGAGACAACAAAAAATGATCCAAAAGAAAATGATAAAAAGGGAATCAAAAGAAAGATGCCCCAAAATAATTTGATGAATAATTATTTTAAAAAAGTTTAAAATAAATTATTGTTTTTCATTTCAAAACTGTACGGAATATATAATTACATAATATATATTGTCTTTCTAATAGGCCTTAAATACGTTCATACTATTGGGCATTTGGCCTTTACAAGTCAATCTTATCCTGTCAGATTGTACAGGGTTATACATTATAAATTACCCACCCCTTATTATCATTATTATTGCCTTTATAGAAACAGTCACAAATAAAAGTTGAGTGGTTATAACTGTTTTTGTTAAAATGCTATCAAATGTACAGTAGCGTGCAGATTTCAGGGGATACAAATAATAAATTTTTTAAATGGGATACCCTGTATATTTTTACATTTTTATAATCCTCTCGATGAGCTGATTTCAACGATGTATCATACTTGATGTCTAATCTGGATAATAAAGGATCTACAGCCACATGAAAAATCACATTTTTTGAAATTGGAAATCTCATCTGATTTTGAGTAAAAAAAAATGTGATTTTTCAGGTGGCTGTAGATGTTTATTATCCAGATTAGACATCAAGTGTGATCCATCGTTGAAATCAGCTCGTTGAGAGGATTATAAAAAGGTAAAAATATACAAGGTATCCCCGAAAATCTGCACGCTACTGTACATTTGATAGAATTTTAACAAAAAACAGTTATAACCATGCAACTTTTATTTGAAACTTTTTTTTTCAATATGCAATAACGATAATAAGGGGTGGGTAATTTATAATGAATAACCCTGTACATACCTACTATAAAAAAATCAATCGAACCGAAATAACTAAACCGAACCGAAAAAAATTTGGTAGAACCGGACCGAACCGAAATTTTTTTTTGAGAACCGGAACCGTACCGGACCGGATTTTTTTAAATGTGATAAGAACCGGAACCGAACCGTCAATTTCATTTCGGTCCGGGTCCCTGACGAGTACATCTACCTCGAAATATTTTTCTATAGATATTCATTGAAAACGAAAATACTGAAAAATTTAAATTTAGCACTCGTCCTCCAATTTTTCCATTACGGTCCATTTTAGAAATATCATGTAAAACAAAAATTATAGAGATCGATATCGCAAACAACTTTTAGTTTAACAATTTTTTTAAAAATCAGAATTTTGCACATTTTATCAAATTTCTCGAATACGGACCATTTCAGGCAAATTTGACATAAAAATTATAGATAATAATATTAGAAGTAACTTTTATTTGAACTATTTTCTTCTCCAAACATAAATAACAGATATATTCCATAAAATATAAAAACGGCCTCCCATAAAGTACCACCCCAGATGTTCTGACTTTGTTCAAAATCTAATCAGTTCACTGCAGGCCGGAATAAAGCTTAAGTTTAAAATTTGGTGTTTTTCTTTGTATCGGTTCATGAGTTATGGTAGATACACATACACACAGACAGACACAGACTCACACACAGACAGACACACGTGCAGACACACACACACACACAGACATCATCCCGAAAATAGTCAAAACGGATTCAGGGGACCCAAAAATGTAAAAATCCGTCGAAAACTGGATTTCGAAAAAAATCATGATTCCTATACTTTCCTTATATCTGTATACAGATAGGAAAGTAAAAAAGTGTCTAAAGTTTAACGAATCTATTGGTCTTTGAGCAAATCCATGAAATTTTTGTATGTAAGTTCGTATATTTTCTTGATGTTTGTGGAAGATATTTTTGCCATTTCTGTGAGATTTGTAGATGTTAATTTTAATATTTTACTGTCATATCGCTATCCATATTTATTTTTACATAAAAATGTGTTTTTCTAGACGCTCATGATTGTGTAGGTTTTGTAAATCGCTAACCATATTTAATTACTGGTTTATGGTTTAGTATCTAATGAAACCCGTAGGAAATGAATCATTTCTGTACAGTTTTTCTGTATGAAATTAAAATCTATATAAAACGATGTACATTTTAAAATTGATGGCGATTATATTATATATTAGTATAAAAACAAATTTTCGTCTTCGGTAGATAAACACAATTCATAATATTTTACACCCTGAAATAAATTAATAAAAGTTTTTGTTTCAGTTGAACTAAATCAATAAAAATGTCATCGGTAAAAGTAGCAGTACGAGTAAGACCATTCAACAACAGAGAAATTTCAAGAGAATGCAAGTGTATCATACAGATGAGTGGCAATACCACAGGTGAATAAGCTTTGTAGTTCATGAAGCTCGCTCTTTTGTTTCGTATTATATCGATTAAACTCATCCATTGTTTATTCTTTTGCAGCCATCACGAATCCAAAAGCAGACCCGAACACAAAAGATGCTCAAAAAAGTTTTAATTTCGACTACTCATATTGGTCACATGACGTAAGTTTTACTGGTTTCTGTATAAAATTATTAAATCGGTATCTAGGTAATTTTATTGATTTGATGAAGCCGCAATATTATTCATATTAATCTTCTAATGAACGTTGACTATATTACGAAAAATGCTGGTGATAGATAATTAAATAATGTAAGGAATTTTAACTCAATGCACTTCTGCCGTTTTTTAGATTTTTAACTCTCTTCTTAAAATACGGATTTAGAAAACTTTTAAATCTGACGAATATGATCTAATAAGGTGCAACAATTCATAATTAATTCATTATTTTTTTAGTTAATCATAGGTACTTACCGATTTGACCATATTTCACTTTTACAGATTGACCACAATAGATCTACTATTTGAAATGTTATTTCTTTCATCTTAGTTACAAATTATCGAAAAAAGTCACGATTATTGTGAAATTATCACTCAAGTGCACTCATCAAATGAGGTATCCATCTTTATCGATTACTTCATATTCAAATGATTCTGTAAAATCAGCAATAACGTCAAACTCGTCATTTGTCTTTGTTTCCCATCGATTTTGCCAATCATTTCAACTGTTTGCATTTGGTGTGCCAAAACAATCGATTATAGAGAATGTTAAATGTCAAAAATAACTGCAGAAAATAGCCCAATAAAAGAATGAAGAAAAAGAAGTCGCCATCTCTAAGACTTTTCAAACTAGCTTCGTATATTTTGATGGATATTATTCCAGAAACATTTCCATTTCTTTTTATCGTTATCGAATTGATTTGAAAGCCTTTTGGTTATTATTGCAAAATATTTTAAATATTTCAAACTTTTCATTTTGTCTGCCACGTCATACTTAGATTAGATTCTACAGGACTTGAACATTTGCCCTTATAGAAACCTCAATCTAGCCAGGTTATGACACTGGTACAAGACATAGATTGATATTTCCTCTTATTCTTCTTCACAGAACCTGCACAGTGTTACTTAATTTGCTAGATTGACTCATATGTACCTTATGCAATAGTGTCTAGTAAGAAGACCTGTTGTCCTAAAGATTTCTCGCTTTTGATCCAGTAGATGTTTCGCTGATGGTTTCTTAATGAACTCTTTTTGCATCCATTGTTTGACGGACGCCTTGAACACTGCCTTAGCGATTCCACATGTCCTTTTCTGAACCTTTTCGGCCGTTTGATTGCCCTGGTGTTCTTCGAGGACTGGTACCCAAGCAAAAGTCACTTTATTTGACTACTTAGCTCTGTTAAGTCTTCTAAAAGTCTTTATCAGCTAAATTACTACCTATTAGATTGACAGGCGTTACGTTTTATGTTTGACATTATATTCTACGATACAAATTCGAAATTCGATTCTAGCAACAATTAACATAAATATTATCCTTTTTCCAGTTACACAAAACAGTAATCGCTTTAAAATCTAAAATTTCTTCCAGGAAAGTGATCCAACATTTTCCTCACAACTGTTAGTATACAAAGATATAGGCGAAGAAATGCTTCAGCACTCTTTCGATGGCTACAACGTGTGCATTTTCGCGTACGGTCAAACCGGCGCTGGAAAATCGTATACCATGATGGGCATGCAACAAGATGGCCAAGAAGGAATTATTCCGCAAGTTTGCAAAGACTTATTTGACCGAATACGTAATAATAGTTCGCCGGACCTTAAATACTCCGTAGAAGTTAGTTATATGGAAATATATTGCGAGAGAGTGAGAGATCTACTGAATCCTAAAAATAAAGGTGAGAAAATTGCTGTAGAATACTGTAAAATTAGTATCAACTGGAAGTTCTGAACTATTTTTGACTGCTTGAAATTGATGGAAAATTAATGTCTTATTGAAATCCGAAATCTAAACTCTCATATCTCTTAAATTAATTAAAAATGATAAATGTTTTTTAAAAAATAAAGTATAAATATGTGTTTCAGGTAACCTAAGAGTGAGAGAACATCCTCTGCTAGGTCCATACGTAGAGGATCTAAGCAAATTGGCTGTGACTAGTTACCAGGATATTCACGATCTTATCGATGAAGGTAACAAAGCCAGAACTGTGGCTGCCACTAATATGAACGAAACTAGTTCAAGATCCCATGCCGTGTTTACAATTTTTTTCACCCAACAAAGGTAAGTTTCGTGCATGTAAACTATAAATTGATTAAACATAATTTTTAAGGCGAATTTTTCAATATAAATAGAGAAATTGGATAATTATTGAATATCCTTGCCCTATAAAAGTGTAAACAACGATTATCAATTTAATTTTAAATATGGGTCATGGTTAACATTATCCGTTCTGACTGATCATGTATAAAAAATATATTTGGAATTCTAGCAGTTTATTCATGAATATTTAAGTTTCTCATTAAGGCAAGTCTACTGTTAATACTAATTTAAAAAAACAACATTCATCTAAAATTAATAGAAAATGAGTAAAAAATAATTGATATATCGATAAATATACAAATCAGTGATGATTTATTTATAATAATATTAATAAGCTGCCTACAATTCACACCATTTGGAGTAAACCATGGTAATCAGAGGGTAATGGGGGAGGTTTAGGGAGTAATTTGATTGGTATTTAAGGAAGTCGGTCGCGAACACGTTTTATAACACTGTAGGCCAACGTCCTGTTGAGGCCAACGTCCTAAATAGCTCTAGTTGTTTGTTGTTAAAAGACGGCTGGACAGAACTCTAACTTAAATCGGAACTGGAGGTATGACACTCGTCGTATATTTTTGATCCATTTGCCTTCCATTTGAGAGAGATTTCGGTGGTCCATTTTATTTTTATATAAATTGGTAGATGATAATTGTTTTTTGAAACACATTTTACCTTGTGAACACAGGATGGTCCAGTTATATGGTTAGGATTTCACCAGCTGATAGATTATCGAAAAATAAAGGTACTTTTCCCAATCAACTATGATCCAATTTTGCTTCTTTTTTATGTACTGGGTTCAGGTAATCGGAGAAGTGCAAAATTGTTCATTTGAATTTTTTCCTCAAAAACAAAGTAACATATGAAAAAAATTAAAAGACTAAAAAGTTATATTTTTAATTAGTTTCTTTAAAAAATTAGAAAAATTCAATCGAAAATTAATCGAGGTTCCCTGTGAGTCCACGCCTCTGAAATTACTGAATCAACTGTAACATGTCACCTCCTAAAGTTGTCAACAAACTGAAAATTCGATTAAAATCGGTCTAATCCTTTTTTAGATATTAATAAAAAACTATTTTTTAAATCTTTAACAAAATTGGATTGTTTTATCGGACAAACTACCTTTATTTTTCGATTTATAAACCGATTCAAATTAATGAACACTTGCCAGGCAATATGGTCGCTTGCAAACGACCCGCTTTGAGTAATCTATATAACTATATACGTAACATTGGCCCTGTCAATGACAACAGGTCCACAGAGTTGCCATATCTAAACTATCAGTTCCCACTGGCAGCATTTTGACAGGTCGTTGGAATGCCTAATTAGGCATTCCAACGACCTGTCAAACAATAGGTGCCAGTGGGAAATTCTTGTATATTTAAGGGGGTAGCGACATAGTCTTGCAACTTGGACGCTATTTTTATTCGAAGTAGTACTCGCCAAGCCTGCCAATTTATGAAGAAATGTATAGGTGGGTTTTTTAAATATTATTTTTATCGTGTTTGACATAAAATATTTAAATGTAATCCATTATTCATGATTTTACGTAAAGTAGATAGAATACACCATATGTCGCCACCCTTAGATATACCAAACCTGCCCACTGGTAATTCATTTGTTTGGAATGCCTAATAGGCCTTTTCATCATGTGGTGAGCGCAAGCGCAGCCACCATGTTGAAATAGCGGTAATTCAAATATTTCGTACTGTTTTGATTGACAATGGCTGGGAAAGCAATATTATCCCTACAGACAAATCAATCATTAGAAAAAATGGTGATTAACTTTTTTATAACTTTGTGATTGAGAGGTTAGGTGTATCAATAGTTCTTAACTGAGTAAAAAATTTATGAAAACGCATAATAATTATAACTCTATTCTAATTAATAATGCCAACCAACTATTAGTACTTGCAAAAACACTTTAATTAACATGAAAGGTAATCACGAGTATAAAGAATACAATACATTATTTACTATTTTGAGGATCAACAAGACATTTTTAATCATATTACTGTGTATACCGAGGTAGTATTTAAAATTAAAAAAATATTGTGTAATACCAGATAATGTTCTTCTGTTGGACCACTTTCTCCATGAAAATGTAGTAAACAAGTTTATATAAGTATCTTTAGTAACATCATCAATCGATCGATAACCGTTGTCACTTCGACCACATTTTTTCACACCTAATGCACATTTTACGCATTTTGAACATGTTTTAATATGGATTTTGCCTGATAATTTGATAATTTTTTACGATATTGCAGCCAAGGCTTTGGAAAATTTATAAAGTAATACAAATTGCCTTTGAATGATTTATACCGTGTGTCACTTTTACAAACTAATATAATATAATAATACTCTCCCTAATTCACCCCCTTACGAGTGAATTTCAACCCCTGAAGTCGACTGAACGACTTGTGTAGGGGAAGGGACGGCTATTATTATTTACGGTGGCGCTCCGGGGCGACTTAAAGATGATTGATGGTGCCATTTGACTTACAGGTGAGGAAAACCCTCACCCACCATCATCGAGACGGTAATGCATAGCGATTTTTTAATCTGCATGTCATATCAACAGAAATTGAATTTCTATTAATACGGCACACATCAAATCCTAAACCGAACCATGCAATTTAATTAAAAATCCACATGGTCTGGTCTGTGATTCGAAGCCCAGCAGTCTCAGACTCATAAACTTGCCTATACATGAATATAAGCGCGTTAGACCGCTACACTACCGACCCGATACTCCATAACAACACCGTTTCGTTGGTTCTTTCTGTACAGATAACATAATTATTAGGCATTCCAACGACCTGTCAAACTGCTAACAAGTGGGAACTGACATTTAGATATGGCAACCCTGTGAGCCTGTTGTCATTGACATGGCAATGATACATATATAGTTATATAGATTGCTAAATGCGGGTCGTTTACGAGCGGCCATATTGCCTCGCAAGTGCTCATTAATCAGAATTGATTTTGCAAAAATGTGTTTACAAACCAATATTTAGCCTTTGAATATAGTAAAAAAATAATTACCTACATTTTTACTTCAAGGCTTATGTTTATTTTGAAAAATATGGATGATCAATCTATGTAACTATCTATTTCAATGACCTTGTCAAATCACCAGGCCTACAGGATTGCCATAATTTTGCCATATCATAACCTGCGAAAACCCACTGGTAGCCATTTTATTTGGAATGCCTAATTTTAATGATCGCAAAAATGTATTTTTCAATTAAGACACTAAACTTATTATTACTGTGCTTTTTCCTCCTTTTTTTAAATGAATATACTTAAATTAATATTTATCGATTATAATTTTTTTCACGTGGGCATTTTAACATGCTTGTTTACAAAAACAGTACGAAAAAGATGGCTGATATGGAGGCATGCGCACAAAAAAAATTTGTGATGAAAATGCCTATTGTTTTTGGATTCCAAACATTAACAACTAATAATTTTTTCATGAAATAAAACATCTTGACAAACCCCCCTACTTTTTGAAGAATGTCTTATCCTAACTATTAAGAGCAACGCCCTGTAAAAAGTAGGTTTCCACACTTTATTCAAAATAATTCGGAAGGATTAAAATATAACTATATTAAATATAAAAAAAATAAACTATCTTTGTTTTTAGAAACTTACTTTGTGATAAACTACTAATTTGAAATTGTTACGCCACTGATTTAAATTCTCGCCATCAAATATAAAAATGACGCTTACAGCTACTTTTTACCATTGAAACATAGTGTAAATCGCAATAGAGCTAAGTCCATTCTCCTAACTTTTCAAAGAAAGATACAATAGCTTTTTATGCAACCAGTTACAAAATGCCTTAATTTATGTAACGATTGAATATTTGCGGGATGGGCAGAGCGAGGTCCCGCAACATAAACGGCATTTCGTAACGTTTTACACAATATTTTTTCTAATTTTGACTAGATTATTTTTATTAATTATTTTCTGCTGTTTTAGAATGAAAAACAAGAACCAAAACAACATTATTACTAGGTTATAAGTTAACTCAAATTATATTTTTATAAGTCAACCTACTCTTCTTTGATATAAACTTTCAATAATAATGTATATAATAATTTTAAATTCAAAAAAAGCTTTATTCTTTTCGCAACTGGTAACATAATGAATTTTTCGTAACCAGTTTTATAATGTATGTCAAAATTAGAAATAGGTCTTTTTAGAGTAACTATTTCTGTATATCACCCCTGAAAGTAAATAAAGAGCGAGATAAAATAAGTTTGCCATATTTACATTTTTAATTAAAGTTCAATTGAAAGTTTTACATTCCCTTTTTCAGACTCGACGAAACAACTCAGCTAACTACAGAAAAAGTATCTAAAATCTCGCTGGTTGATCTAGCGGGTTCCGAAAGGGCAGACTCGACGGGAGCCAAAGGCACGAGATTAAAGGAAGGCGCGAATATTAACAAGAGTTTGACTACACTCGGAAAAGTTATATCAGCTTTAGCGGAGATTGTAAGTTTAATTAACAAAACAAATAAATCAATTATCCAACTAAACTAACATTATTTTACTTTTTCTTGTTTTATTTCAAACGTGAAGTCGGTAAGTTTTCAATATATTCATTATTTTATAATTCAAATTTTTAGTGGCTAAAGCTGCCTTTAATAGAAATGTCAAATAATGAGTATTATGTTACGAGTATTAAATGGCACTTTATTGGAAAAAAAATTAAATAAAAGGTTATATCGTTCACCAAACCGATTTTAAAACCTCGACGTACTGTTTCAGCAATTAAAATAGCATCATCAGGATGTCAGACTATTGCAGTGAGTCAAAAATATTGATAATTTTTCTTTGCATATTATCAAGGACGAAATGTGAACCGCTCCCGAAATACTAGTACATAATGTCTTTCACTCAAAAACACCGTAGTCGCTACAAATTCTTTCGAAATTCCGAAATCACGGAAATTCCGAAATGTTACAAAAATCACTCGAAGTCAATTTTTCGCGACGAAATATAAACGCAGCAGGTGGTGGATCTCAAAAAACAAGTGAAGAGTAAAAAAAGATCGATAAGAAAAGTCGACCAAAAGAAGTCGATCAAAAAAAGAGGGTAGATCAAGAAAACAATTGACCAAAAAAAGGTCTCCGGAGAAAACTTCGAGAAGGTACAATAATAATGATCATTCATTGGAAATTATACAGGTATATAATTATTTCACCGAAATCGTAAAAATATATTGAAGATTGTGGAGTAATATTGGCGTAATCGCCGAAATCATAAAAATTTTTGGTAATTTCCGAAATACGTGTGTGTATTTGACTTTAGTGGTTTGTCGGTCAAGGGTAACATGATACGATTTTGATGGACAATTTTTACTTTCCTCAGTATATGAGTGTTGTAGAAATTAACGATAACAGATCCTAAATAAGTTTTTAAAAATTCTCAATACTCTTTAAAATAATCGTATTTAATCAAAAAAGTCCTTCTTGGATGAAAATATTTTAAAACGTCCTGAACCATTTTAAAAGCAGCTAATCATTACCGTTCAATACTGGTGAATGAGACGAAAAACACCGTTCGGACGCGATGTGAGAGTTCGGGTGGGATCAAGAGGAAGATCGATGAAGAGAGGAAGGTGAAAATGGGATTTTGGGTTGGTGGTTCTAATTTTAAATTTATATATCGAAAGAAATTCTGGATAAAAAAACTTTACCGATTTTTTTAAATGTAACGAATGTCAGTCCCAACGACGATAATACAAGTGCCAAGCATGAGTTATTGATATTTTAGCGTAACACGAAATTATATTAAGAAGAAGAACGTAACAAGTATGATAACAATCATATGACAATTATCATAACTGACAGCCATAGTAATCGATGTACTACAACGAAAATTTCACACCAAAAATTTTCTTTTGCTCTTATTTTGATATAATGTCATGACAACCACATCGATTTCCGGATTTAAAGAATTTTTTGGCGAATCGCGCGTTTAATGTAATCATCTAAAATTATTATTTGTTTACATCGCCGTTTTTCTTTATTTATATTTCATCCTGCTTTTTAATTTTCTACACTCACTTTTTTTAATGCTCGATTAACCCTACTGTTTGAAACTTTCGTTAATTTCCCGCAAAGTTTTACTTCATCCACTGTATAATCTGAAAAATTTCCGCTTTCAAAAAATAATACCGTTTCGCACAAGGGTTTCTACAGCTAGTTAACTACTGATTCATTTTAAATGATGTTTTAACAATTTCAAAAGAAAAATAATAAATAAAATAGTTTACCGGAATTATATATTATATTTACCCAATTCTCTCCGACGCTCATGAACAGAAACCAAACAATTAACGAACTGAACTCACAAGTGATTATTGCGTATGCAAATGAAATAAATTTCTCACGGAATTAGTCGATACAATTAATTGTATCGTCATTTGTAGGAGACTGTATCTCGGAAACGCCTTAGCCGATTTTTAAAAACGAAAAAAATTCTGAAAGTTCGTTATTTCTTGTATTAATGGCTTAAACTTAGTTTTCAGTGTTACAAGGTGTGAAAGACTACAATATGAAAATGTAAAATTTTAACTGTCTGCACTTGTTGCAATAGTAATTCCAGAACTTTCATCCTAATCACATTTATTGTGGTGTGGAAAATGGCTGAATCTGATTGGCCATGAGCAAATTCAAATTTATTTTCGCGACTTGTTTTCGATCTGCTGATCCTCAAATTCGTAAAAACCACGCCTTCCCACCACAATACGTCACCGTGATGTAGCAATCGGCGTAATATCATTCTTTTTATTATAGTATCATGGGTACATGATTTGTATCGTAACATTATAATTTTCGCACGTATTGAAATAGACCTATACTAGATAACATAGTCTGCCTCTTCTTTTTAATATTTGGTTATTCCACGTTTTGAGGGTCTACCTCTTCTGTTTTCTATCGTCTTAGCTTTTCATACTCTTTTTGTCAGTCTGACTTTTTCCAATTCATTGAGATGTCCTAACCATCACTATTTTCTTTCATACTCCTGAGAACTATGGAAAATGTGTGTATATATGCCGAAACTAGTGAAAAGTGAAGACAGGAATAAATTTCTGACTACCATTGGGTTAATCTAAACCATTACCTTTGCTACATCCTGCCAACATTCTAACCTCTAGCTAGATCAACAGTAATGTATACATACATCATAAACACTACTACTGTTATTTTTTTGCAAAGGGTAATGTAGTAAACGCAATTACAGAAATAACTAGAATATTCCCGATCTGCATGTGGAGGTAAGTGTTAGGATTTCTTGAGGTTACTGAACAGCGGTTGGTAATTTACCCTCTAATTGGTTTTTAGAGCATTTTGGAAGTGAGAGTTTGTACTGTAGACGGTGCTAGAGACTTAATTTGGAGGGAGTCTGCATTTTCTGATAATTCGTCTGGGAGCTGGAAGCAGGTGTAAAAAATTAATTATTAAAACTTTGCAGTAGCCTGACTCCTGTACATATTAACTTATGTTAACTATATTTTACGTTTCGGTCACATTTAAGTTTATAATTATTTTTATTAATTTACATGTCGAGGTCCTAAAAGTCGGTCGAGTAAATGACTAAACTTTTATTTATTATTATATAATACTTAATAAAAATCTGTTATAGGCAACGAAGAGCAAGAAATCTAAAAAGGCTGACTTTATACCGTACCGAGATTCGGTTTTAACATGGTTGTTAAGAGAAAATTTGGGTGGCAACAGTAAAACCGCTATGATAGCTGCCATTTCTCCTGCTGACATAAACTATGACGAGACTCTGTCCACTTTAAGGTAAGCATTTTTTAGTGCAATTATTTCGTATTTATCAGGGAGGTACTGAGTAAATGGAAAAATAAAATTTCTTCTTATCTGCACCAAATATACTGGAATAACTAAATATAGGACAACGCACATTATTTTAATTATTGTATTCTACTGTTTAAAAAAAACATTACTATAATATGAGCAAAAACACAATGTAATGAACTCTTACCCAACGAGGGCCACAAGACAGGACTTCAAAATCAAAATTTTCAAGAGATGGAAACAACGATTCACAAGTGCATAGAATAATCCATTTTACTCTATAATAGGATTAATATTTACCCATGTTATGTTCAAAAATTGTAATACTTCCCCTATACAGTAGATGGAGCGAAATGTTTTAAATGAAATTATCATAAAATATAATTTTTAGTGAAAATGCTACTTACGAGGTCGGGCGTTGTGGCCCTCGACCAAGAAAAATATGTCATTCATCGTGCCCTCGACAAACAAATGTCAAAATTTCATACTAATATGGCTAAAGTTACTTATACTTCCCTGGTACTTTTCGTTCTTGTAACAGTTAAATCACGGTTGATATGAAAATTTATGTTGCTCAAATCTAATTTAGTGGACTTAATTTCCGTTCATTATGTTAAACGATATTGATTTTATTTTATAAGTGTGTGGGAGTGGAAAAGGGATTGGTTTGAGGTTTATATAGCATATATGTCCAAGTAGATTCTTACACAATGTATATATGTGAAACATAATATAGAATTCTTGAGAAAATTGATAAAATATGGGAACTTTGTAATTTGATTTAACAAATTATTAAAACATTTTGAAATCCAATGTAATCCACTATGTTTCATCTTTATTATATATTCTTTGCTGCATTTCCGAAATATTGGTTTGTATGGTTGCTCCAGCTTAATCTGATACCTAAGCCTGTGTTTACTTTTTGTCCTAAATGGTAATTTTTTGTATTATGTATTTAGTAAATATTTATTTTCCTTTCTCCTGTAGTATCAACAAAAGCCACATTGTTTTTTTTTAATTCAATCCGCCTTAAGGATATTCACGTTTATACTAGAGAGATATTGCAAATTTGTATAACGTCAGCCACTAATAGTGACAACGTAATTAGAGGCAAATAAATTCCATGCTAAAATAAGACATTGCAAACCTGAAATTTTGACATTAGAGTCCTTGTCTTTATACATATTTCTAACCTCATTTTAATTTTTTTTTTTTTTTTAATTACAGTTCATCTTTTTTCTAATAATATGGACAATAGTTCCGTGTATTGAACGATCTCTTGAACTCTCTTTCCAACGGAAAAACAGGCTATACCCATAAACATTCTAGATGTTCTTTGACCGGTGCTTCCACCATTTTCTAGAATTCGTTCACCAAAATCGTTGTCTAAGCGGTGTCGTCGTCATCATTCTAGTGCATTCTAGAAGAATTATTCACTTCAACCACAGAATAAGTAAACAATACAGAAAAGAAAATAACGGTCGGCACTTTGAAGTAGAAGGGATAGAAAACTATTCATTGAAACTACACTGCGAAAACTACATTTATTTATGTTGTACTTTGACAGTGCTCCACCATCAATAAGATGTAAGATTTTTGGCTGTAGCTCTGTTTCTTTTCTGTATTGTTCAGCTATTCTGTTCAACTTGCCGTGACCAAGCATATAGGCGGCGTATCTTATGGGAGTTTCGGAGTTTGATCTATTTGATAAAGTATTCTTGGTAATCGAAAAAGTGGAGAGGCCGTAAGAGGCCCAAATAAGGCAGAGAAAGTCTTAAAGGATTAGAACCTCACCGGACTGGTCAAAAATAGCTCACACAACAATAGTTAGGCTCATAAAAACTTGTAGATCCTTGATATTTTTCTTTGTTGGCATCAATTGTCATGTCAAAATGCTAAAGTCCCATAAGTAATCTTTCAGTTATGTGATATATTATAAGTATACAATAATTTGCTAGAGAATTAAGTTTGCGCCCTACATACCTATTGTATTGGTTTCACCCTGTATAAGGTAGAACTATTCCAATGTTCTAGAGCACTAACAGCCGTATGCATAGTCGATCGCCAGCGACTCGCCAGAGATTCATTTCGGCGTATCGACAGCGATTCGCTGGCGATCCGCCGGCGAAAGCCCAAGAAGGTGGCGACTCGCCGGAGATTGTCACCGAAATGTCATTTCACGCAAGTTTTTATTTTCTTTTATAGGGATTATCACCGGTATCTCTCGCATTTTATCCATGATTCATTTCTTAAAACTCAAAAAATAATGGACGAATATCAAATTTTTCCCTATAAAAGAACATGAAAACTTGCGTGAAATGACATTCTGGTGACAATCTCCGGCGAGTCGCCAACTTTTTGGGCTTTCGCCGGCGGATCGCCAGCGAATCGCTGGCGATACGCCGAAATGAATCTCTGGCGAGTCGCTGGCGATCGACTATGCATACGGCTGTTAGGATTGTGGCTCCAATGGCGTTCCTACGATAATTTAATAAAAAATCAATACCAAAATAAAAGTTTTGAAAGTTATAAAAGTAATTTTAAAAAACCGACTTCAAAATCATACTAATGCCATTAAAAATGAGTTTTTTTATTTTCTCAGAGATCATCAGATCATAACCAATTGTATATGAAACTACTCTTTCTAACAAAAAAAAATTATTAATCATAGAAATCGGATAACGTGGTAAATAATTATCGCTGAAAATACTTAAAAAATGAAGAGTTTGATGACTTTCTTGTGGACCCCATTATTAGATCTTATCCATATTTATATGGGACCACCTCTGAGGTGCCTTCTTTGTTTATCTTAGAAATCGGATAGCGTAGTAAAGAATTATCGCTGAACATACATAAAAAAAAAATTCGATAAATTGAGAACCTTCTTTTTTGAAGTCGGTTAAAAATAACAAAAAAAATCTTCCGCTTCACTTATTTTTTCGGGAACTCCTGTATGTCTCCTGTCTGGCCTTCTCTTGCTGTTTTTCTCCTCTAACTCTTAGTAGTCTTACTCTTACTCCCCTTACTGCTTAAATATCCTACCTTTTCTTTTCTATTAAAATAAAACGTGTCCGGTGAAGAATCCAGGTACACGATTAAAAAATTAAACATTAAAAAGTGACTATTTTCTATAGTAAATTAAAGAGAAAAAAAAATGCGAAAAAACCACCAGTAATTAAAAATCTCGATTTTATAGATTATATTATCAAATTCTGTATTGAGAACAACAACGTTGCCAAATTTTACATTACAAATACCAAAGAAATCTAAAATAATCGATGTTAAGACAAAATGGATGAATATTATAAAAAATGTAAAATATATTTAAGAACATAGAAATATTTTCCTAGTATTTTTAATAAAAAAAACTTAACAAACTGTGCTTCGCAGAAAAATTATTCATAAAATGCAAAAAATTTACCTAACTTGTGCGACCTGGAACCATAGCGGGTTGCTTCGCAGAAAAATTATTGATAAAATGAGAAAAATTAAAAACCTAACTATAGTCTATTTTTATGTATGAGAGAGTAATAAAACAGCATTTCTAATGCAAAACTTAGTACGGTCATTTTAAATATTTTTACAGAATAATCTAAATATTTCCTAAAATAAATGTACCTGAGCTATTGCAAGTTTTGGGTCTTTTATTGGTCCTTTATAAACATCAGCTGTACAGAACAATAGAAAAAGGTTTGGACAGGCCAAAAGCCCTGTGTATTAAAGATTACATAGCCGTAACTTAAGATTATTTTCAAAAAGTACCTATTTGCCAATTTTGTTTTATTTTAATTCCAAGAATTTCTTAAAGTAATCGAATTATAAGTAGATAAATACCATCTCAACAAATTTCACGAAAATGCGATTATAGGTTTTCCATTTAGTAAGGAGGTCCAAATTGTGTATTCTTGACAGTTTACTAAATGTCGCAACTTGCAAGGTGCAGTGTGAATTCTAGTGTGATCATGGAAAATTTGGAAGGGCCGCGTAAACGACAAAAAATCGGTCCTTTAACAATTAATGAAAAAATATTAATATTTAATTGTTTTAAATCATTTACAGACAAACATTTATGTAAAAGTGTTGATGACACAGTGGAATTAGTTAGTAGTACGCTTGGTGTTGGGAAATCTACGATTTACAGAGTTGTTAAAGAAGAAAAATGTGGCGAATTTCAAACAGCACGTAAAGCTCCAGGAAAACCAAAATTTCAATTAGAAAATCTTTTGAAAGAAAGACTTCTAAGGAAAGTGCATGCGTTCTTCTTTAGAAAAGAATTTCCGACAGTAGATAAAGTTCTTGCCACGGTTCGAGATGATAAGGATTACCCTGAAATGAGTCGAAGCACACTATGGAAACTTTTAAAAGAAATAGGTTTTCTATGGAAAAAGCATTCCAGAAAGTCTATTTTAATAGAAAGAAGTGATATTGTAGTATGGAGAAGAAATTACCTAAGGACTATAAAAGAAATGAGAAGCCAAAGAAGAAATATATTTTATTTAGATGAAACATGGATCAACGAGGGACATAAACCAAATAAATTTTGGCAAGATGAAACTGTTACAAGTCGAAGACAGGCTTTTTTAAATAATTTATCGACTGGTTTAAATCCACCATCAGGAAAGGGGCGCAGACTAATAATAGTACACATCGGTAGTTCAAACGGTTTTGTTAAAGGCGGTTTATTGACTTTTGAATCTACTCGTACCGGTGACTACCATGAGGACATGAATGCTGATGTCTTTAAAGAGTGGTTCGAACAAATTATAGATCTTCTTCCTCAGAACTGTATAATAGTAATGGATAATGCAAGTTATCACTCAAAACTTATAGAAAAAATGCCCACAACCAAGTGGTTAAAAAAAGATTTACAGAATTGGCTAAATTCAAAGAATATTAAGTTCCATCCCGGTTCTGTGAGAAAAGAACTGTATCATTTGTGTTCCCTTCATAAAGAGAAATTCAAAAAATATGAAATTAATGAAATTGCAAAAAATCGTGGGATGACGGTGGTTAGATCACCACCATATCATTGCGAAGTAAACCCGATTGAACTGATATGGGCACAGATAAAGGGAGAAGTTTCAAGAAAAAAATAATTCTTTTAAAATGAGTGATGTTTTGTTTTTGGAGGCTGTAAATAATGTGAAGCCTGAAAACTAGGAAAAGGCAGTAAATCATACGATTAAAGAAGAAGAGAAAATGTGGAAGTTGGACAATATTACTGATGAAATGATCGAACCACTCATTGTAAATATTGGTTGCGACAGTTCATCTTCTGATTTCGATTCTGATTTGGATTTGTAGGTAAGAAGTAGTTTTTATATTAAAATTATTATTTATGAACGTAACGTTGTTTAAAAGTCAAAGTTTAAACACTTATACCTACATAACCCGTTTAACACAATGTTCTTAACATACCTTGTGGAAAAATAAAACATTTTAGAAAAAAAATGGCACTTTTTACCTTCAGCTGTTTAGAAGTTATAAGTAGGTTAATTAGGTGAAAATATAAGTGTATACTCGAGGAATAACTTCAAAAAATATTTTAACTGTCTACTAAAAGAAGTGATACGCCTATGGATTACGAACGCTTTGTTATTTTAATACTCTCATACATAAAAAAAGACTTTTTTTATAACAGCGGGTTGCTTTAATTTTTTAGTTTCGAAGTTTAGTTATTTGAACTTTTGTATTTTCCAAATTTTTAAAAATGCACGTGAGATTAAGGGTGGGGGGCGGGAGTTGAGGAAAATCTTATGAAATCTCACCAGGGGGAGAGGAGGGGTCAAAAAATCCTCAAAAATACCTCACGTAATTAAGGCCTTTCCGAATAACTTCTTGGCGCCAACGGTACAGAACGAAAACATAATATCTAAAGTCAAATGACGGAATCTTGACAATTTATTAGTGCGGATCACCTGCAAAAAAAGCAATTATTGATGATTGTTATGTCACTTTTGTACAATATAGAAACAGAATAAGTCCAAGTAAACTTCCCTGAGGCACCCCAGATCATCCAACAATATTTCTAATTTCATACTAATATTGTAGAGAACTGTTTTTTAATTTTCTCACAATTTATGATGAATGTCACAATAATGTCATAATAATAAACCAATACTAAAAAGACCGAGATAAAAAAAAAATATCTAAAAGAGAACGTTTTTTCTAAAGAAATTTCCATTTGAACACTGAAATAGATAATTTCTTGACATATTTACAGAAAGCACCAGGTAGTTGCATTAACAATTGCAATATCACTGCACTGTTGGTCTGTCAAGGGTAAAATAAGCCTAGAACGTATGTACTATTAAAATTTGATCCGCACCTTTATACAAATAGGCAGCTGATTCATCATCAATAGAGAAATAATCGAAATATCTTAAATTTGTTTAATTTATCGCAATATCCTCGTAAATTAAACTGAAAACCAGTTATTTCATAGATGGGTTACCATTTTCAACACATTTAATCCAACTTCTACTCTTTAGAAGACTAGTTTTGTTCAATATGAAGGTGTTAATCAAATGGTTATTTTTTCTCTGCAGATACGCGGATAGAGCCAAACAGATCGTATGCAAAGCTATTGTTAATGAAGACGCAAACGCCAAACTTATTCGAGAGCTCAAGGAAGAGATACAGAAACTTCGCGAATTATTAAAACAGGAAGGCATCGACGTCCACGAGGGTGAGTATCGAAAATTAACTTTTTTTAATTAATTAGTTACTCTTGCTACTGTTGGTGTTGTGAGAGTAATACTGAAATGGTTTTGTTTTCGGCTTATTGTAAAATTGATTTAAATTCCAAAGTATTTAAGTATTAGAAGTGTTTAATTTTAATTACAGCAGTTTTGAAATATACCGCGAAAATTATTACCGAATCTAATTTCATAGAATCAGCACCATTTTTTGGTATTTCAAAGAGCTGTCCTAAAAAATTATCCCAGGACTAATTCATTCAAAGGAGTTTATTTTTTACCCAACCTTTGAATAAAAGCCTCTACTCAAATCCCAGATTGGAGTAGCAATAATGGATCTGAAGGGACCGATGGATCTTTATTGTGTGTTCCTGACAATTGAACATTTTACTGTGCCCTTTTGACGAAATTCGGTTGGAAAATTATTTTCTTCGAATTTTCACCCTCGTTTGGATCTTTAGAATTATTTTAGGGGGTGGTCAAACATCGAAACATAATTCTTACTTTTTGTTTTTAAAGTGCCCTCTTGACGATTGACCATTATTTTCCAAGTCTAACTTATATATTTGAAAATTATACTTGTCGAGTTTTCACACCCTTTGGGGTCCTTAAAATTATTTTAGAGGGTAGTGAAATTTTGGAACATAATTTTAAGCCTTTTTGACTTTATTTTGACAATTATTTCCAAGCTTAAATTCGATTAAACAAATGTTATTTGAGGAAGTTTAGAGTCCTTAGAATTGTTTTAAGGTGTTGACTACACATCGAAACATAATAATTCTAAACCATTTTGGATCTTTATTGTGACCTCCTATTTATTTTCAAGTCAAAATTTTCACCCTCTAGGTTTTTTAGAATTATTTTAGGGGGTAGTCAAACATCGACACATAATTTTAAATATTTTTGGATCTTATTGTAGCCTTCTAATGATGGATCATTTTGGAAATTGTTTTCGAATTTTCACCCCCTCTAAAGTATTCAGAATTATTTTAGTGGTTGAAAAAAACGAAAAAAAAACCAAAAAAAAAAAACGAAAAATAAAAAAAAATAAAAAAAAATGAAAAAAACGACAAAAATTCAAAATTATAACACCCTGTTTCCTTGAAATAAAGTATATGTGGACCCATGTTAATTGGAACTATTTGTCACCCCTGTATCTAAACTTTTTTGGATCTTATTTGTGTCCTGACGATTGACTATCTTTTCGAAATTGAAATTCAACCCATAACTCGTGGTTTTTTAGTAGTTCAAAAATCTTTTTTTTTTCTGATTTTTTAGAGAACAGTAATAACAATTATTCCATAGACCAACTAAAATAATCCTTAATAAGCAAAACCATTTGAGTAATTCCCTCATGCACTGCGCTACAAAATTATACCTTTTGTGTGTATGTGAATCAATTATTATTTAGATAAATACGTAGAAATTTTAAATTTCTTTCGATTCTTTTAATTCCTATTAGTATAGAGTAACTATAGATAAAATTTTTAAATAAATTTGTGGCTGACTGCTGTTTAAATCTTTATCGCAATGCAGGCCCAGATGGTAAAGTAATTTATGAGAAAAGGGAGCCACCCAGTAAGTATTCGCTTAATAATAAAGGCTTCTGGCACCCACGATCCATTTCGTTAGTTCATCGTTTAATAATCGAAAGTATATTCTAACAAATTTTAGTATTAACTAGTCTACATACGTGTATCATGTCTCACCATAATTGAACTTAATTTTGTTTTCTCACGTAGCTACAACGAAAGTATTTTTAGAATAGAAATCCACCGTTTTCGCATGTCGACTATTTCATAATTGCCCATTTTATTTTTAATAAGTTCTTTACGGTTATCCTTCTTTGAAAAACAATTAAATACACTAATTTACGACTCCGTTTTGATTTGGAAGTGCAACTGGTAACAGCAATATATTGTGCTGCATTTTTAATAATACAAACTATCACAGTTATCACACACTATAAGAAATAAACAAATTTAATTCTCACAAACAAGAAAATTTCAAATTAATAAAAATTACTATCGGTGACAACAGACAACACAACAATACCAATGTTGCCAACTGATTTTAAAACAAAATTGATAAAAAATTAACTAACATTTAAAAAAATTAATATAATAAAATGGGAGAAAATATTGCGAAGACGCCCTTTTCTTAAAATTACATTTTTTTTACAAAACTTACATTTTAGGCTTTAGGAAAGAAAGTATTTTTTAAATATACCACAGGAAACCCCATAAATTAATGGTTTTTTTTTTAAATATTACATATTAAAAGCTTATGAGGAGTAGTAAGTGATCATTTGTGTAAACTTATTCATTAGAATTTAGAATTGTATCTGTCATGCTCTATCAATACAAATTAGTGCATTGTTGCCAAGTGTCCAATTAAAATCAACGAAAATAAATATAAATAAAATTTTGACATAACATTTCCATACTCTTTAAAAGGCAGTTCTATTAATTTATTTCCGGTCACATCCGATGATTTATTTATCCATTTTGATTAACCCTTTCAGTCACCAATGTAAATTTTTTATTTTAAAATTCTGATATTTCGCAAATAAAATAATCTATTTTTTCAAATATTTTTGGTGAAATAAATATTCAAAATTTTTTATCCCCACCCAAATGATTTAAGGTTCACATTTGTGGACAATGTGACTTTATGACAAGAATTTGTATGTAAACACTATATACTTTTTAAAGTATTCTATCAGAGATGACACATCATGTACGTCAGCCACATGCCATATAATTGGCCCAGTCTGATAAGTAACATTAGATTTTCAATTATTTTTTTTTGTCACTTAATTTGTATTTGTTGCAAAACAACGTTTTTGTTATTTTAGTCTCATTTTCCTTCAAATCAGTTTCTTGCTCTATTTCTTCACCTATTTCTTCGTTGTTGGATTGATTATCTAAATTGTCGGAGTCACCTTTGCATATTGTTTCTTAATTCAGCTATATCATCTCCCTCCTCAGAAAAATCATCTACTATATACAGACTCATCATCTGGTTGAAACATCTACAAACTTTTTTCATAGGGTAGACCTCGTAGTAAATCGAGATATGTATTTATCCCACATATTTGATTGATTATAACTGCAAATAAAATATGGCAATATAAAAAGCATGATGACGTTTAGTAACTTTGTCCACGTATGAGGACATATAAATTTACACCCCAAATTTACGTTTCCAGATACAAAATCTCTTTGAAGTATATAATCACAAATTGAATTATTTTCTTACCTAACAAACCAAGCACTTTTTCACAAAATAATAGGTACTATTCACTAAAAAATCTGCTATTCAAATTAAAATGTTTTGTTTACCATTTAACACACTAGAACGTTCCCTATTTATTAAATTACTAAAATTATTCATTTAAGTAATAAATGTCAAAAAGTGAACCATGATCTTTAGGAATGATGCTATTTTGAGTCCATGGTAAAATATAAGCTATAAAACAGAAATTTGATAGGTATACGGTTGATTGAAAATGGTGTTCACAAATGTGGACACGGTGACTGAAAGGGTTAAATTGTTGTAGTACATAATTTTTGAATATTAATATTACGTAATCTATAAAGTAATAAATAATGTACTTTTCGAAACATAATTACTTTGTGTAATCAAAAGGTTTTTAAAACTTTTTTGAACCAAGTGAATTTATTTGTTTGACAAATGACGCCAGCCAGCCAAATTTAAAGAGTACTATCAACAAGACGATAACTGAATTAGTTCAATTTGCGCTGGTTTAACTGTGACGTCACTTGGTGGATACTTTAAAGGTATTTCTTTAAAATTAAATAAAACTTTAAACAATATATTAGCCATTAATTTGTGATTTGAGTGTCCTAACCAATGATCTCATAAGTTATTTTTAAGATGTACTAACAAATATTTTTTTATGCGTATCATAATATTAATCCTAGAGTAAGCAATACAATATACACATAACATACTTTTCGTTTGCTAGTCAAGTTAGCCGTGTCTGTCAAATTAACGTAGTAAAATTTGAATTCGGCAAAATACAACTATATACTTTTAATATCGTGTGATTGTAGAAAAAAATATTGTGTGTAGTTCGAGCGGAAAGCTATTTGCCTCTTACGTTGGAATGCCGCACTCCTCTATTCGCCGCGCGGCAACTTTTTATCTTAAGCGGCAAAGTAGCACTTTCCACTCTTAATACACAAATAGCTATTAAACGTCGTAATTTAAAAAAAAAGGTGTATCGATGTACATTTTAAATGGGATGACAAATTAACCGTTCAATAATTTATGGTGAGACACTTTCGAAATCCAGTTTTTTGACAAAAATTTTATTTGTATATTCACTACAGCCACATTGAGCATGGACTAGTCATCCATTTTATCTGTGTAGTGTTGTCAAATATCAAACAGTATTTGGGAAATCAATTGAATTGTCTATGTTCTGCACATTATGTTTTGGTAGGGGAGTCAGTAACACTTTTAGGTGTTGTTTGCCTCAAGGCAAAATTACAAATTTTTCGTTCATTCTTACCTTGTAGATGTAGAACATGGAAATACTTTATAGTAGTCTCTGCAGTGGCGGAGCTCTTAACGAAGACGTCTTGAAAAATATATTCTAGAAAATGCTAATGTCACTTATTTGATTAGATAATTAACTTGACACAACCTTCATAGCTCAAGTCGTCAGCGCGCAAAATTTTGAATTTTTAAAATGTATTTAAAATAAATAAATAAACAGCTTTTATCGTATTTTTAAATTTTTCACATTTTTTTCAAAATTAGAAAATTAAAAAAATATTGCTCTTGTCGGGATTTGAACCCGAGTTGCGAAATCCAAGGGTGATTGCGTTAAAGACCTAGGCCATGAAGGCTTATGTCAAGTTAATTACATAATTAAATATATGACATTATTATTTTCTACAACGGCTTTTTTAAGATATTATCTTTGAGCGTTCCACCGTTGGTTCGTCTGCAGCAAAATATTTCCATTTTCTAAAAGGTAAGAATGATAAATTTGTAAACTAGCCTTGCCCAAATATGTACCAAAAAGTGTCATTGGCTCCTCTACATTTAACTTGTATTCTAAATTTAATATAGGTTTGTCTGTAGGCAATATATATAATATGATCCAACTTTCAGATTTTATTAATTATTATTAAATCTAAAATGATCAAATAATATTTTCAAATAAAATACCCAGCTTTATACTATCTGAAAATGATAAATTCTAATTATTATTTTATAGTTAATTAATATTATCGCGCGCTTTTGTAGCTACAGGAATGACTTGTTAGCATTCTAAAAAATTACAAATTTTGTATATCAGAATGAATGCTTTGCTTTTGTTTTTGCCATGTCGAAATGGGCACCTCTCTAAAACTGCGTTTTGTTTATATTCTTAATTTCATTCGTAAGGGAGTTGTCCATAAGCCACAAAATAAATAACGAATGTTTATATCAAAGTAATTAAAGCAGAATAAGTTTTAACGAATTGGGGATATTTGCAGGAGGTGGTGATAATATTTTGAATCGAAATAATAGGGAAATTGAACGATCGCGTTCTCAGTCTACCTCTCTTGCTGAGGAAGCTGTTGATCAACTGCAGGCAAGCGAAAAACTCATAGCAGGTATATAATCACATTGCCCACGTCAAATGAGTGTATATTATTAATTTAATAATGTTTTAGAATTGAACGAGACATGGGAAGAGAAACTGAAAAAGACGGAAGCCATAAGAATACAAAGAGAAGCTGTTTTTGCTGAAATGGGTGTAGCTGTCAAAGAAGACGGCAACACAGTTGGAGTATTTTCGCCTAAATGTACTCCTCATTTAGTTAATTTAAACGAAGACCCGTTTATGTCGGAATGTTTAATTTACTACATCAAGGTAAATAATATGATTGATTAGTTAAATTTAGCTTATAAACACTGTTTTTATTTATTTGTAGGAGGGATTAACTCGGATAGGTTCCGATCAAGCTAACATTCCACAAGACATTCAACTGTGTGGATCCCATATTATACCAGAACACTGCGTTTTCGAAAACAAGGACAATCGAGTAACTTTAGTTCCCCTTAATGGAGCTTTAATTTACGTTAATGGTAGAGAGGTAAGTTTCTAACGTTCATTTAATTTATTTAGGAACAGGCCTATCTTATGGAGAAATGGGCTTTTGTGTAATTTTCTGAATTTTGACTTCCTATATAGTCCAAGAGCCCACTGCAAATTTCAACCGTCATCTGATGACGAAATGAAATATGTTCCAAAGGCATGTAAAAATGTTGTAGCTTACCAAATGGCACCTGTGCCTATCACTATCCTGAGCAAAGTAATTAAAACAATGGCACTTCCGGTGACCTATTTAATTAGCGAAAAATGTCGTCATTTGATAACGAGATAAGACTTATGCTAAAGGATAGCCATTGCTTAATAGAACTCAAAAATGTACCTGTGCCACCTCTTTTGCTGAACCAAATGCTTGGCACGGCCTTTTTTCGGCCAAAATTATCGACAAACTTCTGTCATGTGATAACGAGTTAAAATAATATGCAATCTAAAGGGCATAATATCCCATTCACGAATATCTACATGTGCCACGTTTTAACCTGAGCTAAGTTACTGGTACAGCGTAATTTCTGAGACGCGCCTCGCCCTAGCTAATTTATTTCATATATACAAAAAATCACATAAGCCATGACAACGAAAATTATTTTTATTGAAAATTACAATCCTAATAATTTTGTGAACCTATTACTGAAACCTTGATTTGTATCCCTATCCCAATTTAATAGACTTTTTAAACATTTAGTTACCAATTACATACCTTTAAACTATTTTTTATGACCTGTAAACAATATTTAGAAATAAACTAAAACCAGTAAAAACGTATATGTCAAATTTATTGAGGTTTTTGTTAAAAGTTTGGTTAGAATTAAATATCAGTGGAACCAAAATGACATCACACCGAATTAGCGTATTATCAAGACCTTGATAATAGTCAGCTATTTTTGTTGAATCTAAATCTCGAGAATATTTTAATATCAATTTGATGAGACATAATTTTTGGCATTAATAATCTGATTAGTTATTTTAGGTCGCAGTGTACTGATACCCTATTTCCAACAACATACGTCTATGACGCTTGCTTTACACTACTGTCGCATTTCAAAATTAATTACGTACTTTCCTGGAAATCACCTTCAACTCTGATAGTTGCAACGAGAAAAATACATTAAACTGATAATAAATGGCATCAAGAATGCAACTATACTTTCTTAATGTAAATGACAATTGCTATGTCATAAGGAATACCTACTCCAGGTATTTTTAAACAAGGATAACTAATGACAAATCGATTGCAGTTGTGTATTTTTAACCGACTTCAAAAAAGGAGGAGGTTATCAATTCGTCGCGATATTTTTTTTTTTTTTAATGTATGTTCAGCGATTATTCTTTAACACGGTGTCCGATTTCAATGATTCTTTTTTTGTTAGAAAGGGGCTACTTTAGGGGTGGTCCCATATAAATTTGGTCAAAATCTAATAATTGGATCCATGAGAAAATCCTCAAACTCTTCATTTTTTATGTATGTTTAGCGATAATGCTTTACCATCTTGTCCGATTTATACGATTCTTTTTTTTGTTAGTAAGGGGGTACCTCAGGGGTGGTCCCATATAAATTTGGTTAAGAAGTGGTGATGGCATCTGCACGTTTTTGAAGTCGGTTTTTTTAAATTTTTAATATTAGAAGGTGGACATTTTGTTCATTTACTTTAAGGTCGAAATTGTTTATTTTTTATTTTTGGTTTTTATTTTATGTTGTCCATGGATACTTTTTAGAATGAGTTAAAGTATATTTTTATTTATTTTTTTTTTTTTCTTGAAAACGGAGCTAGATATAAAGAAACAAGAGACCAGAAAGTTGTATTTTAGTTCTTTAATTTGAAAAAATATAAAAACTACAAAAATGTCAGTGTCGTACCTTTTCTTCTTAATAATATTGGCTGGACCCAATAATTTCAATATAGTTAGGACTAAACAAGGGTATTATTACTTTAAATAACTGTACCAAATTTCAACTAAATCGGTTTAAGGATACCCAATTTTGTTTGAAAACTTTAACGCTCTGTATCTCAGTAACAAAGCAACTCCAAAGGAACTTTTTTTCATAAATCGACCCAAAGAAACTCCCTCTGAATTTTTATACCGTAGTTAGAAAACACCCTACATACTAGAAATATTGTTTGAAATCAATAAAGCATTATTCTCGAAAAATATCTGTAATCAAAATAGTTTGATAATAAGAGACACGCCCTTTTTTAAAAATTGCCAGTATATCAAAAACTAGTTATAGGATTGAGTTGTGCTCATAGACACTATGGTTCAGAAAGTCGACAACTGGAACAAAAATTTAAGAAACTTTACCAAAGTTCATTTCTCCATAAGCCTGAACCTCTCGTCACAAGAATGTCCTCTCGTCGTTTGAAAATTTTTATAATACATAAGTATAAGATATATTTATACAATGGTATAATGCATTTTGAAAACCATTACTCATTGTTTTTATTTGACTAATAGATAGTCGTATAATATTGATTGCATTCGTTTAAAAATAAACCTAATAGTTATTTGAATGTCATAAATTATCAAACCATTTTGATAAGTATTATTAAGAATTATAATCATGAACTAATTACAAAACATTATAGAGTGGCTCCTCCTCTCTTTCTTTTTATCTTTTGCCTATTAAGACGTCGCATATTTTCAGTACATATAAATATTGAAATTCAGTTTATATTGAACATGTATCTTTGAATTAAAGCAATAAATTGGTAGCATTTTAAATTCAGACTTCTTTCTCATAGTAAAAAGATATTTTATTCTGAATCCAGACTAATATCATCGAAATTATCAAGTAATTTACTTAAGGGTGGGTTTACAAAATATAATTGTTTTTCATAAAAAAATCTATATTATTTTAAACCTAGCTCTCAGGAAAACTAAACATTGTTTTAAAGTAGATATGATGTGTTATATTCGGGTTGTAACGGAAAGAAAACTTGTAAATATGTTTAGTTTTAAAAGAAATTTGTAGGAAACTCATTGATTCCACGTGGTTTAGATACCAAATAGTCAAGGTTATTTTTAGAGTCTTTCTTAAGACGTCTTTATATCCTTTAGGCACACTTAATGAACTGAATTTTAATAGCAAAATTAATGCCACAAAGTATATTTTGAATAAACAAATTGAACAAAATTTATTGTCTATTGCCCTTTGTCACTCATTTAGTTTAACGATAATTCCACAAATGTCTTTTGGTGATTACTTTAAATCTGCCGGTCGAGACCTCTTCTATGATTTCGTTGCATTAAAAATGTAGAAATGTGTAATTAGGTGATTTCCTTATCTTCTGTGGTATTCAATAAGTTAATTATAACAGAATCAATATTTTACAGTTTATTTTTCCACATACTTTCTGTAGACTACAAAACGATTTATATTTTAATATTTTCTTTAATACAAAATTTTAGTCACATTCAAAATATCTTTTGTTTTTAGCCTGTATACATTTTTAATTATAGCCATTAGTAAACTAAATATATTTAGATGGCATTCTAAACACATTTTTTTCAATCAATTAACTTATCCAGTTATTTTTGCCACGGTGTAGGTAGGTACATATAAATATATGATTACAAATAAATTGTAGGTTACTGAACCGGTGCAACTGAAAACTGCATCCAGAGTCATCCTCGGCAAGAATCATGTATTCAGATTCACGCACCCAGAAGAAGTGAGAGAACTTAGAGAAAAAAATATGATTTCATCAGAACATGTAGATTGGAATTTTGCACAAATAGAATTATTAGAAAAACAAGGAGTTGATCTTAAGGCGGAAATGGAGAAAAAACTGGTTACCTTGGAGGAACAGTACCGTAAAGAAAAAGAAACAGCCGATCAATTGTTTGAAGAACAGAGAAAGGTGAAACTTTTTAATTTTTTGTATGTGATTTTATTTATTGTTTTTATTGTTATACTTAACCATTCATAATATACAAGGTGAGTCAAAAAGGAATACAAATATTTTAGGAGATTATATAACAATGAAAATTACAGTTTGCTATATAAACTAATGTCCGAAACTTTGAAATAAGGGAGATAAAGCCATTCAAAGGGAAATGGAAAAACCAGGTTTTCAGTCCTATCTTCTAAAAAAAAACAAATGTCCATAGTTTTTCCTACAAAAAGTTATTCTTGTTTAAACGCGATAGAGTGGACCGTTTTTGAATAATTTAACGTATTTGCAGTTTAGATAATTTGTTAACGTAACATGGTAACAACATTACAAAATCTCGAGTTTGATCATAAACGAATCTTATACATAGAAATTTAATATTTAAACTTTATTATAAAACTACAATAAATGTTCAAAATGTCCTCCATTTTGTTTAATACATAGGTTTAGTCGTCGTCTCAGAGAAAACATAATTCGGTTTAAAATGTAGTCATTGTTTATTAGCGCTGTGCCACACGGGAGGGTTTGTGGGTCAGAACCTCCCCATGGAGGGCCTTCGCGTCACCGTTCCCTTATCTTATTGGCGCTGATCGCTATTAACTGTTTGTTAACCCCCCCATAGTTCTCAGAAACTCCCCCATGAAAAATGTCTGGCTACGCCACTGCGCTGTGCACTCATTTTCTACCCTCCTTCTTAATTCTACTAAATTATTAATTTATGAATTAGAGACCCTAGACTTTAAATATCCCCACACAGAAAAGTCCAGTGGATTGAAGTCAGGCGACCGAGCAGGCTAGTGAATCGGTGCATCTGCACCCTTGCCTATCCATCTGGCAGGAAAATTTTGATGCAACCACATTCTGGCAGCCGTCATGCGTGTATGATTTCATTCAGCATTTGTAGAAGTACATCTAAAATTTGTAAGAGCTGATTATCCAAGAAATCTAAATACATATCGCCGTTCAAATTGCTCGGTAAAATAAAAAATCCAAGGAATTTATTGCTCATTGCCTTTACCCAAACATTGACTTATATGTTGATAATGGTATTATCGCACAACAAAAGGATTGCCTTGTAAATGTGGCCTCATAAATAATTTTATTGAAGAAATGTGGGTCAATTTGTTTTTTTTTTGCTAACATTGCTTGGCAAAACTCTGGTTGGTAAATCGTTGGGAAGAAGTTCTTGAACTTTTCGAAAGTGAAAACCATGCAAAGATTATTCACGCAATTTTCTAGTTACTGTATATTGCAAATTATCTGACCTTAAGGCTCTTTGTCTCGTGGTGACCATTGGGTTTTGCTCAACAATATTTAGCATTTGTTCTTCGGTTTCTACTGTTCTGGCAATCTTGGCCTATTGATTTTGAAAAAAAATCTGATTAATAATGGAGGAGTTAAGGGGGGGATTGAAACTTAAAAAAAAAACATAAAATAAAAATGATATCAACTTGAAATTTTCAGGAAAAATCAAGCTCTACAATGGAACGAAGCCTATTTATTTAAAAAAAAAATCTGAATAAAAATGGGGGTCAAGGAAGTTAAAATTTAAAAAAATTCATAAATATAAAACGAAAAACAATATCAACTTAAAATTGTCAGGAAAAATCTTTGCAATGGGACGAAGCCTATTGATTAAAAAAAATTCTGATCAAAAATGGGGGATTAAGGGGGGTTAAAATTAAAAAATAAAATCATAAATCAAAGACAGAAACAGAAAACAATATCAACTTGAAATTTTCAGGAAAAATCAAGCTTTTACGATTGAAGTTTATTGATTTTTTTTAAAATCTGATCAAAAATAGTGGGGTTAAGGAGAGTTGAAGTTTAAAACAAAAATTCATGAATCAACAACGAAAAGCGATATCAACAATATTGAAAAATTATATTGACTTAAAATTTTTAGCAAAAAACAAGCTGTATATGGGGACAAAGCCTATTCATTTTGAAAAAAAAATCGTAAATGAAAAACGAAAAACAAAAAGCGATATCACAATGAAATTTTTGGTAAATAAGGCCTATTAACTTTGAAAAAATGGAGGGGTTAAGAGGGGTTGAAATATTGAAAAAAATCATAAATCAAAAATGAAAAGCGATATCAACATGAAATGTTTAGTAAAAATCAAGCTCTATAAAGGGACAAAATTGATTAAAAAAATCTAAATGAAATGAGGGTTAGGAGGAGTTGATATAAAAAAAATGAAATCCAAAATAAAAGCGATATCAATATGAAATATTTAGTAAAAATCAAGCTCTATAAGGGAATAAATAAATAAATAAAAATGGAGAGATAAGGGGAGTTGAAATATTGAAAAAATCCTAATTCAGAAACAAAAAACGATATCAAATTGAAATCTTTAGGAAAAATCAAGCTTTATACAATTTTGAAAAAAAATCTGATTGAAAATGGGGGGGATTGTTCTTTATTGTGTCGAACTCGTTTAAATATTTTGGTTGGAGTACTGGAAACTTCCATTTGAAATGCTATGTTAAGGGTTACAGGTGTTAGGAAAACTGGTCAAAGCCTACTAAACCTAGGCAGTTGTTAAAACATGTTGAAAAAATTCACAGTCTCTCATGGATTGATTTAATAGTATATTATGCAACGAGCATTTAATGATAGCTATTAAAACACGAGTATGAGAATTACGACACGAGCCTTGGCGAGTGTCGTAATGAATACGAGTGACTTAATAGCCATTAAATGTGAGTTGAATACACAATTTTTTCTACGATCATTGAATTATAATATAGAAAAATAAGTAATTTATTTACAAAATTTATTAAACTTATAGAGGAAGAACTAAATAAACATCAAAACTTTATCCCAAACAAACATAGAAAACAGATATTTAACGTCTGGAGCTCCTGCAATAAATTCCTTTATTTCATTTCTATTAAATGTTTTTGATTTTCTTTTGAACAAGGTATGTAATTTTGAATATTTGGATATATCCACTTGGTGATTAATACATAAAGTCGATTTCAAAATTGACTAATGTGTCCATAAACTTGTCGATTTTAATTTTCTTGATAATAAGTCATCAAAATAAACAATTATTACGTTTTTTAAAAATGTATTTGCATTTTTCTTGTGCCTCCAATCCATGAATTGACTATAAAATGTTTTATATACTTTTATGGATTTTGATGGTAATAAATTATTTGTGGCTTATGTGGCCGTTAGATTATCTAGTTCATTATTGTCACTATACATTTTTGCCGATTTTATAATTTTCAGGATTTTTTACTAACTAAAATCTGACAAAGTGTCAAACTGATAAATTTTAGATCTGTCAGATGTTCATGGCATATATGGTTTTTGGCAAATTTTGTTGTGATATTGCATTTCTATTGGCTGTAAACTTGTATCTTAATGAAAATATGTATCTTAATGGATGCCATTAAAGTACGGGTAATAAATGACTAATAAATAAATTAAAGAATAGGAGTAGAAAAAATATTTCAAGATATAAGAAGACGACCTCGATGTTAATGCATTTTTCATGACTTTAATAATGAAGAAAGTACAGATATAGATAGTCAGTGTTTAATTTAATTTTAACATTTTAAAAATATTATTTGTCCCGTGTTTCTAAGATTATAGGAAAGTTTTACTTAAAGATTACGTTAGCAATTTGTCAATAAACTTTGAACTTAATGGCGGAGGAAATACGAATTGAAAACATTAAAAACATTTTTTCTTTTTTTAGAACTATGAAGCTAGAATTGATGCCCTACAAAAACAGGTAGAAGAGCAAAGTATGACGATGTCTATGTACAGTTCTTATACACCAGAGGATTTCAACAATGAAGACGATATATTTGGTAAGAAAAATTGTTTGAAGATGATTCTGAATGGGTAAAGATATTTCAAATTAAAATGTCTTCTAAAAATGAAATTATCAAGTTAATTATGCTCTTTAAATCCCTCTAAATCATTGAACGCTACATTCAAGTTTGTAGAATACTTCATCATTTTTTATTATACAGGTATTTTTAACTTTTTCGTAAAGCCTAAATTTACATTTTTTTTTTTTTTTTTCATAAAGTAATTTTAATTATTTCTTGTGTAAACCCGATTCGTTATTTGTGTTCTTTTTTCCACCGCATAGTACAGGCCTTACAAACTTTAACGGTGTTGCCAGCGGTTTCTAAATTTCTCCAGATTTAAAAAATAATGCTTAAAAAAATATAATTTTTCTCTTTAAATATTAAACTATAAACAAATGTGAAATATATGCACTCTTTACGTGAATTGTTCATGCCAAAGCGAGTTTCGTATTAAAAATGTTTGTTCTAATAAATTTTATTTAAGAAAGTAGTAAGTGTAAATTCATTTTGTGAACAAAATGCTTTAAAAATATATACGAGCGCTTTTGCAGTGAACCCTCTATTTGACGCAGAGTGTAACTGGAGCGAAAAAGAATTCGAACTCGCCGCACTGGCATGGAGGAAGTGGAAAAACCATCAGTTCACATCGCTGAGAGACGATCTGTGGGGCAACGCCATCTTTCTGAAGGAAGCCAACGCCATATCTGTCGAACTTAAGAAAAAGGTGAGTGAAATAATTGTTAGTAGTTTTTTCTAAAAGGAAACGGAAACCAGGGGCTTATGAAAAATTGAAAGATAAGTTTTTAATTTGGTAGCTCTATTCAGTCGATAAAAATCTAAGTTGTTTCCAATTTAAAAGAAATATGGGAGGAACTAGTCATTGGAAAAGAGCCAAAAGATTTTAATAAAAATATTGTCGACAACATTAGGTCTATGTCTGATTCTGTGGCACTTTACTTTCCAGATGATTGGGTCTACAATTTAAAATGCATAGATAAATTAAAATCACCGAAAAGCCTAATATATTATCATCACAGGAATGCGAAAAAAGTTTTTAAAAAATACAATTAGCGGAGTTTTGGTGCAAAGTCGGACAAGAATATCATCCATTTCTCCCAACAAAAGTAATTTCAGTTTAACTACCATTTGTCACCACATGCGTGTGAAACTTGAATTTTACATATACGTTTCTACAAAAACTAAATACTGCAATGGTCAGGATGCAGAGCCAGAGCAACTTTCTAATATTAAACTAAATATACAAACTTTAACTGCAATAAATCACAATATCAATATAACAGTTTCCATTAAGATTTTGTAGAAATATTTTTTGGTTTTAGTTTTCTTATTTTTTTAGTAGTCTACAATAAACGGGTTCTTTTTACTGAATAACTGGTTTATGAATATTACAATTTATTCGCTAAATTCAAAATATCTTGGGGCCCCATCACATTATCTCTTCATCAAAGAGGCATCCATGACCATAAAATAACAGTATATAGAGTGATTGAAAACGTCATTATTTCCTTTTTAATATTGCAAAGCTTAGTATAAAATTGACAAATTTAGTGTTTTAATAAAGTATTTTTTATTAAATTAACAAGAATGTGTTTTTTAAGGTTCAATTCCAATTTACTTTACTTACGGATACACTCTACTCCCCACTGCCACCTGATTTAAGACCATCCATCGATTATGATCAAGAAGAAGACGTCACAATTCCTCGAACAATTGTCGCTGTAGAAGTGCAAGATATCAAAAACGGAGCCACTCACTATTGGTCCTTAGATAAATTACGGTAAGTTCTTTTTTGTCTTCTTCTTTTTTTATGAAATAATAGGACTCGATAAATAGGTATTTAACTTTTTTACACATTTATTTAAATTGCCACTACTTTTTCGCTAAGTTGAATAGATTGGTTTTATTTATAACATTTCGGCAAGTGGATAACTTTGAAGGTAGACTGTTTGTGGCAACTATATCAATCAATCGCAAATAGAACAAAATTTAGAATTATTTTAACTAGCTCTCTCCATTAAGATGCGTTTTTAATCTAATTCTGCTTAAATCCGCATAAAATTATCTCTGGTTTTTGACGTACTCATTTGGTAGGAAAGTTTTGGACATACACATTATGCAGGATGGTCCAGTTTATATCGTCAGGATTGCACCAGTTTATCGAAAAATAAAAGTACTTTGTCCAATAAACTATGATTCAATTTTGCTTTCTTTTGCTTCACATGGTTCAGATATTCAGAGACGTTCAAATTGATAGTTTTAATTTTTCATCAAAAACAAAGTATGATACGAAAAAAAATTAAAAGACAAAAGTTGTATTTTTAGTTAGTTTATTAACAAAAAAATTATGAAACATTTAAAAAATCTACTGGTCGATATTTTTTGTGCCGAAAACTAGTCAAAGTGCTCTGCCTGTGAGCACGCATTTGGAATTACTGGATCCACTGTAACATATTCGAAAGACATCTCATAAAGTTGTCAGCAAACTGTGAAAATTTCATTAAAATCGGTCAAAGCCTTTTTTAGATATTAATAAAAAAAACTTTATCACGCGGTATCTCAAAAAGAAAAAAAATTGAACCATGTTTTATCGGACAAACTATCTTTTCAATAAATTATCGGCTGGTAAAATCCTGACGGTATATAAACAGGACCTCCCTGTATACATACGAATATTGTAGACACCTTGTATAATACTTAATCAAATATCAATCATAGACCATACCCATTGACTTGAAATTTGGTATATTTACCATAGAAATAATATAGAAGACCAATATAAATATAAAATTTAAGCAGAAATTGAAACCTACTGTGCATAAAAACGCGTCTCTGCGCCTGACATCGCAAAATAGTGTGTCTAGAAGCTTGCGCAATATGCATGACTTGTCCCTGTAGTGTTGCCAAGTATATTAAACATACCTAACAGAAAATAATTTTATATTAATTTATTTTTAAATTATATGATTTAAACAGTTTATATCTATGAAATATCGCCACAAAATAACTTATAAACATTTAAATAATCAACTAATAATATTTATGTGTAATTACATTCCCAAAAATATGTACAAATACGGTATTAATGTTCAATAAGCGATTCACCTACAAATTCAATATTGACCTGGCAATAGCACTAAAATCCGGTGTTTCAAAACTATATGACGCTGCCCTTACAGGACCGTTTGTAGTTTATTATTTAATTACACGATGAAAGTGGCATTTTATTTTTAGTTTTTTGTAGTGTTTAGTTAAATCCTTTGTACAATAAAAGACATTTTTACATTGGCTAATGAAAATGTAATCAATGTATTAAGCAGCTGTTTTATTTATTACAAGATTTATATCTGAAAATCTAAACCTACCTAAGAATTATAATTATGTAAATAGAGAACTGTATATTTATATACAGGCTGCCCAGCGACGGGGAGACATTATCGATATCTGACAAAACAATGAATGATTTTTTGTTAAAAATTGTTAAAAATAGTAAGCAGGTTATGATCTTTTCATCCAAAATATTCTAACAGTTCTGTTATTTTCGTTTTATTTTAAATGAGATGCCACTTCTATTATTTCTGATAGCGATGGAACATATACACAAAAAGAAACATATAAGTGAGATAACTACCAAATTAATGATTTACAAGTTTATTCTTATTTATAAAATAGGTTTGCAATGTGCTGATGTGGAATGTTATCATCGACTAAAAACTTTAAATCTTTGTATTAAATTGATCGAAAACAATCCATAAATTGGTTTAGACTTTATAGAATGTTTCTAGTAAGCAGCGACTAATTTTTATTATGGAACCGAAAGACCCTTTTAAAAGGGTTCAAAATTAAAATAAAATATGTACCAAGTAAATGTAGTAGTATTTTTTTAATTTATATTGAAAGTGGTAAACATGAAAGGTTTTCTGTCTAATTGTAAGTAACGACTCATAGTCTCGGCTGACAAAATGTAAAAAAATGTCGAACATAATATTCCTGGGCGAAAAGCAACTGCCCCCTATTTTGCACTCCCCAGATTAAATTTAGTTGTAGCAAATGATACTAATGATTGCCGAAACTAATTCATATTTTATGCCATATCTTTCTTTAATAAGCACTTTCAGAACCATATTTACCTTAACTTAGATTTTTTCATCGTTTTCTATATAGAATCATCTCTAAAAATATATGACTGAAACATCGTGCCAATTATTTGTTCGATCAATAAAAAACTTGCACCGGTCCTGTTCGAGCCAGCACCGTTATACGCATGAGCTCCGACACACTATTTTCTCCTTATGGTTTCATTTTTGATATATGGAATCGGCTTTCTATACTATTTCTATGATATTTACTTATTTCTCGACGTAGACACCCACTAAGAACGGATTTTATACACATCACATTTTAAGGTGGGGGGGGAAAACGAGGGGGGGGGGTGAAAGTTTGTATGAGAATATCGGTTTTTTTAAAATTAGGAATTTGAAAATTGGTATTGTAGCTACCCATCGTAAATAAATCATAACGTTTTTCAGGGTTTTTGGATTTTTATATTTTTTTAGGGGGAAAAGGGAGCTGAAAGTTTGTATGGGGTATCGAATTTTTAAAGGTAGGCACTTGAACATTGTAGCTACTTACCATAAATAAATATTGACGTGTTTGTGATAATGTTTAATTGATTTTTACTAGCCTATAGGATTTTTGTATTTAAAAAACTTCAGGATATCATAAAACATTGTAGAATATTCGACCGTTATATAGGGTTTAACATGATCGTGTGGATAACTAATTTCACTATCCGAGAATAACAACCATACTGCCCTTCTGGAATTAGGGAGGGGTGCCCCCTAAATGGATTAAACGTCGTCGTCTCCAAAACTACGATTCCGATTTGAAAAAATGTCTCAAAATTCTTTGTACATTTACAATTTTTGTAACAAGTCTCTACTCTTGGGATTTTAAAAAGATGACCAAATTTAAAACTTACCTAAGATCTACCATGCTAGAAGTTCGCCTTAACAGTTTAGCTTTATTATGTGTGTCCATCTTCTAAGTGTATATTGCACCAATATTAACCGTTGTATTTGTTAAAGCACCCTCTTGAAACCTGAGTGGCGGGCTGTGAGTATCACTTTGTTTTCGTCGTTCTCGTAGTTCAGCCGTAATGTTTACGATCACATGTTGGATGGGTAACTTGACATCCCAGAAGCCTATTTCTAATTAGCCTCGCAACTTAAGGCTTTGTAAAAGGCGTATTAGCAATGTAGTAACTGTCTACAACCCACTACATCCAAAGCCACATGCGTACATCTCGGTCAGTTCAATAGACATGGCCCTCTACCTGGTAGATTAGATTTGAAAGGTGTTAAACATTATTTGTCCTTGTCCACCGCGACCTTTTCAGATCTATTGTGGGACCTTCTACCTAGTAGTAACTAAATATCCCAGGCCAATATAGGGGCGGCACCTAGACAATATTCATATATAGATGATGCATTTGACAAACCACCTTCGTCAAACTAGCTGATTCGCTCACTACCAAGACCAGAGTCTCTAACAGAATAATTATATTAGTCAGATGTCACTCTACGGGGTATGGTTATAAGAGGGTGTCTATAAGGAGTGGTACTATACTTTTTCTATGAAACACCTGATTAACCATCACAACGAGAATATCTACAAGATTGCTGACTTGGATGATCTTGTTATTCTGCTATTATTTGGATTTAAGAGCATACTTTGCAATCTTTGCTCAAATTCTTAGAGAAACGGTACAAGAATTACTTTATGTCAGTCTCAAAAAGACAAAAAATAGTTATTTTCATGTAGAAAAAAAGCAACTAGAACTAAAAGTTTTTAGGCCATATGCGTGTTGTAAATAAAAATTGCATCTTTATAAATTCGAACTACATTCCTCCTGACCACCTTCTTAAAGTATCGCTATGTATTGAGTTCACTAGATTATGTTTCAGCTTTTTCAGTGATGGTAGCACCAACCTTATTTCATAAAATAACCATATTGTATTATTAAAAAAACCGTTTTATTCAAATTTTCAGGCAACGTTTAGAACTAATGCGCGAAATGTATCACAACGAAGCTGAAATGTCGCCAACATCACCTGACTACAACGTAGAATCTTTAACCGGAGGCGATCCGTTTTATGATAGATTCCCTTGGTTCAGAATGGTTGGTAGGGGTTTCGTCTACCTCAGCAACCTACTTTATCCCATTACTCTTATCCACAAAGTAGCCATTGTTAGTGAAAAGGGCGACGTCAGAGGTTATTTAAAGGTCGCCGTACAAGCCGTCATTGATGAAGATAATGCTGACCAAGTAGGAGTGAGACAGAGTGCCAGGATTGCCTTTGAAAGTACTCCAAAAAGTAAGCAAACATTTATTAGATAAGAAAAATTAATTCATCTATTTACTCGGAGATTCATACATTGAAAATTATCAGAAATGCCGTTTATCATTGGGATATGGTATTCAATTCATTAAACTGAGTTAGAAAAATATTTTTTCTACACCCACATGGATATTAGCTTATCTACGCACAAACTACAAAACGAAAAAGTATGCAATTGCGTTCAACTGAACGAGTATATTTCATATCCATTCTAGGTAGTGAGAACACTGCAAAAAAATGAAATCCACCTATCGCAGTTCATATTTTGGACACCCAACTACTATTATTTTCAAAATTTTACATAAGTGACAATTCTGTCAAACTAATGTTCAGTATATTTTTTAGTTATTGAGATTAAATTGAGTTATTTTTGTGTAGAATCGATAAATAATAGCATTTTTATTTGGTCCATATTTAAAAAAAAGAAATACATTTTAATCAAACTCTATGAAACTAATTTAATTACGAGTATTAAAATCAAAATCGTAAAAGTGACGGTGATGGCGAGGACATAGCGCTTGCCTTCCACGCGGAAAGCCCAGGATCAAAGCTGGGCTAGAGACTAATTAAATAAAATCTTTTTTTATTTTATAATTTAGTAAAATTCCTAAATTATTTTAAAATTAGTTATTTTGTCTTAATAACCTAAAATATTTTATTAAATTTGTAGATTTTCGTTAGTGGGTTCTAGAAAAACTATACTTTACAACTTGAGTGAATTATCAATATCCACTCTTGCACAAACTACTATAGTCATTCGCTAAAATTTATGAAATTGTTAAAGATTAAGTTACAGATTTAAATTTTGTTTTAAAGATTTAACACTGCTTTTAATTAGTCAAAAAAACTTGTTTTAAAGATTTGAAACTGGTTTTGAAAATTTAAAACTTGTTCGCAGGTATTTTGGATAGGAATATAAGAAACATGGAAGAAAGAATCGTCGAAGGACAAAACAACATCGATCCGATAAAATTGGACGAACTTATCGAATGCGATGCCGATTCTGGTCGAGGTGACAGCTCTGTTTCTTCTGATTTGAAAGAAGAAGAGATACCAGAGCATTTGTTGATTGGTAAAGAATTCACTTTTAGAGTAACTGTTCTCCAAGCAGTTGGAATATCCCAGGAATATGCTGACGTTTTTTGCCAATTTAAGTAAGGGTTTTAAATTATTTATAAGGTACTTCTTATTTTAATTCTTTATTTCAGCTTCCTACACAGGCATGATGAAGCGTTCTCAACAGAACCCGTTAAAAACACAGGAAAGGGTACACCACTTGGATTTTATCACGTTCAAAATGTAGGTAGCAAACAATTATGCAACTAAAAGTTGCTTTATTTGTACTTTTTCTGTCTTAGATCACTGTAACTGCAACAAAATCGTTCATTGAGTACATCAAGAGCCAACCAATAGTTTTCGAAGTATTCGGTCATTATCAGCAACATCCTCTACACAAAGATGCGAAACTAGAAGGCAGTCTTCGACAACCACCTAGGAGAATGCTCCCGCCTTCGATACCAATATCTCAACCTGTACGTTCTACCAAATTCGGAGCTTTGCCCTCACCTTGTACGGCACACATTCATGCCAAAGCCGATGTTCTGGTTTGGTTTGAGATTTGTGAGTTGGCACCTAATGGTGAATACGTACCAGCCGTGGTAGAGCACAGCGATGATTTTCCCTGCAGAGGGCTTTTCTTATTGCACCAGGTTGGTATATTTTTATGTAAAAAACGCAATTGGAGATATTAACATTAACATCACGCACTGATATTTTATAAAAAGCTGGTTAAAGTAGAAGCTAGTAAAATACAATGTTTTCTTTTCCTTTTTAGGGTATTCAGCGCCGTATCCGTATCACGATCGTTCATGACCCAGCATCAGAAATAAAATGGCGAGATGTTCGGGAATTGGTAGTCGGCAGAATAAGGAATTCGCCCGAGTCTGATGAAGACGAAGACAACGATAACTCAGTACTATCTTTAGGATTATTCCCAGGGGAATATCTCGAAATTCCCGGAGATGACAGAGTTATGTTTAGATTTGAAGCTGCTTGGGACAGCTCTTTACATAATTCTCCGTTATTGAATAGAGTTACTGCTCAAGGAGAGCAGATATTCATGACTATATCAGCTTACTTAGAGGTATAATATTAATAATAATAATAATAATAATAATAATAATAATAATAATGTGTGTGTATTTATTTAATAATGTACTTATAACATTTAAGAATGAAATAAATTCCTCCTTTTTGTATTTTAGTTGGAAAATTGTGGTCGCCCAGCAATTATTACTAAAGATCTGAGTATGGTGATCTATGGTAGAGATGCAAGAACTGGTCCCAGATCTTTAAAACATCTATTTTCGGGCAGCTATCGAAACGCTGAAGCTAATCGTCTCTCTGGAGTATACGAGTTGCTGTTACGTCGCGCTAGCGAAGCAGGTAGTCCAGGTAGATTCCCTTTAGTGTCCTCATCCCCGCATGTGCTGTTCTTTTCCTGTCTACACTCGATTTCTGAGAATTATGTTTTAATAATGTTCCAGTATGTTCAAAAAACTTTGTTATTAAACGTGGTTCTTGATTTTGTTGTATCTTTGATGTGTATGCACCTTAAATCAATTTTATATATATATATCGTCTGTCTAGTTTTGCCAAAAGATCATTCTGACTATGAATAAAAGCAATTAGCGTTTACTTTTTATTTTTTTTATGTTTAAATAGTTAAAAGTGACAAAAATAAATGGACTGTATACGTATGAAAAAGTAGTTCAAGACGGTACAGCAAAATTAAAAATGTTTAAAGGTAATTCTTAGAAATTGGATGTTGTCTTTTTGATTCTCAATCTTTTCCTGTGCTTTTATCCTTTAGTAACGTTTTAGAAAGAATTAAATGGCGATTTGATTTGACTTTACCTATAAAACAAGCTAATTATAATGGACAACGTTAATAAATTCTTATTATTGATGAAACGGAAAATAAATACGAAAATAACTATAATTTATACATACGGATTAAGAGAAAAACACCAAATTTTTAACCTTTTCTCCATCCTGAATTGATTTGATTTAGGGCATAGTCAGAGCATCTGGGGAAACTATAGCTGGTTCTATAAAGTATATTTGTTATTTATTAATTCAGAAGAAAATTCTTAGAATAAAAGTTGTACAATTTTTGTCATTTTCATTATTTCTCTAAAATGCACCATAATGAATAAATTGAGGAAAAGTGAAAAATACGAAGTTTCTCAATATTTTTGTTGGTAATGTCCATATGAAAAAAATGTTCTAATAAAATGCGTTGAAAATGTTTATCTTTAATTTTTAACACGATATTTCACTTCTACCCTTTCTCTAACGTCCCTTCATGGACGTGGTTTCCTTGAAAATAAAAATGTCTCGCGCCAAAACTTGGAACTGTTCTTCTAAATAATAAACATGATGATAGCGATCTAAAAGATCTATTTGCCTCTTCTGTCGCTAATGCATTGAGGAAATAGTCTCAATGCCTACAACCACCCTTCCAATCCTATCTTCTCAAGGAATTGTTGGAATGGCTGCTCCTAAGTATAGTGCCCTTGGATTCTAGAGTGCTACACATTCAGTCAGAATCTGAATGGAGGTTTCATCATTTTCCTCACAGAATCTGCACTCACTACGTTCTACTACTCTTAGTTTACAATAGGTATGTTCCAAAAACGATCAGAAACCAGTCACTGATACCAGGATTCTGCGCAGTTGATTATTTCGACCGCCAAAATCCTGCAGTCAGTGACTGGTTTCTGATTTTTGTTGAAACAGATCTTAAGATATCCTGAGTCGACAATACCCGGTAAGGACCCCTGTTACAATGCGTAGCCTGTTCTTCCTCAGGCTGATACAGGATTTCCATATTTTCTGGTTATATTCAGAAGTATATTAGTATGTCTCAATCCCAAGAGATTGTTCCAATTATCGGTTCTTCTAGTGCCCAATTCTTTTTTAATCTCTCCTAATAGTGTGTTACTGCTGATACCGCAGAACGGCTCAGGTCCCACAAAAGGTGTTTGAGCCCCTTTCCTTACGAGACTTTTTGCAATAATTATGTCCCGTGACCCAAGTAAGAGTAACTGTATTTTCCTCGCCTAGCTGATTCAGTTTTTCTATGCATCTACATGCCATTTCTGAGCTGTTTGCGTAAGAGCTCAGCGCTTTGATGGCTAATAAGCTATCGGTCATCTTGTCTGCGATGGTTTCTCTCTATGTTGAACCGGGTATACTTCGCAATGGTGTTAATTTCCGCCTGAAAGATGTTTGGGTATATACCCAAACTTTCAGATTGTCTGGTTCTAGGTCCATAGGCTCCTATTCTAGTTCCTTCTATGGTTTTGGAACCATTCGTATACTACTGAATGGCATGTCTTGATTCTTGACTTTTCTGCAGCCCAGCATCCGTGGTTTTGAAGTTTTTCACAAAACTACTTTCTCATTTCGTTCTGGGGCATATCCCAAGTGACTTCGGTTCTGAGGCTAATAGACTTTCGTCTGATTACTCCGTTCCTGATCATTATATATCTTGTCCTCTTTGCCACATTCTCTATCATTAAATATAGAGGGGTAAGGTTTAAAATTACCTCCTTTGGGACAGTAGGACAGGTTCTCATTGCACCGGTCGGTGATGCAAACACAGGCTAGTCTATGTACTTTGAGATATTTGCTCTCGTAGTAGCCAAACTAATTTTGTTACTCGAGGCTACAGCCCCATAAGTGATGATTGGTCTCACTATTGTTGTATACATCCATTGTAATGTGTTCGGGTTACATATCCATCTTTTACCCTGCATACCATTTGGGTTTTTGTGACCCTATTTACTACTTCCTTCTCATGTATATTACAAAGAAGTTTGTTATCCAGATATTTGACTTCTGTTTTCCTTTGTGTATATATCCCATCTAATTTGACGGTTTTAAGATTGAGATCTCTTTTCCTTGAAAAGGCTGCTACTGTTGTTTTGATGGGGTTTATACTAAGTCCCACCTCTTGGCACCATTATTTGGTGTATTCTAGTCCTCTTTGGACTATATCACACAGGATATTTCCAAACTTGCTTCTAGCAAATATGACTATCTCATCGACAGTGTATACCGAGGTCAGTCAATCTGCATAGAAGTTCTTCTACGGTTAGAATCCACATTAGTGGGGATATAACTCCTTCTTGTGGGCATCCTCTGATTGTGCAGATAGAGATAGTGTCCTGTCCTATATGTCTCTGCAGTTCGCGTTGGTAGCAGCTAAGCCATCCATCTGGATGTGGTGCCATCTACTTCTCTATATGCGAGTGCTCTTTTGACAGATTCGTGTGGCATGTTGTCAAACGCTCCTTCTTTGTCTAAGAAGGCACACACGACCGTTTCATTGTTTGCAGTGCATCCTGGATTTCATCAGTCAGCTGTACCAGGGCAGTTTCTGTATATCTTTCCACTCGGTATGTGTGCTGGAAGTGGTGGAGTGGCATCAAACATAATGAAGAAATATTTAAATAAATTTAGGAAATAAAATAACACTCTTTAACGAGCCAATAACAGTACTGCTTCGTTTAAGAACCAGAAGTGTAGGTAGAAAACTGGTAGGTATTTGCCCTATTTGTAATCTGAAATCAGGTGGTCTTAATAAGTGGAATTTGAAAACTGAAAAAAAAAAAATACTTGAAACAACAGATGCGGTTCTAAGTAGCGCTGGAAATTAACTTGCAACAACGGGAAACTTTTGGTATAGCAGTATAGCATTGTTGTGTTTTCTAATATATAAATTAGTAAATTACATGACCATTGTGAGTACAAAAATGGCTTTCTAAACCAAAGCTATGTTGCATGGAAGTTGTATAAATGTGTGTGTTCCATGTGTATGTATGTTTTATTTTAGGTGTAGTTAGGGTACAGAGCTAAAACAAGTGTTATTCATTACGTTAAATGGTGTTGACTTAGATCAGAAACATCTGTTTGTCCAAAATCAGAAGGACAAGAGACTTACCTATATGACAGTCAATGATTCTGAAAACTCCTAATGTTGACAATGATAACGATAAAAATAAATTTTACAAGATCAATAATTTCAAATCACCAATTAACCTTTTTTGACTTAAAATGTTAAATGTTTAACGTTTATTAAATTTGAAGTAATCTACAGGTAATAAAAATAGAATCTTCAATCGATTATACTTCCAGGTGTACAAAGACGCCAAAGACGTGTCTTAGACACAAGTACGACTTACGTGAGAGGAGAGGAAAATTTACACGGATGGAGACCAAGAGGGGATTCCCTTATATTCGACCATCAATGGGAACTTGAAAAATTAACGCGCTTGGAGGAGGTAGAAAGAGTTAGGCACACCCTGTTGCTTAGAGAACGCTTAGGATTAGATAGGACCATAAACTACAACAAATATAAATTGGAGTACACCAAAAATGAGAAAGAGGCTTGCAACATGGTCGCCAAAAATAACAACATTAATGCCATTGGTAAGTGGTCACAAATTAAAACAAAATATTAAGAACTATGATTTCCTGTGACTGTACTAGCAGAAATCTCTAATAAGTCTATATTGAGATGAAATTTTTAAGACTTTTAAAGAAATCGATTTAGAAGGTCTTAAGAATCAATGGAATAAAATGTTTTTAATAAAGGTTTTTTTAATTGCATTCCTTATATTGGTAAGTTTGGCAAAGTTAAAAATTACTAAATCTGGTGAAACAGTTCTACCAAATTAATATGTAATAAAAAAATTCTAAACATTTACAACACTAATTTTAAAATAACCTTCTGGCATCATAGTATTTTAGTATAAGTTTTAAAAATAAACAATCAATCGATTGGCGCCCAACGTGGGGCAAATAATAAAATCCAATTTCAATACCCCCACATAAATAACAAAAACATGAAAAACATTGAAAAAAATTAGTGTAAAAAGAAAAAGTAAGAACAAAGGTCAAAGGAAAAAATATTTTGGATAGTAAAAAGAATAACAGGGCAAGACAAATTAATTTAAAATGTAATATAGCGAATAACATAAAAATAATGATAACTATAAATAATACAAGAAACATAAAAAAATAACAAATTTGACAGAAATAGATTAAACAATCACAGGAAGTAAAAATAATAATTAATAAACAAATATGAAAAAGATACAATTTAACACTGTAGACATGAGCAAGAGAATTTAAACAGGTTAAGTAATCCAAGAAAAACATAAGACAAGTAAGAATAAGGAAAGAATTTTGTATATGTACAAGAAGAGTATTATAAAGAAGAAATATGTGAAACAAAAAAACATGATTAGAAATGTTAAAGTTTAAAAATACAAAACTCACCAACCTATATAAAGAACAGCTTAGTGTCCGACCGAAGATTCGGATTCGGTTACGCTTTCGGCCAATTTCGGCCTAAAATAAGTCTGCTGTAATTTCGGTTTCGGTGGAAAACTCGCCGAAACTGCAGCCGAAATCGAAACTATTTTCGAGAGTTTTCGCATCACGCTTGGTGGCGTCCGGCACAATGGCAACTGTGTCGGGTGCCAATTCCTACACAGTGCACGTACACACAAACTTCTTTTCTGTATTCCAAGTAAACAGTTTTCAGTGCTCTTGGCCAAATTTATTTGGATTGGATGAGCATTTTGTTAGGTGAAAACGTAGAAAAATTATTCTAGCCTCCAACATTAGACTATTTAATTATGCATATTAATTTAAGTAACAAACATATTTTATCAGCTGTATTGTTTTTTTTTTAATTAAAAACTTAAATTTGTATTTTGATAGTTTTTTAGTTCTGTTGGTAACTCCAAAACTATGTAATAATTACAATACCTAATATATAATAATACTATTTTTTGTTACAAAAAAATCCACTACAGATGTAGAGATCGATTTTTTTGTGAAGAGCATATTTCGTCATAGCTATGCCACAGTTCGCGCAGTACGTCATAACTTTGTGGAGCTTCAGTTGATGGCGCTGGGCTGAAATCTGCTGCGGTAGGGGTACCTGATATCTTAGCAGTGGCGTGTGTACATTAATAAAATATTTTAAATCGAACGTATTAACAAGTTAATGTTAAATTTTAACTATTCGTTAGTTAAATTGCTGATGAACTTTGAATTAATAAAACAACTAAAAGTTTAAATAAATAATATATTTTAATTTAATTTGTATAATTTTAAACAGTTTCATCATCTTCATCATCTTCCAAGTCGGAAATATCGGATTCCCACTCATCGGATGACCCCATGTTTATACTAAATATGAGGGAATCTGTAAATTCATCCATAAGGTGTTCTCTTTGAATATATGCATCCTCATATTTCGCGGAATGGTCCACCACGTTTGCCCATTCCTCCGGCGTTGTGCTTCGGAATTTTTCTCTTGCCAACTTTTCAACATTATCCAACTTGAATGTTGTGTTATGTTGACCCACCCAATTTTTTACTGTGGCCCATATTTTTTCTATGGGATTTAATTCAGGATGATATGGAGGTAATCGTAGAACTTTGTGTCCATGTTCTTCGAGAAGATCGTCTAAAATAAATTTCGGTGGAGGTCTGTGAACTTTTATTAATGTGTACAGTTCTGGTTTGGTCATTTTAGCATCATGTGGTATATTATTTTTAACGGGCCAGTTAATTAAATCTGCTTTTTTGGTCTGCGTTGTAATCGATTTTTCAGATTTTACATTATGATAACTTGCATTATCGATTACAAGTACAGACCTTGGAGGAAGATTTGGTAGTAACTGCCTTCTAACCCATTGGGAAAAATTATTCCAGTTCATTTCATCATGATAATCTCCTGTCTTTTTCCCTGAAAAAAAGTAAAAAAGAATTTATTATCTATAATGCAAGTATATTTTTCATAATTATTTTTGTATGATACTTAAACTTTCAAAAAAACTCTTTTAAATGAAATAATTGCTTGGTTAAGCAAAAATTATTAGGAATTTTAAATCACTTAAAAAATAATCTGTTTTTAGAAGAAATATTTCTTCAAGATGATAAAACTTATTATTATAATTCTAAGAAAAAGTTATTACTAAAAACTTTCCCTTGTATAACAATAAAGGATTAAGTACAGGTAAAGATCTTTTAACTAAACTGAAGATAATAAAATAAACCACTACATTAAGTACTTAAATTACTTGTTAATTAGATTCTTTAACAGTTTAAATTAAATTTAAGCTGATCATAACTTTCGATTGTTAAGCATCATGGATTTTTATGAAGTAGGTAAAGACGCAAATAATAAATAATTTTCTATAAAAAATAGATTATTACCTCAAGTAAATATCAACAGTCCATTTGCTACAAAACCATCCTTACTCCCTGCACATCGAGCGCTTTTTTCACAATAATACTAGTATTTTTCATTTATTATTGTTTTAAGCTTATTTGAAAAATTATTTTTAACTTTTTAGTTTGATATGCTCTAAAAGCGTGTTTTTTAGTTTTTTTTTAAACTATACTTATTTTTCACTTTTTAGTTCGATGTATTATAAAAGCGTGTTTTTTAGTTTTTTTAAACTATATTTTTGTTGCTATATAGTAACTTAAACTACAGTTCTGTAGTATGAAATCAAACAAAAAGTATTACCACAACGCAAAAAAAAATAAAATTTTTTCAGAGTATGATAACTGTTTTAAGGATTCTGCTTTTATTTATTATTCGATTAGAATTTTCTTTTAAGAATTCTCTAGACAAATCTTTCCTTTACAATTTGTATTGAAAAAATATTTTTTTTTTGTTTTATCTGAGTGTTTAATTTTAGTTTCAGTTTTTTCATCAAGAAATAATAATATGTTTACCGATCCTTAAAACAGTGATCATACTCAGACTTTTTTTTATTTTTTTTTCTGCGTTGTGGTAATACTTTTTTGTTGATTTCATACTACAGAACTGTAGTTTAAGTTACTATATAGCAACAAAAAAAATATCACGTACAATACCTTAAATATTAAGAACTTGGTGATAAAATATATAAAACCTACGAATTTTATCTCATTACCGCAGCAATAGCAAATATGGTTTACAAAAAATCTGGTTTTAAAAGGTATTTAAAATATTTCAGGATGTTCGGTTTCTTCTGAGATTAATATTTATAGTTTTATAAATATACTTACCAAAATATACACAAAATTAATTAGGAATTTAAAAAATATAACAAATTAAAATTTATATACACACAAATCGAAGCACAAAAACTCAGGAAACTCAAAAATCGAAGCACAAAACTCAAGAAACTCAAAATGGCTAAATAAATGCAACAAGTACAAATAAGTAACACTGCGCTACTGAATTCAACTTGTATGAGCGGTGATGAGCGGCAGGCGGCTTCGATCACGTTTAAATCTGTCTGACCACGCCTACAAACTCAAATTGGTTTCTGCACATTATGACGAAGTGTGCTCTTCACAAAAAAATCGAGCTCTAGCAACGATTGCTACTTTGAAATTCACTTACTTTTTAATTTCAAAAAGCAATAAAAACTAAAACTATGTCAATAAATTAATTAATGAGTTTTGATCACGTAAATGAATAGGTACTGAGTAAATGCAGTTAAAATTTACAATATGAGTTAATTAGTCTATGAAATTGCTTAAAGGAAAGTTTCGGTACCTGTTTCGATTTCGACCGAAACTAAGAAAGGAGCCCAAATTCGGTTTCTGTTTCGGTTATAAAACCTTGTTTCGGTCGGACACTATATTATGTCTTGCTGTAGTGAAATTACAACTTAAATAATTACAGTTAATTAGCAGCAAATAGGATGAATAATAATTTTTTTTTTCAAAAGTAAAAACTTGACTCTTTATTTGCAGCAAATAACGATGCAGCTGCCGACTATGCAGAAAACGAGCGTGACCTCCTCTTGAAATGTATTCGTCTCATTCAAGGTAGACATAGAGATAGCTCAAATAACAATAAAGACAACGATGTAGCTAGTCCCTCGGAAGAAGTGACCGAAATGAGTACCAGTATGATGTCAAGCATGCTGTCGAACAACTCGATCGAACTATGCTCTCCCGAGAGGGCCGCAGTACCTGGAGAATGCGCACCTTACCCCAGCCACCCCCTGTCTCCTCCTGGTCCACGGGATCCGGAACTAGTTTTGTACGTACCAGATATGGAGGAGATAAGAATTTCTCCTGTGATAGCTAGGAAGGGTTACCTTAACGTTTTAGAGCACAAGACACAAGGATGGAAAAAGCGATGGGTGGTAAGTAGAAAAGAGGATAAAATTATAAATAGACTCGTCCCACAGGTATAAATTTTCTTATAAATTTGGTATGAAGGCTTAACTGTAACCTATAGCCTGATAAAATCGAAATAATAATTCTTAAAAAGACGCCCGTGTTAAAAAGTAACATAAACGTTTACCTTTTCCATTTCAGTCTGTTCGCCGTCCTTACGTCTTCATTTTTCGAGACGAGAAGGACCCAGTGGAACGGGCGCTGATTAATTTAGCCACCGCTCAAGTAGAGTACTCGGAAGATCAGTTGAGCACGGTCCGCCTCCCGAATACCTTTAGCGTAGTAAGCAAGCACAGAGGCTACCTCTTACAAACCTTACACGAGAAGGAAGTACACGATTGGTTGTACGCCATCAATCCACTGCTAGCCGGGCAAATTAGATCCAAATCCGCTAGACGTAACCCGCAAAATACCATTGAAAATACGAAGGAAATTACGGTTAATTTGAAATGAGATTTAATCACTATGGAATCCGTGTTGGTTTACTAGTAGCTTTAATGTATGTAAGTTATCTCATTGTCTTTAAAAATTGTGATCTGAAGCTATAAAAGAAACTTTAATGTACTACTTAATATCGGTGTTTGCAATTCTTCAATGTAAAATTAAAAAAAAAAAAACAAGTCGCAGTATTTGTCTAAGATATTTGTATAGTTGATATAAAGTGCGCGAGAAACATTGAAGGTTGTCATTCATTTATTTTTTAGTCTTTTGGTTCATATTATCAATTTTGTTTCTTCAGTTTGATTGCAAAGAAAATAAAATCGGCTTCAATTGACTCGTAATACCAAATTATCGTGTGTAATTTGTTAAAAGTAAATAAGCCTATTTCTATTTTTAACCGACTTCAAAAAAAGAGGAGGTTATCAATTCGTCGCGATATTTTTTTTTTTATGTATGTTCAGCGATTATTCTTTAACACGGTGTCCGATTTCAATGATTCTTTTTTTGTTAGAAAGGGGGTATTTCAGGGGTGGTCCCATATAAATTTAGTCAAAATCTAATAATTGGGTCCATGAGAAAATCCTCAAACTCTTCATTTTTTATGTATGTTCAGCGATAATTTTTTAACACGGTGTCCGATTTCAATAATTCTTTTTTTGTTAGAAAGGGGCTACTTTAGGAGTGGTCCCATATAAATTTGGTTAAAATGTGGTGATGGCATCTGCACGTTTTTGAAGTCGGTTTTTTTAAATTTTTAATTTGTAATACTTGTATAGCCTCTTTATTACCCAAAAAATTTCAGACACTTTCAAAACTCTCAAAACAGTTTTTAAACTCATCGTTTTTGTCACAATTTAAAGACTTTTTATCCGGGGAAAGAAAGGGCCCGTATGTGGTGATGAATAAGGTGGTGGGGTTTGCGGTTTTGCTGCAGCCCATTTTATGACATTTAAGTTTTGCAAGTATATTGTAAAAATATTGCGACCGTTTTGCAATATAAAATTATAAAAAATTATATGTTAATTTCATACTTTTTGTGGACTTGCAAATTTGAATAAACAGGTCTAGCGAGTTTAACATAAAATTTACAGAAAAGTTAATTTTACTTTGTGAAAAATTTGCAAAATATTGATCATTGCTAATTTTCTCTATTTGCCGACGTCATGCTGTTGCAAAATGAATAGCATGCGGTCATTTGCAATCAATGTTTGTACAAGTTACAATTTTTCCGAACCTTAATAGCAATTAATTAAATGAGAAAAACCAAACTTGGTAGATTTCACAAACACTTTTATTAAAAAAATTATTTTTATTATAATCGCGTCCTCTGTTCCTATAGAAGAATCGAGCATGTACCTAGATAATACAGGCTTTGATATGACATGTGCTACTCTCTTTATCATTTGCTTGTTCCAGAGTAAAGAGGCTGACGTCGTTTATCGCAAAAGGAAGTTTATCATTATAAACTTCTGTAAAAAAAAGTGTTATTCAAAAATAAATTGGACGTGGAATCATATAAAATCGTTCTCATTATAAATAAAGATTTCAACATTATGTAGCACCTTCTACTTGACATAACAGCATGGAATATCCAAGTACAGCTAGATACTGATGGATCCCTAACACGCAAGCAGCATGGGAAGTTTATAGGTAATTAAAAAAACTGAATAATTCTTGTTTTTAAGGACCTCTCTCTCTCGTATACCTACTTTCAAATAAAAATTGTCTTATTCTGAATATGTATGTTTTATACAAACATTGAGAAACAAAATTCAAAACCAGTAACTCAATTTATTTATTTAAGAGTAATTATTTCAAAAAAATAGTGTCAAAAACTTCTCCGACAATTGATAAGCCATGAAAATTTGTAATGTATTATGAATGAAAAAATGTAAGTCAATAATATCATCTAGTAGAAGCCAAATTTTTATCATGAGAACTACTCATAAAATGAGAGTTTGTAATGAACATTAAAGCTCAAAGCTTGCTTTTTGATTTTGTTTGTTGAATCAGTCGTATATTGAGTGAAAGAAACAAATTGACAATATGAACCAAAACGTTGTCTCTGTTAACAATTTTTCATACTGTGAAAAATCGCTAAAATTAGACAATTAATTATTAAAAACGGTGTTTCGTTGCATAACCAAAAGCGATTAATAAAAGAATTGTAAATTTTCAAAAATAAGGACTTAAAATGCGAAAGTCTTTAAATTTATCCGCAGTATTCTCCTTATTAACGTTTCGGTGAAAATGGAAACATCGCTCATATAATTTATTGGATTCCATATGTGATTAAGAATATAAAAATCTAGTCATTTTTTTTTAATTCATAGGTTATATTTATTGTTTATTAATTTTTTACAACTTTTTAAATATTGAAATGTGCATAGAGTTATGATATATAGTATAAATTGATGAGGAATTGTGGAAAAAAAATAGAGAAATACCTAACTTTGTTAAACTATAGTCTTATACGAATATTAATTTGAGCAATGATCTCAGTGTTTTTAGGAGAATTAAAAAAGAAGCTTATAATTCTAAAGCCGATATGAACGCATGAACAGTATTCACGTCAAATTTTTCAAAAAGTCCTTTATCAAAAGACTCAAAATTGTAAAATTTTATACAAATTCAAATAGTGGGACAACTTGAGAATTTTAACACCTGGCAACACCCAAGTTTAAGTAAAAGTTTAACGAAAGTGTGGCTTGCTTGTATAAACACAAATACGTGCAAAATGTAACTAGCTTTTAAAAAAACCACACGCACACATGAATTTATATGACGAATTCAAATATTTAATATCATATGAGGGTTATCCCAACAGTAATGCACAGTTGGCTCTAACCAGGCTTTTAAAATAATTCCCTAAATTATCAATTCCCCCATGCCATCGGCGCGAATGTGTTTGGATTCCGTTCAGCGTCCAGTACTTATTGAGCATCCGAATATGTCGGTTCACTTCTTTTCAAAGCTCTTCCAGCTTCGGAAAATGCACTCCCGAAGGACTTTCTTCAGTTTTAGATACATATCGAAGTCAGGTATGCTCAGATCAGGATTGTACAAAATCAACGAACGCAATATTCCTGGACTATTGCTGAAATCTGACCCAACGGACTGTTCTCGTTGTCTTTTCGATTTTTTTCATTTTCCATTTAAACTAATCCCACCCTATGATACCGAAGTGTTTTTAAGACTTCAATCTACATACTGATGCTTCAATCAGCTGTCTACGTTGTATACAACGCCCTCTAGAGCGCGCTGTGTATTACTTTGGAAAAACCCTCGTAATTGATTAAATTATCCGAAACCTTGGCAGCCTCAAAAATTCGATATCTAAGTACATTTGAGGTTCATTTGCATCCTGGTTGTTATATATTATATAGAGACTCAGATAGCCCCAAAAAATGTTTTTAAGTAACTAAAAGTCAGTGAAGCAGAAAGAAAATATATAATTTTTTTTATTAATAAAATTTGGCTGTGAATACTCTTTCATTATTCTTTCAGTAGAATTTGTAACTGTAATACATGTACCAAGTTTCACCTCTAACCTATAAAATTTTTACTTGTAAGGCCTCATTTTTTAAGGTGCAGTAATCATAAATACATGTGACATGAACACAGATTTTACTTTCGGGCACTGTAAGTGTTAATGTACAGGGTGTTATTTCTTCTGTCTTTTTTTATGTAATTTTTGTTTAGCGAATATTGTGATCATCGTGATTGCATTCCTGGATTTTTGTATATATTTTTTTCAGTTTTTAGACATTAATATTTTTATTTGCACTGTTACATAAGTGAAAATCACCAAATTTGTTATTTTGTTATTATTTTAGGCAATGGATTTGGTGATTTAACTTGTTTTATTGTATTAACGACCACGTGACTGATAGTTTTTTAGTGCGGCTAATCTTGAAACACTAGTTGAAGGTTTAGAATATATTTTTGGAAATGGTTTTGGGATGGGCATTAGGTCTCACTTGGAAAGTAGTCAGTGGGTAATTTTTAATTAACGGAACTTCTACATATTGACATGTTTCTGTATCTTAAAAATGTTTAATATAAATATTATTTGTGATAATTAAAAGTCTAAACTTTCATAACTATGAAACACAGTTGTTATCAAGTTAGACAATTTTGCTGATATTTAAGCAACTGTAGAGCTATTTTCAATATAAGTTATTGATACTGTACCCAGTCACTATTTCTTAAAAGCATGTAAAAGCAATTAAATGATGGTGAAAGATTGTGTATATGGGGATCAAAAAAGTAGTATATCATCGAATCTTGCTTTTGCCACGTTTTAGCTCAAATAATTTAAATAGTTAATAATATTTGGGGTTCAATTTCTTTACTCCTTTCATATATAAAGGGTGTCCCATCAAGAGCGCCGGATTTAAATTTGCCGCCATTTTGTTAATACGAGTTGCACTGTCAATTTTTTTTGACAGATGTCACCTACAGACCGCGCGATTTAAGAATATGGAGAAGTATTCAAATGAACAACGTTTAATTATTGTAAAAACACATTACAAAAATGGTGAAAGTTTTGCGAAAACAGTTCGCCATTTACGTCAAATTTTCGGTCGTCATGATGCGCCAAATGAATCGACAGTGAGGCGTTTAATTACAAAATTTGAGACCAAATTTACGCTGATGGATCAGAAGACCATTGTACGTCGTCGTCCTTGTCGGTCACTCGAAAATATAGCCGCAGTAAGGGAATCTGTGACCGAGAATCCGGGAACTTCCATTCGGCATCGTGGTCAAGAATTAAACATTTCCAGAGGCACTATGCAACGAATTTTGGTAAAAGATATGCACTTGCATGCGTACAAGGTTCAATTGGTGCAAGAAATCAAGCCAAGAGACCATGCGCAACGCCGTGGATTTGCTGATTGGGTGTTGGAGCATCATCAAATTAATGCGGATTTTTCGAAGAAAATAATGTTTTCAGATGAGGCACATTTTCAACTCGACGGATATGTAAATAAACAAAACTGTCGGATTTGGGGTGCTGAAAATCCTCGTGTGATACTTGAACAACCAATGCATCCACCACGAGTAACTGTTTGGTGCGCATTTTGGGCTGGCGGAGTGATTGGGCCGTATTTCTTTGAGAATGCGGCTGGAAATGCGCTAACTGTTAATGGTGAGCGATATCGCGAGATGTTAACGGATTTTTTGTGGACCGAATTGGATGAAATTAATGTGGAGGACATGTTTTTTCAACAAGACGGTGCGACCTGCCACACAGCTCGTGAAACAATGGTGTTACTGCAGACTAAGTTTCCAGGCCGTGTCATTTCTCGTTTTGGCAATCACCATTGGCCACCAAGATCATGCGATCTAACGCCGATGGACTTTTTTCTCTGGGGCTATGTGAAGCAAAAGGTGTATGCAAATAAGCCTGAAACAGTGGAACATCTTAAAGAGGAAATACGGCACGTTATTGGTGAAATACAGCCTCATTTATGCGAAAACGTGATTCAAAATTTCACCAAAAGAATAACTCTGTGCCAGAGGTTTCGTGGTGGCCATTTGCCTGATGTTGTATTTCACGTTTAATCGTAACCATTTTTCTTTATGTTAAAATAAAAATGTTGACTTAATTCAAAACATAAATGTGTTTTTCCTTCAAATTAAATCCGGCGCTCTTGTTGGGACACCCTATTATGTGCAGAAATAACGCATCACCCTCTAAGTGTATATTTTTTAAATAAATGTTTTTACGATGTAAATCATAATAATTGATTAAATTTTCACTGGAAACGTGCATCATTTATTGACCTAATTCAGTTGTTCTTTACACCACAAACACAGAATAAAAAATTATTTAATAAATATACAATTTGAGTGGATGATGCATTTTTTTTGTCACATAGTAAATACACTGTGGAACAGTCAATTGGAATAAATTAGGTAATAAATAAATGGGGGCGTATTCGGAAAAATGCTCGGTCACGTCGATTGGTATTTTTAGTTGCGCCTTTCTTTTAACAAAAACATTTTATACGGGGTGTGTCATATAACAGTGGCCAATACCAAATTTCTTATTTTAAATGCAACACCCTGTATATTTTTCAGTTTTTGGATTCTTCAGAAAATTCTAGACGTATTTCAAGTACTATGTCTAACTGTTTCGGAAATATTATATGTTTTCCGATTTATTGCAAAATTAACATTAATAAAATAAAATTATTTGATTACAGAAATTTGTTACAATACACTCAATAACTAATAAATAATACTGTTTATTTCTTGATAATTGATGTGTCCGAGCGTTTTTCAGAACACGCCCCCATTTATTTATTACCGAATTTATTCCTTTTGGCTGTTCCACACCGTCTTTTTTAGAGTATATTAAGATATCTTAATAATTATGTTTTATACTTTAAAGTAAGTAAGCAGGATACAAGAAAAGTAAATTAAAACGGATTAAATATAAATTTCAAAGTTTGCAAACTTAAAATCTCTATCTTCGATTATTAAAAATAAGAATTTGTAAAACTCTTTTCAAGGATCTTATTTAAAACAACATAATAAGGGTAAGGAGTCGAGAAGCTGACTTAATAACTAATGTAGTTTTTGGTGAAACAGTGTAAAAACGGCGATTGGATACCAGGTGTACAAGGCAGATCATGCCAAGCTGAATCCCGGTTTGACTAGTCATATTAAGAAAAAAAGGGAGTCTTTGAAGAAACAATGACATCAATCCAATTATAGTGTAGACACATCTTTATTTTCTACTTTACTGTGTACACAAAGTTGGTGCGCTGGCCATTTTTCATCACTGTGTCTGAAATGGCTGGTCTTAAAGTGATATTCAATACAATCTGCGTTAACCTTTACTGCTCTATTACTTTTCAATACATCCAGAAATACAGAAGCTGGATAATAATATAGCACAAAAAGCTAAAATCAAAAGAAGAACATCGTATAAAACAGATAGAAATTCTGGATTACCTCCTGTACCTTCAGAGGTTTAAGGAAATTTTAGATAATCGCTCGTTTTAGGTATTTTAAATTTCCAAATATTTGAATAATATTAATGAGCTTGGCTGTGATCGGGGGCGTAAAGAGATCACAAAGGGGCTCCAATGTATTCAGACATTCTGAAGAAAAATCTATGAACTCTTAAATCCACTCTTGATTATTAATATTCATAAAAATATGACAAATCGAAATGCCGTTCAATATACATGTCATCGAAACTTTTGAGGTTCAGAACAGGCAGATGCAAACATCGCAATAACACAATTTTCATTTTTAGGAGTAGACACCAAAGTTTAAATTATACTTGTTATTGATAAATAAATGTCTCGTGAAAATGATGTTTCTTTATTATAACAATGAAAAAAATTATAAGGGAAGCGTGAATATATTTTTATAATCCAGGGAAGCTCAAAGCAAAAAAGGTAGGGAATCCCTGCAGTAGAGAAACATTCTAAAAATATGTTGGTCAGAGATAAGGGACATAAAGATAGGAAACGCTCATACGAAGCACATGCTTAACAACGACCAGCTCGAACGCAGTTAACATCTGACCCACTATGTGGCGCTATCATCGATATCAAACAAATAATGCAGCGGGAAATTTAAAATCTGATAATAAAGGTTATATAAATATCGACTGTACTTTCATGTTCTGGTAAATAAATTTAAATAATGTTAATTACGGTAAATTATTTATTAAAAAGAATACTACACTTACAGACTATTATCGATTAATTGTTGTAAATCTATTCATGACAAATATTTTTTAATGTTTGATTGTTAGTTGTAACTTTAACATTTTTATTTTCCAAACGAGTGGCCAATGGTGTTTAATTTTTCTTCCCATAACAAATATTTTCTGCAACATTTTGTAGTCATTTTCTTGCTTTTAAGCAATAAATACTTTGTGATAAAAGTTGGCTACTGTTTGGGTCACTTACATGGCTACATATTACTTTGGTAAATTAAAGATTGGGGTTGTTAAATTTATTCATGTGGCATTTGTTACTAATGCAATACGTTCTCAGTCTCATTTTAATATTACAAAATATAATTATTGCCCTCAAATTCCACAAAAAAAAACAATGACTACCATTTTGCTTAGTTCACCTTACAATTATAAAGCATTTATGAACACAAATTTTAAATTCAAATTCAGAATTCTACGGTATACATACAACTGACATTTATTTTTACAAACTGTCCACGTCTACCGTCTGTCTACAAATGACGTGTACCTTTAGTTAACATCTGAGACGCATAGATGACGCCATCGTTGCTGCGGTTGTTGCGTTTCCTATCTTCATGTCCCTGATATCTGATGTTGGAGCAGCATGTGGTCGAAATACGTGTTATGCCATCCTAGGAAGGCTATCTCGCCCAGTTATATGCCAGTCTTGTTGGATGACACTTCACTAAATTTCAAATATAACGCAAGTGTTTTAAGTAAATTTGTATTTTTTTGAGATCTGCGACTATTGTCGCCGGCGAGCGACATATATGCAACATTAAAATGAAACATTTCTAATTACCGCTGCTTCGTGTTATGTTAACTGATCTAAAACTAAATGTTTTTCGCAATTACATTTATAGAGATTTTTAGTTTTACTATTAATGTTCGAAAATAAGATGGTTTGAAACATAGGACTTAACTTTTTAGTTCCTTAATTTTTTACTTGTATCCTGATTATCTACTCCTTCGAAAATAGTTGATGTTTACTACTATTCTCATTTGGTAAATTGTAGCATAAATTTAGTGTTTTTTTCTTATTATCGAAGTTACGTTTGAAAAATTGATTCAATTAATGTTATCTCTTTATAATATTAATATAACGATTTATTTATTATTTATTAAATTGGGAAGTGTCTAGTATCCCTCATTTGACCTACAGAAATGTCATAATGAAGTTGCTCTGAACGTTTCAAATCGGCAAACCATTTTATATGCTTTATGCTAAACTTTAAAACCCAAAGATTTGCTAAAAGTTACTTTCCTTGTGGGTGTTAGAATGACTACGAAAATACATGTAGATTTTTGATTTTACTTACACTGATTTTTAATAATTTTTGGCAAAATCATAGGTCATTGCAAAATGTATGGGTTTGACTCAATTTCTAATTTAAGAAAACCAATACGAAGTAAAAAATTATGAATATGGATTGTACAATACTTACATCGAGAAATAGTTGACCAGTAAAAAATATAACTGTTCAACTGCATCTAAGAGTACTGCATGTGATGTGTTGTAAAACCTATATACCGAAATTTTTCTTTCAAATCTGTGTACAATTTTGTAATACGTTAAAATTTATTCTTACAACCATGAGAAAATAAAAATGTTGTAGTACGGTGAAAATGTACGAAATTGAGTGAAACCCCTAGAGGACTTAATTTGTTGTAGTTGCTTGTTAATGAAGTCATATGTTTATTTTTCTAGTTACATAGTTTTTTCGCCTCTAATAAGACTCTTTTGAGCATCCACTAGACTATGCTGTAATTGTATAAAAGCATATATATTAATATTACGGAAAAAGTAGACCTTCTAGAAAAAATTTAATTATTTTTATTTTTTAATGAGGTTATCATTTTTTTGTCCTTCATACTTATTGTATCATTGTATAAGTATTATATGAAATAAAATCATTAAAATGATTACTTATTGTTATTTTCATATTTTCCCTTGTCTTTTGTTTTCTTTCTTCTTAACGGTAGATTGGCTAAGGATCAATCCAAAAAATATATACCATAGGTCTTTATTTCTGCAACGCCATGATACAAGAAAAAATATTGTTAAATTAATTTGAAAAACATGCTTCCGGCACATTTGCCAAAGTTAATAAATTATTGTTCACAGGTGTTTTTTTCATTACCTACCAAACCTCATCTCAAAAACCTTGATTTAGCAAATATAATGACTTATTACGTCCATTCGGAACGCTAATTAATATCTGATTCTGAATTGGTTACATACTTCTACAAAACTGGATGATATAGAAGATAAAATTTGTGAAAAAACACGATTTAGAATTTATGAATAATTAGCATTTGTACGATATTATTGGACTCTATAAAATATTTGGTACGCCTATGTCTGGTAGTCGTTCCCACTTTGCCAACCACAAAAGAGTCAAATGATTCCGATCGATTCACCTTGGCACTGTACAGAGGCAAACGGGAAGTTGGGAAGTACAATCACTCGGTAACTCCCAGATGCCTGTAATATAATAATTATTCAATACAATTTTCGATTTTATTGAAAACAATTATTTGAAATTAAAACTAGAATATAGTATATTACAATATTTTTCCTACGACCACAAAATAATGTCATCAAAAAAATGTAAAACCAAGGTTATTATTACTATAATAATTAAAAAGTATTTAAAAAAATAATCAACAATAATCGTATTTATTCAAATTTCATATTTTCTAAACAAAAAAAATAAAAAAAAAAACAAAAAAAAATTCTGCCCCGCCAGGATTTGAACGCGGTCGAAAAATGGCAAAGTTGATAAGTTCGACGTCCTAACCACCTGAGCCAATAGCCCTTGTGTCAATTGAATGATCTAATCGGTTATGTATTTAACCAGAATAAAGAGCAAACATTATTTTAAGATTATTTTAATAATAATTGTTAAAGACAAATATCTAGGATCTAATTTACAACAATTTCAACAATTTAACAATCATATCGATTTTAGTATTAATATGGACATTACATAGATCAAAATAGAAATTAGGTGTTTGACATTTTGTGACAACTACTGCGGAAAGTAACATATTCTCACTCGGGTGGAAAGTAAATTCTTATTCATACGCGCGTGATATAGGGCACTTTCCATAGAACTATTTAGTGTGATATGTGTCACTTTCCTAAGTGGTCGTAGGAAAAAGATATATAATGCTTGGCATTCTATATTATACTCTTCGCAGTTTAACATCCCCTTAAATAGCCTGATTTTTAACGAAGATTTCATTTTTTTTTTTTTATATTTAAACTAGAGTTGTGCAAAATAATAGATTATTCGATTATTTTTTTAAATCGATAGTCGATGATTTTAGATTAATTATTCTAAATAATCGATAATCGTTTATTTATTTTGGTAGTTGCCTAGCCCAAACCCCCTATCCCCCATAGATTTTTTTTCAGAATCAATAGGCTTCATTTTCTTGTAGATCTTGATTTTTACTAAATATTTTAAGTTGATATATTTTTGAGTTAGGACTTTTTAAATATTTCAACCCCTCTCAACCCCACTATTTTAATTCAGATATTTTCAGAATCAATAGGCTCAATCTTCTTATAGAACATGATTTTTCCTAAAAATTTCATGTTATCGCTTTTTGTTTTTGATTTTTTTTATTTTAACCTCCCTTAACCCCCATTTTTACTTTCCTATCTGTATACAGATAAGGAAAGTATAGGAATCATGATTTTTTCGACATCGAGTTTTCGACGGATTTTTACGTTTTGGGGTCCCCTGAATCCGTTTTGACTATTTTCGCGATGATGTGTGTCTGTATCCACCATAACTCATGAACCGATACAAAGAAAAACACAAAATTTTAAAGTTAAGCTTTATTCCGGCCTCCAGTGGTAATTTTTATATTTTATGGAATATATCCGTTATTTACGTTTGGAGAAGAAAATTCTTCAAATAAAAGTTACTTACAATATTATTATCTATAATTTTTGTTCCTAAAATGGTCCGTATTCGAGAAATTTGACAAAATGTAAAAAAATATTTTTTTATAAAAATTGTTCAAATAAAAGTTGTTTGTAATATAATTCTCTATCATTTTTATTCTATACATAATTTCTCTAAAATGGACCGTATTCGAGATATTTGAGAAAATGTGTAAATTTCGAATTTTGAAGAAAACAAAAACGGATAAAGGAAAAAACATAAAATTTTAAACTTAAGTTTTATTTCGGCCTGAGCTAAAATGATTAGATTTTGGACAGAGTCGGAATATCTGGGGGGGTACTTTATGGGAGGCCGTTTTGATATTTTATGGAATATATATGTTATTTAAGTTTGGAAAACATAATTCTTCAAATAAAAGTTACTTACAATATTATCTATAATTTTTGCTTCATGCCAAATTTTCCTGAAATGGTCCGTATTCGAGAAATTTGACAAAATGTGCAAAATTCTGATTTTTAAGAAAATTGTTAAACTAAAAGTTGTTTGCCATATGGGTCTCTATAATTTTTGTTTTTTACATGATTTTTCTAAAATGGACCGTAATGGAAAAATTGGAGGAAAAGTGCTAAATTTAAATTTTTCGTTATTTTCGTTTTCAATGAATATCTATAGAAACATGTTTCGAGTTAAAAAAGCCTATAATAACTAGATAGGAAAGTCATGCGTTGGACACATCAGATTTTTTGAATAAATAATGAAGAGACCTTTCTAATGAAGTATCACACTTCCCTACTTCCTATTTACAAATTTGAGAGTTGCAACTATGACTCGAAGAGGGTTGAAATTTTAACGTTGCAGGATGTTATTTTATAATCTAAAATTGTGTTTCGGGATTTTTTTATTGATATCACGGTAGTAATTGAGCTACTGAATTTATTCCATTTGGCTGTTACACTTTGTACAATATGATAACGACAGTATGTTATAATAAATACAATTGAATATCTGTCCTGAACAAGGTTGTAACCATAAAAAAAACAAATTTTTCAACCAACATTTTCAGAACAACAAAGCTCTTGATTTACAACTTTTTTTCTGGTTGTGGCAACTTTCTAAGCTAAAATTATCCTTAATAATATGGGATTTTACGCAAATTGCAGCAATATTGCTGCTTAAAATATTTTTTCATGGTTAGCACCGTTTCTGAAAGATCCCTTGTTTGGGGCAGGTATTCAATTTGATATCATTGAAAATCACTAATTACAAAATGATTAGTATTAAAATGATAATTGTAAATACTCCATCGCATATTTACCAGCTATTCTGCTTTCTGTTTTAGTCATTGTGATCGTAGAAAAAGTAAAGAGTGCTACTCGTTCATAAAGGCTATTCCACAATATACTATTTTCTACGCCCACATGTTATTCTATGCGCATACTACAGAACAAATAAGTATGCCATATCAGTATGAACGGATTTTCTGTTTAGCACAGCTGTCATAGAAAGTTCCAGCGCTCACAGCGCCCCGTTGTGAACCTATGCACTAGACTAATAAACATGGTATGTTTTTATTAATATCGTTATCTTTTTTTTTTTATTAATTAATTAGTCCAGTCCTTTCAATAAAATTTTAGATTCCAAATTTCCAATATAACATTTGTCTCTAATTCATAAACCACATCTACAAGTTACAAGTATAACTAGGAATTCGTAGGTAAGAAACACCATAGAGATATTATATATATTTTAATTTTATTTATATAAATAATGAATTTACAAAAATGACAGGGGGGGCATAAAATAAAAATACTTACTAATTTCATATTTCCATTAGTAAACAACAATAATCAATTTCTATATAATCAAGCTTAAGACTGATAAAAAAAGTATACATGGATTGATTTGCACTTTCCGAACAATTATTTCGAAATGGGCTAAAACTACTTTTTATCACTAAACAATGACAACCAATACTTCATGCATACATTCGGAATATGATTCAGAAGTCATGAAGTATTAGTTCAGATTTTTTTTATTTTTTTAGGATAAAAAAAAATATTTTGTTTATCTATAACCCCGTAGGTCAACGAAAATTTGTTCTATTTTATCATACAAAACAGAACAAATGTCAATACGTTTATCCCTTTTGGGGCATATACAGTTTTTTTTTGTTACATACGAGTAAATCTGTAATTTTCACCCAGTATGTAACTATAATAGTTGGCTCTGTTTAATGACATTCGACATGTCACAGTAAAATACCTACCGATGGTAATCATTAAGAAACAGAGATGAGTTGATAACTAAAGAGCTAAATTAAATCGGATATAAAATATATAATTAAAAACTAAGTCGAATGGATGTAAATAAAATTATTATTGCTCAATGATAAACAAAAAATAATTAAGTTTTGTTTACGGTTTAAGTAACTAAGCCTGCCTGGAAACAAAAACCTATTAATGTATGTTTGTAGTTCTACAAACTATATACAGGGTGGTCCAGATGTACTTTTCCTATACAGTGGTTTTGAAAACCAGTATTTTTTGAAATAGAAGCTACAATGAATAACGAAAATGAAATTTTTAAAAATTTTCTGTTAAACCAGTAGTTGTATTTTTGATATATTGGTATTGAATTAAATTAAAACCAATCTACAAGTTTCAGATTTAACTTTTCTTTGTATTTTTTTTATAACATTTAATGTATAAATAACTCATTTTAAATACATTCTTGTATTAAATGAGCCTGTAAGATTAGTATGTTTACCTACAGTAAAATTCCTTGATTGCATTGATTTGTAACTTTGTTTATATTTGTATTTTCCTGGCATTTTGAATCTTATGTGTTAAATATAAATCATGGACTTCAGAAAACAGATTCAACTTATCATCTAGGAGTTAATGTTAACATGCTAGATAAATTTATGAAAGTAATATTGAACAAAAATACTTTATCTAACCACTGAAACTATCCACCCATTACGAGAAGAAAACAAATGATTTAAAAATATATGAAAGCTTTCTTATAAGCCTTTGTTTTTTTTTCTCAGGAAATAGGATTACAAATTCCGATTCGTTGTTATAGCTATTTTAACTGACCGTTAATGAAATCCTTGTATAGTAAAATTAAATTCGGGCCAAACTGTTAAATATTTACACAAAAAAACATATTTCGGACAAAAAATCACGTGTGCGTTTGGTGTACAACATTAACGGCAGGTTGCAATATGCATTAATATTTATCCATAAATTTTAATGAACGTTCTGGCAACCAGCTGTATTTGTTTTAATGTGATTCTGTGATTGAAAACTTCCTGTCTATATTAACCACCACCTTTTTATTACAGAAGAATCTTACTAGAATAAAACAACCTTAGGAGTGAGCGACGTCTACTAAAGTAGAAATATTTTTAAATGTTAAATATAAAATGACATTACAAAGTTTTAAAACCAACCATAAGATACTAAAATAATATGTAACTCGTTACTATTACCGTAAACTAAACATAATATCACTTTTACCCTATGCAATAATTTAAAAAGTACTTTAAATACTTTCGTCATACAGAGGGGTGGCGTCGCCTAGAGACATGGAGTGCGGAGAAGTGTTAGTGCGTGGAGTTGACCTCGCGGATCTGGGACTCTTGCTACTAATACTCTTCATTCTAGATCGATCGCTTTCGGACATGTCGTAACGAGGAGTTCTTTGGCCCATAGACCTCGGAGTGTTACGGCCTTCGCTTCTGGGAGTTGCTGGAAAACAAATATTGAGCATTTTTTAAAGCATACCGTAGGTAAAAACCAGGTAACGTATGGTCCTAAAGTTTTTGGAAAATTTTTAAATGCTAATAAATTTTTCCAAATTTTTTTAATTTTAAAAGCACATGTGGCAACAATTAACAACACTAATAACGAAAAATAATTACTAATTACATTATGGATAGTGGCCCGTTATCCTCAATGAGTCGTAATTTTCTTCGGACTTGTCCATCTTCCTTTGGACAAGAGCAGGTTCTATTTCTCTAATCTTTTGGAAGATGCGACGCCGCAATTGCTTCCCATCCTTTATCGTACACTTTCCTCGATAGTATTGACCAAAATTCCTCTATTGGCCTAGCCTGAGGTACATTAGGAGGATTGTCCAACTTAGGTACAAAGTCAATGTTATTTTCACTTAACCACTGTTTGGTAATTCTAGCATAATGGCATGAAGCTAGATCAGGCCAAAACATTATACTATCGTTGAGATGATGTGCATTTAAAAAATTAAGTAATTTAGTAAGACATCTTTGAATATAAAGTTCTGCATTTAAGGCTTCTCCCCGAACACGACCAACATACGGCTGTGAGATAAATCCTGCTTCAGAAATGGCACACCACACTAAAACTTTATCCTCAAATTTCGATTTACCTTTAAATTTAACATTGTCTGGTGGATTTTCTATGTTATCGGTATAAAACCCATCGTTTCCTTTAATCTCTGAATGGGATAAGGTAAAATATTTTTCATCATCCATTACAATCAATTTATTGGCAAAGTGGATACGCCTTAATGCGCGGCAACAACGCGTAATTCTTTCTAGCTGGTCTGCGGTGTATTTTGGTGCCTTTCTTCTTTTCCTAAACACTAAGTTTGTGCGATCAATTGTTCTTAATACAGTGGTTTTCGAAATACCAAAACTCCGGGCTAATTTTCTCTGAGAAACTCCAACTTTGTCTTTAGCAGCTTCCATCAGTCTTCTTTCTCTTCTTACACTCAAAATTCTTGGTCTACCGATTTTGGGTAAATTAATGCATGGTATACACTCTTCACAGTTCCTTAAAGTGTTGTAAATGGTTGACTTACTTATATTTTGCTCTTGGTAGATTGCAACAATATCATGCTTAGGTATTCGTCCAACTAGATTGTAAATGCCCTTACGAATATCTAATTTGTAAGACATTTTGCTACAATCGATTTCCAAAACTAAACTGTCATAATAAAACTTGATTACGTGTGACGTTTTAGTTTCAATGGCAACTTGATTAAACGACATTGGGTACAAAAATAAATAATTTAAAAATTTTCCAAAAACTTTAGGACCATACGTTATTTTGTAATTATGTAAAATTTGTTTTAACATTCAAAAGAAACTGGAACCTGAAACTTAAATGTACGTTTGTTTATTTATTGAAAGCCTACAAAGAAACATTGACCTACCTAACCTGTTACAACAATTTGGAACTAAGTTATCCCACAGCCAATGATTTTGTAAAGAGTTTTCAAAAACTTGCTACACAAAAACGACTATACCGCTAGTACGATCAAATAAGAAATTCTGATTGTTGGATTATAACCATTAAATAGTAATCAAGGTATATGGGTCTATTAATTACTAATTACTAAAAATCCATCTGAGATTAGGCACTTGTTTTGATTTTTATGATTATACTATAAGTACATACTTGGAAGACATTAATCAACACATTATGTAAAAAATGGCTAATACACTATGTTGATAGTTAAGGACCAGTACTTTCAGTCCTAGATAATCATGATTTACTAAATTTAACACATGATTACGTGGCCAGCGTTATTTCAAGAACTTTCACTGTCGTTTAAGCATAAACTCTATCAAATAATGGGCTGTGGGCTCTGAAAAATAAAGATTATCATATGTACAATGGAATTCGTTAACAAAAATATTTGTTTTTTTCTTATACAGTGTGTTCCATAAAGTTGGATCCATATGGGAAATTTTGTTAACATTACGATTCGAAAAAAACGTCGTAGGTCATGAATGGCGAATCAGCATACTCAAAATACGGTCCCAAAAAAGCACGTTAATTGAGCTTTTATAATTAACCACATGGGCGCTGGTACTGCTAACGGTGTTCAAAATACATGACTTCTTATGGGAATTATACATAATTTTGTCAAAATAATAAAAATAAACTTGTGTATAGCTAAATAAAGCACAGAACATACTGTTGAATTTATTTCTAAACAAATCTTGCATGTTCTAATTGATAAATTATTGAATTTTATCTATATAAAATACAAATTAGGTAGGTATGACTAAATTCAAAAAGGTTTATTAAATGCTGAAATTTTATAAGTACAATTTTTTAAGAGCAAAATATAACACAGTTAACAAATTTTTTATTGTTGTAATACAAGTATAAAGGGATATTTGAGAATGTACAAGGTATTACCTCATCCTTTAATTTCAGCTTTCCCCTTTTTATTGTGCTAACAGTACCATCAGTAAAAATAGTCTCATAATATTTAATAATATTTTCTAAAAAATATAGAACAGTATCATCTCTGGAAAGTGCTTTATCGGCACTAGGAACGATGTATATGCTGCCACTGTTCTAAGCGTTTAATATCCTATAAAAAACATTTACAATGACACAATTGGGGTTCAACAAAAAATAACAGTAGCAACTCTTTATCTAACATTAAAACTCTATAAAAAATTAATTTTCTGTTCTAGTAAATAAAATTTAATGTATAATTATTGTTGTTTATAAGTCAGGATCTATGACTGTAAAATTTTATATTATAGAAACCTGTAAGATACATATTGTGACTAGTTTACAATAAATATTATATTTAGACATAAATACATTATTTTACTTACATTAGAAGCTTTAAAAAGACATTGAATTGATTTCTCCTTGTGTTTTCTTTAGTTTTACATTTGATTTGTATCCTGTTTTACAATCTGGAACGACGTAAATCTTGCTTTGATGTTTTTTATCATGTTACTTGTACTCGGGTACTTTTTTTCACATTATTTTGATTCTTCTAATAATTTTTTTAAAAAATCACTTCATTTTACATTGACTTACATAGAAAATTGACACTGCTGTTATTCGACATGCCAACTACAGTCAATTTCGCGAACTTTATAAAAACAAGGATGAACATGGGAAATTTGACCATTGTCGATTCGCGTTCTTCTCTCTAGTCTTCATAGTCATTCATTCACCTCTGATTTTTTAAAAACTTAAAATAGCCCATACTAAAGTTGGCTAGGTACTGCATTAGTTAACTGTTAAATTCGGTATTTTATTAAAAAATTGTTCAAACTTTTTTTAGATTGCGAATTTGACAGAAAAATGATGTCAGCAGACAATTTTGACATGAACTATTTTAAGTTTTTAAATAAGCCCTATGATGTTTTTTTTCCAATCGTAATATTACAAAAAAAATCCCATATAGATCCAACTTTATGGCAGGGACACTGTATTTATTGTTTTGTATTTATAACTGTAGGAGAGGTGATAAAGCTGGAACATAATTAATCTAGCTAACTGGCGAGTTCAGATTTTCTCTGAATATATATTTAGTCACTTTTTATCATAAAAGAGATGAATAGGTACTTATATAAACAATAGTTAAATATTTATAACAATTATCTGTTTTAATAAATGAGTATGTAATTTTCAAATAAATGCAAAATTAAAGAATAACCCGACCCGTCAGCAAGTAGATTTTTATGGCAGGAAAATATGAGTTTGTACACTCATGTTGATGAATGCTTAAATAACCATAGTGTTTCGGTCACTAGCTCTTAGGCTATATCAAGTTTTTGAAAAAAAAAAAAAAGAAGTTGTTACAACAGAACCAATGAAATACTTATTTAATTGAACTACTACTTCCTATTTCGCGGACAATCTGAACTATTTTACAACTTCGGTGCTGCCAACAGATACTAAAACCCGATTTAAAAATTAGTTGCTAAAATGGTAGTAAAGTATTCAAAAACGCTTAATCACAATTAAGTTATTTGGTTACATAATTTTGTAATCATGTATTTAATCAGAGGCAGAAAGTAACGGTCTTAAAATATAATAAAATAACTAATACTACTTACATCTTGACCTAGCAGCCCAAGCTTCGGCCGCCTTCTGCCAATCCATAGATTCACTATTATTTCCGCCATATCTTCCATCAGGATACGAACCTCTACTACCCCCTGTATAATTTCTCGGCGATTCTGGAGGTTGAAATCTCAACGATTCTGCATAGCTTGCTCTTGTATGATGACTCATGTGACTGCTGTACGAGCTTTGAGATCCCGGACTCGGAACGGGACTTTGCGGTATCATCGGACTTTGACTGGCCATGTTTCTGTAACTCGGCGTTCTTTGGGAAGGCGTTGCGGCTCCCGGGTGAAGGAAGGGATTGTTCAAATTTGGAGGAGCAGTGCTGGGAATGTGCTGCGATGGAGTTTGTTGACCGTAGCGCGGCGTTTGTTGCGTATGCGGAGTTTGGAATGGAGTCATGTACGGTGTTTGACCACTGGGTGTATATGGCTGAAAAGATTGATAATTGTATTTATTAATATAATAGTACAGCTGTTCTAAACCGCTGGTCCGCGGAGAAATTTTACTGTCACGCAATTTACTGTCCGCAACAAATCTACTGGTCCGCGGGCCAAAAAAGGTTGAGAAACGCTGTATTAGTCTATCAGCTATATCCCAATTTCTAAATAAAGGGTTCTAATTCAGCAGTAAAGTATAGCAGTCTTCCGTTTTTTGTGTAGATTGTGAATATATTGATCAGGTATTCGAAATTGGTAACTTTAATATGGTTTAGGTTACAATACACTGTAAAAAAGCAACTTTTTCGTTTTCCTTTTTTCAGGAAATATGCATTGTATAAAAAAAAAATTTCAAACAAAAGTTTTTTGGCTTTAGATTACATATAAAAAAGAGTCAAATTGCATTTCAAGCTAAAATTGACGATAATGACCCTATAGAGGGTCAAAATTTGTGAAATTATTGGTATTTAAAAAAAAAAACCTGCTTATCGCGCTTTACACAATACAAATTCAACAAACTTCTTAAAATGAAGGATGATCAATATGAATAATAGTGTGTTAGTAGTGTTACGCAGGTTTTTGGTATCACAATTTATTTCAACTCATCTTTAACAATAACAATGCAACTGATAACATTAACGTGTAACATCTATCATAAAACTCAAAACTGACTTCAGGATCATCCTTATATAGCTTGCTTGACCCTTCTCGAACTGTCATCTAGAATATTCTTGATGGGTAATGACATTTCCATACACTTCTGGACTATTCTATCTTCTTTTACTTGTACTTTTACTTATGACGACCGCAGCATACTATAGTGTGATGGGTGACATTGCACTTATTTTCGTATTTGTATGTTTCCTATATGCAGGGTGTAATGTAACAGTAGGTTATTTACACGAAACCCAAGCGAAAATATTCATAATTAAAATATTAATCTTATTACAAATGGAGAGAGGGAATGGTGGTCAAAGATACGAAAACCAAAGAACAAAGGATGCATGTGGAAATGGAAATGTGAAAATGAAAACCATAATTTCCCGTACTTTTCGTTTTGTAGTCTGTGAGTAGAATAGCTAATATCCATGTGAGCGTGGAAAACAAATATTAAAATCTAATTTTCGGAAAATTGCATATTTGGTGTAAGTGGATTTTCCTTCTACTCCATGAAATGCGGTCCAAGTTGCTCCAGAGAAAAAGTGAAAGATAAAATAAAAGTGAAACAATGCAAAGTATGTTTCTTTCGCTGTAATTGGAAAACTTTATCGTCGGACAAGAGCGGATCAAATGTATTCAGTAAATGGAAGTAACTATCTTTATTTTACATGCGAATACTGTGACGATTCAGAAGTAGAGCCGGTGGAATTACAGATTGATTCTGATGGAGACAAAGATTTTGGGCCGAGTGACTTTTTAAACAACAGTTCCAGATTTAAGTTTTTTTCTATGTTTAAGATGCTTAGAATTATCTATTAACTTTTTGGAATTCCTTTTATATTTTAAATTGTTTTTGGATAGATTTAATACTTTTCTACCCTAAAGAACATATTTTAAGAGTTTTTCTTTATTATTCTTAATTTAAAATCTAATATGGTTCTTTATGAAAAACTCAAAGAAAAAACCTATAAGATCGTTTTATTATTTTTTTGAAGTAAATCCGGGGTAACATGGACATACAACCATGTATAACACTAATTTCATTGAAATTCTCAAAGATGACCAAGTTGCCCCAGATTACAATACTGTACCGCAGAAGCGAGACCATTTTTTCCATTAGCTGATAGACCAGGTCATTAAAGATTACAAAGTAATTCAGACTTACTGTATTAATGTAATTGGCACCGTAACCTCCAGGAGTATGAGGATAGTGTGGAGTTTGATTTGTTGCTGCAGACAGTGCTTGGACCATGTGACTCGGCAGGTTTTGAGCAACTCTTTGTATAGCTTCAGTGCTCATACCTAAAAAAAAAAAAGAGAAAATAAAACAAATCGGCATCAAATGTCAGAGAGTACCAGAAACGTTTATATACTTACTGAACGATGGTGTGCCACTTCCGTAAGGAGTTCTACCGGAAGACAACCTAGGTGTGCCAGGGGTTAGACCACCTGGGGGAGGTTCCCTGAAATGCTCCTTGAACCACTTAAAGAGCGACGTGACAGAGTCAAACATCTGTTGCCTGAATCTAAATCCTTCAGGAGTAACGGTTACATATTCGTGTCTAACTTTAGTTCTAGGTAAGTAGGAGAGTAGGAATTTTCCTGGGATATTCTATAGGAAAAAAAAAACCGTTAAAATAGTTATACAATTGTAGTTTTTGTATTGTAGAGATACAAAAACGAATCGTATTTACCTTAGCTGCACTAATTACATAATGAATTTTTGAAGAGTTTTTCTTTTTTTCTTCTTTCAGGAATTCCTCAGCCTTATCTTTATGACCACCTTCAAAGTCTTTGTAGTATCTAAAATAGAGTAAATCTCTAGCATGCGACGACATCGGAGTGACGTGTCTGGCTATTATTTCATCTAAGTCTTCAAATTCTTCGTTTCCTATCCATAAAGATTTACCTAAAATTAAAAATATTAGTAATACTATTGAATTATTTAAGAATGTATTGCAAAAATCAAGTATGTACCTAGTGAAAAAGCATTCACTTTTCCTTCCTCCCTGATATCAATATGTTGATAAATTCCATCCGCAACTTTCCAAGTAATTGTCAGATGATCAGCACCTTTACTAGAAGGTCTTACAATGACTTCACCTTGGTCCATATTGACCATACACTTTTCTGCTTCCGCATAGGAAATATTATGGAAAGCAGGATGCACTATGACCCTCTTAATGTACGTCATTCGCTGTTTTTCTTTTTTCTTGTCGGCCTCCAATCTATTGTCTTTGTCTTCGCGTTCCACGTCATAATGCGGATCTCTTGGAGGTCTACAATCAAATATAAACTATAATTTTAAGGACTGATAATCTAAAAGGCTCTACTGACGAAAAAAATTGTCACCGTTACATCACTGACTGCATTTAAAATAATTTTACTAACCTCCATTCATGTTTTTTGTCTAAGAGATCGCTAGATTTCGAAGTACAATCGACGCTGAACCTTTCAACATCTATTTTTATTATACGACAATGAATCAGTTGTCCGACACCTACTCTTTCTTCTGGATTTGCCACCGGCTTATCACTAATATTTTTTATGTAAATATAACCTGTAAAAAATAAATATTGTAGTATACAAGGTGTGTCTAGAAAACAACCGGACTGATCGTATTGTAGTATACAAGGTGTGGCTAGAAAATAACCGGACTGATCGTTCTGCAGACAAACATGAGGGCGTCAAGGTCAAACGGAGCACGAATGAGTCACGTGACATCTCCCTCTGTAGATATTATTGTAAAGTAATGTTGCCAGATATACTTGATAATGTACAATTATTTCAAAATATGCCTCAAAAATTATCATTAAATAATTTAATTCCTTCAACTAATGTTGAAAACTATTTTACTTCACCAATCTATAAAGAAATTGGACTTTAACTAATAAATTCATTTCAATTAATGCAACTTACAAATTAATTAAAATAAGATGCACAAAACAGAGGCTAAAAGCTTTACAAATAATTTAAAACTGTAATTGAAGCGGACTGTAGTTCGATGAAATGAAACCCACCATTGGAATTGATCCTTGTATATATTAACATATTTACAAATATATATTAAAAAGTACAATTTTTAGAGTCTGACAATCTAATCAATATTAATGTCAACTTCTTAGTAACTACGTAACATTATTAAACGGTTCAACCCCAACAGTAGTTTTTAATTACAAGAATAGTTTTACATACCTAATATACCATTGTCTAATCTAAGTTTGACTCCAGTAGCTTGACCTGGACACGCCCCGGCATCAAAATGGTTCCACACATCCGACAATTCAGGAAAATCGTTTTTCAAACAGAAAGGACACTGCCAAAGACCCGTTTCATCGTTACGTACAGGATTAGCCTGATCTAACTGGTCAGGCTTAGGTTTTTTCCTTGCGATGCCTGAAATAAAAAAATTTGTGAATTAAATCAAAGTTCTGTCTAATTAATGTTACAAAAAATAAAATACCTATAACTGAGGCTGTGACCAATTTTCCTATATAGAAAGTCTCTGGGGTTTCTTTGGTAAGCATATCAAATAATTCTTCTGGATTTGCCGAATGGAAGGACTGCCTCAAATCTTTGTATCTGCAATTTAATTCCGCCCTAATGTCGTACAGGGTAATGCTCTTATTACCTTAAAAATAAATACATTAAAACATGTATCGTTGACATAGTGGGAACTAAATTTTATCATCACTGGGAAGAGAACACCTACCGAATCCTTGTCTCTCTAATTCTTCAGCAAATGCATCAAGATCCAGATCTTTTAATCTCTCAGGTGCCTCAAGGATTTCCTCTAAGGCTCCCGCTGGATTAGCACCTTCGTCATCATCATATTCCAAGGCGTCTACAGCCATTTTCCGTGCCCATTCGTAGGTTTCTGGGTGTACACGAGATCCATCCAATATTTCCACATACGCCTCTGTACTATAATAAAAAACTAAGTAATTTAAAAATGTTTAAAAAATATCTAATGTTTTACCTATCTCCCAGACTATTTGTATCGATTTTTATAAAACCGGAACAATTAATAAATACTTTGGGCCCCATGTGACACGTTGTAACCAATTGAGTCCTGTTTTCCAATCTTTGATTGGTCTGCTTGAGGACTTTGAGCAAAGCTTGTCCTTTACGAGGACCAAGGCCACAAATGAATTGGACAAGGCTACTTTTGTGAGCTTGTTGCACAGCTAGATTGATATCAACACCAACTTCGTTGGTTCTATTAACAAATTCGAGGCATAAAGCTTCTATGAGTTCGTCTTTTCCTATTTGTTCCTAAAATATTTGTAAATTAGCAAGAATGTTTATCTCAAGATTTATTTTTTTAAAAAGATCGAGTTTATTGCATGTTTTAACTTTAAAATCTCAAAGAATTGTCATTAAACTAGGTTACAAATCGTAATTCATTACTTTAAAATTTTAATACTATTACAATACCTGTAAAGGATGGAATCTCAAACTCAAAATTTCTTCATCACCATTGCACAACTGAGAATATTCAACAAGCGGATCCTGCATCCTTCTAGCTAATGAAATGGCCTGTCTCAAGAGCTCAGGATAATCTCTAAAATCAGTCTGACCTTTATTGGAATTGGCATACACTTTGGCCAATTCGTTATCGACAACTTCAACCTTAATAACGGGAAATTGATCAGATTCAACGAGTTCTTTGATTACTGATCTAAGATCGTCGGCGATCATAAGGGCTTCTCTGGATTCGCCCCCAATTGTTATAACATGAGGTTTTTTCAGGTAGATAAAGTTTTTTATGGCTTGCAGATCTGCTTCCTACAATTTTTGGAAATAAAAAAAAAAACTTATAAAAAAAAATGTTTCATTACCTTCAATAATTTCTCTTCTGTTCTAAAACTATTTTTCCTTTTTAATATGTGAGGCAATCTCAAATAATCAGTAATATCACCATCCGGAGCTGCTATACAAGCAAAAGCAGAAACTGTGTATTCTGGTACATATGCCACACCCATAACTCTCACGCCTTTTGACGTATCCCAATCATCCTCGTCATCATCGGGAAACGTGATAGAGTAAGGTGCAATCTGAAATGAAAATTAAATATCTGATACAGTACTCGTCGTTTAATCTGATGCTCCAAATATTTTCAAGGGAAAATAATCCCATAGTCCCGCCCAAGCCTTGGTTGAAGAAATAAAAACTAAAAATGGTAATATACACTTAAAACAGTTGAAATAATAACACATTAAAAATAATAAAAATTTCGTCATGTACATGATACGTTGAGGTTATCTGCAACCCTTTTAATACCGGCCAATCAATCTTATACATTGGCAAAGAAGTACAGTTTTGTGAAAAACTTAAAATCCACAGAGCTGGGCTGCAAGAAAGAATGGAGCCAAGAATCCATCGCGCTTGCAACCAAAAGACGTGCTATTCAGTGGTATACGGACGGTTCCAAAACCATAGAAAGAACTGAAATAGGAGTGTATGGGCCGAGAACCAAGCTCTCCGAAAGCTTGGGAAAATTACCAAGCATCTTCCAGGCGGAAATTCACGCCATCGAGAAGTGTATCCAGTTTAACATCGAGAGAAACTATCATAGACAAGAGATTATCATCATGTCCGATAGTCAAACAGCCATCAAAGCGCTGAGCTCTTACGTAATCAGCTCAAAAATAGTCTGGAGATGCCTAGAACAATTGAATGAGCTAGGCGAGAAAAATAAGAGTTACTCTCACTTGGGTCCCGGGACATAACGGGATACAGGGTAACGAGATTGCAGATAGTCTTGCAAGGAAAGGGGCTCAAACACCCTTTGTAGGACCTGAGCCGTTCTGCGGTATCAGCAGTAACATAATATTAGGAGAGATTGGGCAGTAGAAGAACCGATAATTGGAACAATCTCTTGGGGCTGAGACAGGCCAAGATACTTCTGGGTGAATATAACCAGAAAAGATCGGAAGCCTGCATCTGCCTGAGCAAGAACAGGCTACGTATTGTAACAGGGATCCTTACCGGGCATTGCCGACTAAAAGGACACCTAAGTAAACTGAGAGTAGTAGAGGATAGTGAGTACACATTATGTGAGGAGGAGGACGAAACCTGCATTCACATCCTAACTGAATGTGTAGCACTCCAGATTCCAAGGGCACTATATCTATGAGGATATCAAATAGAAGAGGGAGATTTACCTAACTTGAAGCCACTTCAAATCCTACACTTCCTTGAGGAGATAGGATTGGAAGGGTCGTTATAGGCATTGAGACATTTCCTTAGTGCATTGGCGATAGAAGGGGGCAACAAAATAGATCTTTTAGGTCGCAGTGTATTAACACCCCATTTTCAACATAACATATACATTGGCATATTCGGAGGTTAATAGAATAAAGGGCAAAGAACATAAAAGGTCACAGCCTTAAGGTTTATATGGACCTACCTACAACGAAACTGTTTTGAATTGAAGCATATGCTTCTCTTATAAAGAGTACAATTATTGAATGTGGTTTATTCGTCTGTTTGGAAAAAGGTTATGGTTTCGTAGGAACTTCACCTGATGAGTTGGTAGATGACAATAAAATTATTGAAGTGCCCTTACTCAGCTGGAGAATTTGCACCATTAGACGCACCAAAACATGTCAAAAACTTTTGTTCTACTTTAAGTGCTGATGGCATTGTCCCTGGTACTCTTATAGTTTTCAAGCCAAACAGACTTTTACGAATTTTTTTTTTAATCTTTTCAAAGGTCACCTATGAGCTTTATATTTTTCAACAGAAAAAATTTCATTTCAAATTACTTGCTGTTTTAATCTCAAAATGAGTTTTTTTTTTAATTGCCAACCCTCTTAAATCCCTTCCTATAATCCAATTTCTACCGCAAACTAATTATGCAATTAGCATGATACTGATATTTGGTGAACATTTGGTAAACATCTGTTCAACCCCTTTTAATTGATAAAACACAGCTTCCATTTAATAATTAAACAAATCAAATATTCTTTAAAATTAATAGGTATGCAACTTATTAATACAACTTGATCTGGCAACAAGGTAAGCAGACATGCAAAATTTCGGTATGCCTTTCCAACTTTTTTTAAAAAATTTTGATATTTGTAGATACTTTTTCCGGAGACCTATATAAACCTTAACGAATCGATAATAATTGTATTCACTATTTTTTGAAAAGGGGAGTGGGTGGTACTCTGTCTCCCTCCGATACCGCTATTTGGGATTATCCTTAAATATTCCAATTATGCATACCTCATTAAACATTATGTCAAAATATTCATTGATAAATATCACCTACCATAACCACTAGACTGGGCCCAAAAAATTGACAATTTTTTTTTTTTTAAATATATTGAGAATGTCATTCGGGATGACAAAAAAAATTCGTGAAAACTTAAGCCCTTAATATTAATTTTAAGATTAAGATTTTATTTTTGATTTTTAGTCATAATTTGATGTTTTACGTTAGAATTGTCAAATCATTAAAGTGAAAAAAAAGTCCATTTTCACTTATTTTATATAATATAATAATAATAATAATAATAATTCTCTACAAAAAAGGTCTGATTGAAAATTTTCGTCAGACGAGCCGTTTCCGAGTAATTGAGCTTAATAGATCGATGTGTTTTTTCGAATTGTCCTTTTTACTTTGAAATTTTGTAACTAATGAATCAATGAATATTTAAAAAAGCTCACGTCGAATTCTTAAAGGAAATTTAATGTTCTACAAAAAAGGTCTCCTAAAATTTTTGCCTAAATTTAATTCTTCAAAAGTTATTAACGATTAAAATCGAAGAAAAAAATTGAAATTTTTTTTAGAGAATTTAATTTTATATAAAAATAAGTGAAAAGGAATTTTTTTCACTTTTAATGTTTTGACAGTTCTAACGTAAAACATCAAATTATGACTAAAAATCAAAAATAGGGATGATAGACCTCTTAAAATTAATATTAAGGGCTCAAATTTTCACCAATTTTTTTTTGTCATCCTGAATGATATTCTGGATATATTAAAAAAAAAAAAATAGTCAATTTTTTGGCCCAGTCTAATAACCACTACAGAAAACAAAACTACTCCGATGCTTTGTACCAAATTTATATGCGACAGAATTTTTGGAAACCTATAGATGCGTCAAATCTTCAGGAACGTCTCTTCATTATTTGCTGCGTTTGAGAATCCACATCGGATGCATCTGAGATGTAAAAAATCTTTGATCACGTGATTCAGTATACGTAAATGTAATGGGACATATGTGTCCGATGTGGATAAAAAAACGCTCGAGATGTAAAAAATGCATCCGATGTGGATTCTCAAACGCAGCAATTATAAGCGTGGCTTAAAAAGAGGAAAATAAAAATAAAAGAAAGTAAATCGCAATACAACATACACCTTAAGAAAATAAAAATGCCCCCCTATTTACAAAACAACATTTAAATTTTACATCAAACGTAAACAAATGGAACTAAAAATGAAAGATTTATATTGGCTGCTAGGTAGATAATAAAATATTGATATATAAAGCTGTAATTATTCCAATCTGGACATATGTAAATAGAAATGTAGGGATGTGTCATCAAATCCACAATAGCTATTTTACAAAGGGGGCCGTATGTATCTAACCATCAAGACCTCCATATTACAAGACAAAATTCAGCAAAGAAGTCAAAAGAATCACAAAAAATTGGAGACTCAATTACACACTACTCCAACCACTGCATGGAAGAAATAGCAGAAGACTGAAAATAAACTGGTCAATAGACTTTATAATCAGTCTCTAATTCACCAAAATAACCTAAATAATTGTAAATTCTGATTATTTAAATATATAAACGTTTGTGGAGGAAGAGATGTAAGTGGAAATAATGATTCTTTATCAAATTGAACTCACCTTTATCCAATTATAAAGTTTCCTACAACATGCTTTAAGTACAAATTCTTTGGCTTCAGTCAACAAAGTCCTTTTTAATTCAGTTCTTAAATCAGGTAAAACACTTTTCGTTAAGGCTCTCTCCACACATTCCATCCTTAAAGCATTCCAGTCTTGTACGTTTTTACTAAACTCGTCCTACAAAAAAAAATCATAAGTATAACGAAAATTGAAAACCAACAAATCGATCAGTTAACTTACTTTTATGTAAAGTTGTTTAACTTCGTCAATATACGAATTAGTTGTGTTACCTTCGATGTGGTCATTAATTGTAATAGTAAGAAGGTTTTCTTCTTCAGCAAGGCACAATTTTAAAAACTGATCGCCCGCTAGATCTCTTACAGGCTTATTTTTTACATATTTCATACTAAAACACCAGTTTAATAAAATACCATTGCAGTACAAAAAAGATTTCGTTCTTACCTATAACAATTGTGAGATTCGTCAATTACTTTTTGACCTTTTTTGGTTGGATAAACGTTAATTCTGGCTCTTTCAAAAAAAACTTCCCTCACACATTTTCTCACTAAGGGTTCTCTAGCTATTTGCAAGGCAACCATATATTTGGCAGCTTGCAAGACTTCATCACCATTAGCAAACTTACTGAAACACAAAACAATGTTACAATTAAAAAATAAATAAAAAGTAAAATGATTAATTTGTGTAAGGAATTTATTTCACTAGGTACAATTTGGATCAATCTGGTAGTTACTGTGTGTACTTACGGTGAAATAAAATCTTTTGCTACCTCCGCAGGTTCAACATGTTCCTGATCAACTTCATGTCTTTGGTAGTTGTCTCTCATATTTTCAGCAAATTGTTCTGGTGACAAACCAAATTTCTTGGCCAAAGGATCTAAAATGAAGGTAAATCAAAATATAATATATTCTTCACAATACAATAACTTTTGAAATTAAGTAAATAATACAAAACGAAAATAAATGAAAAATGTTCCTCAACAACTTACCTAATCCTGCTCTAGTACATAAGGCATAACTGCCAGATCTGTTAGCATATTTTAAAACTTCAACCTCTGGTTCATCATCATCAATCTCTTCTGGTTCTTCTGGAATCTCAGAACCTTCTTCAGCTTCAGCAATCAATCTGAGTCTATAAAATTGCAAACAGTTGAAAAACTATTTTTTTACATTTTTCTCAAAGTTATCAAATCAAAGGTGAAAATAATTTAGGATTTTATAATTTTCTGTGTTTAATGAAATACTAATAGTCATTATTTTAATGCCATTAATATTATTTTCTTTGTATATAGAGGTAAATTATCATTTAAAATTTTTTTGTAAGCAAACATTGGCTTTTTTTGAGTTGTGTTGCTTTTTGTCATTGTGACTATACAACAAATTATGATTTATGACATCAATAATAATAACTGTACAGTGGTGGTAAAAAAACAAATATTTGTCATATCTTAAAAAAAATAATTCTATAGAAAATTCCAAAAATATAATAATAAATGAATTGTCTACATTAAGCAATTATAAAAGTATATTTTTTTCTAATTTTGTAATCGCAGCAAGTGTCAAAATGATCTACTTTACGCAACCAGTTGCATAATGTTGAACATTCTATGAAACTGGTTTCGAAATAACTATGTAACCAATTACGAAATGCCTTATTTTATGTAACGAGATGAATATTTGCGAAACGAGCAGAGCGAGCTCACGCAACATGAACGAGTTACATAAAACGGCATTTCTTAATGTGTTACATACAATATTTTCAATTTTGACTAGATCTAGGCAACCAATATAACTACTTTCTTGTATTATTAATTGCATATGATTAACTTTATTCTTTTATTCATAAATAGAAATAATATTCATTTATTCTCAACGACCTATTGTAGTGTGTTTATATTTCTTGTTAAAGTAATTTAGATTTCAAGAATGTGGGTTATTTTATCATGTATTGTTTTAATTATTTTGTGCTGATTTAGAATGGAAAATAAAGACCAAAACAACATTATTACTAGGTTGTAACATGTATTATATCCCAATGGTGGGAGCTGTCGTGAAACCTGTCAAATTCAAAATTTCTTATCCCTGGTTTTTTCGTTTTTTGCTGGCAATGAAATAATTTGCTTCTAGACGTCTATAACAATTAAAAATCCCTTTGCAAGCATTTTTTGTCGTCCGGTTTTGCTACTTTCGGTGTTAAGTATAGCAATTTTCCTACATCGATATTTATAACTCAAAACTGGACATGCGGTCGATTGAACCCTACGAGTGTAATGACGTAAGTTTTTTGGCGAATGTACTCCCGGGATAAACACATTACAACAAGTCATTGAGAATAAATTAATATGATTAGTTTTGTCAGTAAAAAATGAAGTTAAGCAACTAACAATACAAGAAAATAGTAATATTGGTTGCCTAGATGTCAATAATTTTTTATCAAAACACAATCTAGTAAAAATTAGAAAAAATATTGTGTTACGAAATGCGGCTTTATTCACTAGTTGCATAAAATAAGGCATTTTATAACTGGTTTCATAAATAGCTATTAATGTGATTACTTTTTAATAAAAGCAATAATTTTTTTGTTTTCTGTTATTTTTATTGCACTTTGGTACGCTTGTTTTATCGTGTTGCAACTCGATGTTATATGATGTTATAACAGAAAAATTTTAAACAATTTTAAACATGAACATTTTGATGTGTGAAGAATGGAGAAATCGAGAAACTTTAAATACGATATTAACGACCTATATCTAAAAAATTTGTGATATATTTACAGATGAAAAGTATAAGGTTTTAGGTTTGCCGATATTAAACAAAAACTGCTGTTTTACGTGTTATGTCACTTTTGAAGAGGAGGTGCGACATTTAATAAATATGGTAAACCTACGAAACAGAATGGCAAAGAAACATCTGAAAACAACGAAAATGAACACCTTAAGAATGATAACAGAACAAACATTCATAGACAATTTTTTAAGCATTCAAAAGCGTTTTCAAAAGAATTTATTATTTTTAAGTTATACTATTGCTAGAGAGGGAAATCCAGAGTTAGCCAGTTAACAGTCACCCAACCATGTTGTGGATGTGTGACCGCTGTGACGTTCCACCATTGAAACTAGTGGGCCAGCATTTAACTGTCTAAGAGCTGAAATGAATAAGGTAATGGCGACGCAAAGCTTAAAACAATGTAATTCAGATATGGTTGTTTTTTAGCAAAGCTAATAATTATGAACAATTTAGATTTATGAGTCACAATTTCAGTTGGTGTAGCTGCATGCTGACTGATGATCCATTTAAGTGTTTTATCATCATTTGTGCACATTTTTTAAATCCAGTTTTCCCATTAGAAAAATTAATATGAAAAAATAAAAACCATGGACAATTTTAGGTATAAGGTGTTCAGCTAAAAATATGTTTCATTATATTAAAAAATATGTCCAATAGTTTTCTTATTCTATTATTCTCCAGTACAGAAAAATATATATGGCTGTTATTATTGAATGTACTTGTAATGATACAATAGAATTTCTAGGCATTAATTTAGACAATAATTTAAAATTTAAGAAGCATAAAGAATTTCTAAACAAAAAATGGTTTTCTTGATGTTTAGAAATCAGAATTGTGGCAAAAGAATTAGGTTTTAAGTCAGCTAAAAGAGTATATTTCACTCTAGTTGAGTCCCACTCGAGATATGGAATTGCATATTGGGGGGTTGTAGCTGTGAGTTTGACACTATTTTTTTGTCGGCAAAAAAGAGCAGTACGATTTTTATGTGGAGTGAACAATCTCGAGTTATGTAAGATATTTTTTGTTAGATATGAAAGGTATACCTTAACATCGTTGTTCACTTTTAAAATCCCTTTTGATTTTTTTTATGAAATTATTATTCCTGGAGAAAAGTGTCGATCTGCTAACGCTGGCAAGTCCATCACTCACCGGATTTCATAATATCGTTCCACAAGTGGACAAATACTAGTGTCAAAAAGTCAATCAACTACAGTCCACTAACAACTTCAAGAGTACAATCAAGCCGCAAATTATTACAAGGTATCAAACAAATGGTTTTTAAAGTGAAAATAAAGACATTTGGTTTATTATTTCTTTACATATCACAAATTTTTAAAAACATTTTTATTTTTTACAAAACTATTTGTCGTATATACTCGTATCTATATTTTAATAGCAAAATGTACATATCTTAATCTCAGAAAATATTTAACAAGTCAATAAAAATATCCTGCTGGTAGCGTTAGTTGAATCTAAGCCCACTTTTACCCAAAACAGTCATTGAATCACTCAGTAATTATTATATTTTTGGGAAAATAAATAATAAGCTCAAAAACAAATATATTTCAAAATAAAAATATTTGAACTATTTTAAATAAGTAATTTCAATCTTCAAAATATTTTGATCAAACAATAAATACTTTTTAAACTCAATTAATAATATTGATTGGTAACAAGGGTGAAAAAAAAGTTAAACTATTAATATGTTGATTGTTCATACCTTGCTTGTCTTTTCTCGTGCTTTTTTCGTTCCCTTTCTTTAACTCTCCAAGCAGCATGCATTGCTGGTAGATCGTGAGCATAATACAAAATGAAATGGTTGTGCACATCATTGAGCTCTTCAGCATTTTGGACATTTCTAAGTCTTTCAATATCCATATCCTTCATGACCCGTATATTTTCGGGAATGGGGGCATCAGGGTCCTTCAAGAGTTGATCTAATTGATAAGACCTCATCTTTTCGAAGAGCTGGAGAAGATTTTCTTTCCGGGTTTTAAGTTGGCACCACTTTTAGAGAAAATATTTATAAATTAATTAAATAAGTGAAAGTTGTCATTATTTTTACTTACTTTGGCATCATACTTATAAACTTTCCAGAGATCATTGATATTCAACTCCGGCTGAACGTATTCTTTTCTATAAAAAGCAATGAAAGGTACTTCTAATTGCTGATTTCTCATAAAATCTAGAGCCTTTTTGATTTTTCCTACAGTTTGGGGGCCTTTCTTCATTTTCTCTCTGGCTTCAGAGGAAAGATGTGCGTCAACATTGGATACTGTTCGGTTACAGAATGCTTGTCTGCAAAAAAATAAATGTAGAAAGATCTCTCATTTCCTACCTTGTTGAATATCTTAGACACATAATAAATTTCATAATTTGAGACTGGCAAGAAACCGTGTTTTTAAATATACAATATTTTTAAGTAGTGAACTCAGAAGAATATTTCAAATAACAAAATTGGCTAAAATATTTGAGAAATGCTTAAAAAGTAAACAATATGATTATTAAAAAAAAACAATCTCAGAACAATTTGGATTCCAAAAGGGTAGCCTTGCATGTATAAAAAGTAGCTTGGAGAATAACAACAAGAATATAGGTATCTTTATTGACCTTGCAAAGCTGTTTGGCACTGTTTCCCACAAGCAACTTTTAAATGTTCATGAAAGTTATGGAATAACGCTCCTTTCACACAAAACGATTATATAGGAGACCTTTCATACAGGACGACAAAGACAAAATATTATCATGTCGTCATCATTTAGCAGCCCCACAATGCCACTGCAATGGGCGATCGTGCCGTTCCAAAAATATAGTTGCAAACGGCATCAAATGAATGCTTTAACACATAACCAATTTTAATCATATAATACGTAATATATAGAGTGGATTCAGTGGCACGTAATTAGTTCATTAGCGAAATGGCTGAAAATATTGACGGTTAATTTTTGATTTCACTGGTCGAAAGTAGACCTGTGTTGTGGTTAAAACCCTGGATATTTTTAAAAACAAGGAAACAACCAAAAATGCCTAGCATCATTTCTTAGTTCTTCAAAAACTAAAATAAACTTACTTCTTCTCTAGTTTTATTGATCAGATGCACTCAATGTAGGCAATAACATTTGTACCTTTTTGTACCACAATAAGGCCACAATTTTAACCCTATTTATTGTGATGCCCTATACTCTTTCTGACATCAAGGAGTATACTAAGCTCAAACAACGATAATATATCGTTGTGATCGATAAGAAGTCTTATGACCAAAATCGTTGGGTGAAAGAAATGCAAGGGGAACAATGTATTTGAAAACTATTTAAATGAAAGAAGACGAGTAATAAAAATAAAGAATGTACATAGTGATATGGTTACAGTAAAATTACGAGAGAGCCATGGATCTGATATTATTTATGGATTACATTAATTCATTACTACATTTAGATATTGTTCTTAAGCAGATGACACAGTTCTATTGTTTGAAAGCAACACATGGGATTCTGTTAAAAAGAGAGTTATCAAAGGGATGAAAATTATCAAACATTGATTAGACATAAATTATCACTGAACATTTCTAAAGCTGTATATATAGCGTTTTTTCTAACTAATGCTAAGCATTCAACATTTAATGAGATTCATATTGATACTCCTAACTTTATCATAAAAGAAACAACTAAATATTTGGGTGTAAAAATAAATAAAAATCTTAAATATACTCCTCAAATTCAATACTTAGCAAACAAAATAAGAAAACATTAGATACATTTCATTTTATTCCGAATATATTGAATAAAAAATTTTTAATAATTAAAACAACTCAATATAGAATTACGTTCTGAAAATAATTCATCATAAGAACTGATTATTTTAACAGTCATCTTATATAACGAGATTATCCTTTAATATCAGATCAATATATTTTGACTCATTTTAAAGCATATTGATCATATAACTTTAAAATGCTTCAGACTCCTGTTTTCTAAAAAGGCATACCAAACACATTAATGACACTAAAGCTATATTAACTCTTTTCAATGCTATGATTAGAAGCATTATGGAATACTGCAGCACCATATGGGATCCTAGTTATGCAGTCCATATCAACAGATTAGAAAGGGTACAGAATAAGTTTACCAAATATCTGCTATACAAATTAAGATTCACGCTGAACAATGTTCCCTCTGAAACCTGATTACTATTTGGGTGGGATGAAGAGCTTAGAACAGCGCCGAAAAACCGCTATGTGCTATTTTTATATAAAATTCTTCATTCTATAACTGGACTAATAATGGCACAAATGCAGTTATGGGAAAGCTCGTTCGCAATTAAAATAGCAATTTTAGTGATATGGATATTTTTCAACTAAGTCTAACAGGACTGAAACGGGCTTTATCAATATTATAGAAGTTTTTTTTTTGTTTATATGTATATTGTTAGTTGTACTTTTATATCTTTGTAATTTTTGTATATAATTTCTGTAAGTCATTTGGAATTTATTTTTTGTAGAGCTTTATTAAATAAATAAAACCACTCTCTAGTTAATAACGAAGTAACGAAGAAAAATTATTTAATATCGTTCACACCATAATTGTATAACAAAAAGAAAAAGTTAAAATGGTGTATATTTTTTCACTAGACAGCTTTAGTTCTGAAGTAAAGGGGTAGTTTAGCAAGCAGGGTATATGGAGTAGATGACCTTAGGTTACCCAGTTTTATTTAACATACAATTTTAAGATTTAATTATTGGTATTTTTTCAAAATAATATTTTTGCATATTCTAGTCTAAATCTAAATAATCTGTTTTAATATATACTTGTATTTCAATAAAAGCTTGTATTGTTGATCCCCCTACCTGTATATCCATTCAGCCTCGTCCTCCAGCTCTATAGAATCATCAGGAACTGCAGTAATGGGAACATCTCGAAGTTGCATCCTTTCAGGAATATCCGTGTTACGAATTTCATTATCAAGATCTGTGAAGAAACCTCTTTTAAGTTCGCTAGGCTCATACACTTCGAAAATAGATTTTTTCGTTGGCTTCTTTCTTGCAGTTTTCTTTTGACGCTTTCTAATGTTAAAGAAATGCATTATTAATAGAGTACATTAAAACAAAAAAAGAAACAACTACCTTTTCTCTCCCTCTTCGTCTTCCTCATACTCATCTTCCTCTTCATCTTCCTCATCTTCATACTCATCCTGGTCATACTTGGAAAATTCATCATAATCGAAATCGACACCAAAAGTTTCTTGAGCTTCCTGCAGAGCTGCGTCAGTAAAAATAGGTTTCTTTTTCTTCTTTTTTTCTGCTATAGGTCGACCATCGTCGTCTACTATAAAATCATCAGCATCTGAGTATTCGCCCTCCTCTTCTTCTTCGCCGACACCGAAATTTTCAGGTTCGGCAGCAGGTCTATGACTGCGTTCCGATCTTCGTTCATCATCCTTTATTATGAACGAGTAAAAATTATAAATTTTGTTTATTTTTTACTAACACACGTTAAAGAACTGTCAAACATGCTACAACAAACCAGGTAAGGTTATTCTTCGAAATTTAAACAGGTTTTAATCAATTTTGGTGTAACTTATATAAGAACAAATATTTTTTAATTTATACCATCATCAGTTTAATGCTTCAAAAATCAAAACCTAAGACTTAATTTAAAATAGAAAATGCCAAATTTCAAATAGACATCTGGAGTTCCAATTAGGTAATAATACTTTCTTTGCTCTAATATGTATCATCTTAAAAAAACTTAAACTAAACGGGAGACTAGTTAACGAGTCACTTTGTTTCTGGAGGATGCACAATGATCGTAATGAGGCCTAAGTACGATGGAGCTAAGCAAACTCTATTAGCATTTTCAGATTCAGAGATTCTCTACATAATTCATTTCAGAAACAGGTTCTGGAGCAAAATTCAGATGTGCGAATTTCAAAGTGTTCATCACTAAATTATTGAAATAACTTGCTTTTTATAGTATTTTATCAATAATGAGATACAGAAAATTATGTTTAATTTCCTATTTTCTTTACAATATTACAATAAATGCACTATTTTGACTATTTAATCTAACTTTTCTGCCACAAATCGTAAAACAAAATAACTCATGGAATTGTTTTGAAATATTAGTTTGGAACGTTGCCATATTGAATTCTATTCAATTTTGGGCTCTCGTATAATATGTATTAGTGACATCTTAATTCGTTTATATATGTTTTCTTTGCCTTTTTTTAATAAACCTATTCCTCTTCAGAATTTCAGGAGGTTAAAACTCGTAAGGGGGTAAATTATATGAATATTATTATATTTTCTCAAAAAGTAGAAGATACAGAGACGAGATTAAATAGGGAAAAGTTGTATTTAGTTGACAAATATATAGGCACAATCAGAACTAAAATATACTGGCCCGTATATAAAATAAATTAAAAATTGCAATTTTCGATTTTTTAGTTCTAGTTTTTTCACTTATAAAATGAGACGTTAATTGGTGGTTCCCCACGAGAATTTTAAACAATTTGTGTACAAATATTTATGTGGTAAACCCTTTAAGCCTGCCCTTGTAAAAATATTTGAGCCCTTTACCTCTTAAAACAGTCAATGTAAAAATATTTGGGCCCTTTACCCCTTAAGTCTGTCCATGTAAATTTTTTTGGCGCCTTTACTCTAGGCCTGTCCAGTCTGTACCCCTTAGGCTTGCCCATGTAAAAATATTTGGCCCTTTTACCACTTAAGTCTGCGCATGTACATACACGTGCCCATGTACAATTATTTGGACCCTTTGACCCTTAAGCTCGCCTGTGTAAAAATATTTATGATATTTACCCCTCTACTTTTTTGATTCCAATATAAAATTTAGATACGAGATCCATTCCTAGAGCTCGTTAAAATTCGAGTAAGAATCATCATTATTTCACCATCCTGTATGTTATTTGTGCAATATCTACAATTATTTCAGTTAGAACCATTATTTTCACTTTTGACTTTTACTTACAATATATAACCACTCAAATAAAATCATTTAAACACGTTTTGTACAAATCCTACTTTAGGTTTTTAGTTTCAGAGTTAAAAATGTAATTTTATGATAAGCGTGTCAAAAGTGATTCGCTTTAGTGTTGCAATTACTGCCACCCTAGAAATATCTGTCCCTTATACGTTTCAAGTTGAAATAGCGTACAATACTGTGACGAGGTCACTAGATTTTCCTATCGTTTAATTATAAGAATGTTTAGTTCAAGTTGATTTCCGCCTGTTAGCGTTTGCAAGAATCCCTGTAATTTTTATTCCTTAAAAATTCTTCCTCGTTCATTGCCAAGTTTCCGGGTTTTAAACAACAAAGTAAAACTGGAGTTTAGAAAAATGTCTTGTCAACACGAATGAAATAAATAATTTTTTATTTACAAGAGACTTTAATGAAGTGCCATTCAGTTTTTTAATACAAGGTTGCATCTTTACCTCTTCTACTTCATCAGAACTCAATGTCTGTGAAAATACAATAAAAATGTACCTGAATTCTTAAAAAAAAAAAAATTTTAAACTGTGATTCATTTCACATTAGTGATGACACAAAAAATGAGACAAACAAAATTCACAGTGAACTAAGCGAGTTTTAAGTGCATATGTATACAGGGTGTTTCCGAACTTGGCGTCCAAATTTGTAGGGGTGGTAGTTCACATAATTTGAGACCGATTCGCAGATTTCATTTTTCCAAAATATTTAAAATAAAAATAATTAAAAATTATAAACAGGTACGGTCCTGCACAGCGATTGGTTCGCCTCGATTCGCGCGCGCTACGCTTAGAATCGACAAAATTGCAAATCGCATCTGTTTTTGAGGACTATTGCACTACGCGCTCAGGGTAGGACCTGCTCTTTGATTTTTTTTATAATGGCTCTATTTTGTTTATTATAATTTTTTTTAAAAATGAAATCTGCCAATCCCTCTCAAATTATGCGAAATACCACCCTTACAAATTTGGGCGCCAAGTTCGGAAACACCCTGTATAGACCAAATAAATTTAGATCTTTAATTATTTCATTTAATCCATTTTAAGTTTTAAAATAATATATTCCTAATGTAAGTAAACAACAATAGTTAAATAATCTTTAGTAATCAATTTTGTAAAACAAAAAATAAAATTACAGATTGGCTATTAACTTAAATTTAGTTACATATACTTTTAAACTACTTTTTTTAGGACCTGCAAACAATATATTATAAAAAATTCAAAACGTTTATGACAATGACAGAATGTTTTTGTTTGTCTCACTGACGTCACACTAATGCGGCGTAACATAGCGCACAATCTTAAAAATTTGATATGGCATTTCGGTTTAGAATATTAACTACCTATGTCTGTAATGAACGCATTATTTTAGGGGAAATTATACCTAGTAATATGAAAATCAGCATTTATTTAATTTATAAATATAAATTATTTTGCATCAATGAATTAAAACTTTTGTGTTATAAGTTCTATATTCCATTCCATTTCATCATCTTCATCCAGTATACTTATTTGCAAATAATAAAACCATGCAATGCCAATAAATAGCATAAAGATATACAGGATGTCTCAGAAAGTTACTTGGACAGTTCAAATGTTGGTTAAAATTGTGTGGTAAATAGGTTTTTAAAATAAAGATAGAATATCTCAATTAAGACTATCCAAATATTGAAATTGTTTGGCTATGACTGACTAGCTCATATAAAACTTTAACCAAAACTTGAAAACCAATTTTTTTTATCAGCCATTTTCAAAAATCACAGACATGATACATGCTGTATATTTTGTACACCAAATTACCTTTTTCTGATGATCATCTCTTTCCTTTATGACGGCAAACAATAATTTAATGGGTAAACAATTCTAATTTTATTTATTTGTAAAAATTAGGTCTAAAATACAATAACCTACCAATTTGTGAATGTTTTTAGAGTTATTAAGCCATGTGAAGTTAATTTATCAACAATTATTAATAATTTGATAAGAAACTATTATAATAATTTAAAATAACTTACATCATCAGAGAATATATCCATGGCAATTTGTTCTCTGTCTTGTTCAGGGTCATGTTCTTCTTCACCCTCACTTTCCTCATCTTCAAAACGACGTAAACGTTTGAATTTCTTTGAAAAACATTACAATTAGTTAATATGTGTCTATAGTATATCAAAATTTAAAACAATAATTGTGAGTCTATATTTTGTGTACTTACCCTTCTTTGAACTTTGACTCCCAAATTTTCTTCAAGAAGATCATAATCTTCATCTTCCAGTCGGTCATCAATATCTTCATCATCTGATTTTTTTCTTTTTTCCCCTCCTGCTTAAAATCAGAATATTTCAAAGCAATTCACAGATATTTTCTTATAAATGAATAACAATTGTAATTTTATATAAAAATAATTTTAACTAAATAATTTTTCTGTTGAAGAATTAGTACCAAATTTTATTCAGGGTACTCAATTAAAAGAAGTAAAGTACCATGCATATCTCAGTGTTGTTAAAAAATATTGACACTTCAACTCATGTTTTTATGTATACATACAAGAACCCTCTATTGTACTACTGTGTGAATGTAAATCAAAATCAGTTTGATCACTTTGAAGTTAACATTTTATTTTATGAATTTACTAGAATTCATTTCTCTAATAAAAAAAAGTGAATTTGATACTTTGCAAAAATTATCAGACTTCAAAAACAATCTTTGGATACCATTAGATAGTTGAATAGACAAGTACCTATACATTCATTAACCAAGACAGTTCTGGCAACTCAGGGGTATATAACATATTTTATTTAAATTGTAGTTAGAATATAAAAATAAAAACCCAATTTCACCCAGACATATGGACCAAAATATATAGTAAATACCAGTATATAAACTTTAAAGGTAATTTAATTAATTAAAACTTAATTTATTGATAAATGAAATGTCTGGAAATCATTTGGATTCCCTATTTTTACTTTATTCAAACATTGTGTAGTGTAACTAAAAATTAAGTAGTTGCTTATACTCAAAAATAGGTATAACATGGATAACATTTTTCAATAAAATAATTCATATTTCCCAATTCTAGCTAACAAATTCATTAACTGGAGATTAAGCAATATTTCTTATGAATTTTTGAGTAAAAGCGTATGGCTTTATTTTTATTCACACTACCCTTTAAGTCAAGTTAGAGACTGTAAATATTTAGTAGTTTAAATATAAAATTTATTGAGTAGACTGACTAGGAAATAATATGTAGGTACATGTACATTCATAGTTGACCCTGTTACTGTGAGATATACCTATGGCACACTGCAATTTTATATATTAAAAAGGACTAATAGTAACATAATATACACATGAAACGTGCAGTGGATCCTTTAAAATAAAATTTCGTTCATACCAGAAGCATCAGATTCTGCATCACTTTCTTCAATGGGATTGTCATCAATAAGATCTTTCAATTCTTCTCTAAGCCGTTCCTCATCATCTACAATTTAAATAAATGAGTATATAAGAAAAAAAATGTAGAGTAACAAAACCTTCTTCATCTTCGTCAGAACTATCAACTACTTTGGGTTTTTGAGCCTTTTTTCGATCTCGGTGATCTACTTCTTCTTCCTGTTACAAAATGAAAGCTAGGTTATAATTTTGCTACTATTAAATAAGCATATATTTTGTGCACTAAAAGCACATTTTTAAAGAAAAACACAGAAAAATAGTATTGCAAAGAGATTGATTGCCTGGAATTTACCTCGCTGGACACCTCGGCTTCCGATTCGATAAAATCTGCCATGTTTATATTATTTAGTATTTATTAGAAAGCCGTTATGTGAAGAATTACTATACTCCAATGTAATAAATCCAAAAATTGAAAATTATAGCATCATATTTTTATTTTAATTGGCTTAAATTTTATGTTATAAATATAAAATATGAATACCCAGACAAAATTTTGGCAATAGAGAGAGACGTTGACAGGAGACAGGAGTTAATTGACATTGACAGACGACAAAGACTATAAAGTCAAGTTTACACTAGAGTTATTTCGCGGAGGCGACGATCCGAAAGGGAGCCAATTCCTGATTTGTCCTCGCACGCTCACTCCATTTTTGTTTTTCTCGTTGTGAAAAATCAGTGGTTTCGATGAGAAATTCTTTGTTCACGGAGGCAATAAACAACTGCATTATTGAGAGTAGTGGATTTATCGTCTTCATGCAGACTTTTTACATTTTTCATAACGCTTCCAGGGTAGCTATGCTTGCATTCGAGGGAATAGAAAACCGGTTTTTCCTCTTTATCTGCAACGCACAAAATTTATATTTTTGTCTCATTCTTCCCTCAAAATTTCTACTCCCCGAGATTCAAGAATAGAGATACCCAGGCGTAGTGCGCCTGTAGATTTTGGATAAATTCCTGTCATAAAATTGCACATATACTTATGCTGTAAATGATAACAATTCCTATTCTAAAATTGGTCCTAAAGGTCTTCTTTTGTTGTTTAAGTTATTTTCCTCAAACCCTATACTAATTTTCAGGGTTGGATGGTCTAAATACAATATGTAAAATTTTCTATCCTAACTCCAGGAGAACGGTATCGAAACGCCATCGACAAATATAATCAAGCGCCTCATCTTTATTTTGCCTATTAGGCATTCCAACGACCTGTCAAACAATAGGTGCCAGTGGGAAGTTCTTGTATATCTAAGGGGATAGCGACATAGTCTTGCATCTTGGACGTTATTTTTATTCGAAACAGTAGTCGCCACAAAGCACATAGAGGTTCCACGTGAATGATCAAGGTCAAAACCGACAATTGACATTTTTTATGCTATTTGCTCCAAACTCTAGATGGGACTACTAGTAAAATTCTGATTTCTTACTCCATTTTTAAGCTTTATGGTAGAAAAACTTAACCAAAGACTCCAAAGATGTGACGTGTATTTATTTATGTTTTTGGTTAATCTCATTTTTCCGTCTGATTTTAGTGATGGCTTTGGCTTTTGGTTTCTGTTTATAGTTTCGTCTTAGTTATAACCTACTGTGTTTTGCAATAATTTTGTTGCTACCTGTGGGTGCTACGTTGAAAACTTCGAGAAAAACTTCATTGATTCACCATGCATCTGCATCATAAAAAGACAAACGGGTATAACAACTAATTGATAATCAATTTATCACTGGACTAGATTCCGAAATCATTTTTCACATAAGAGAGTAATACTCAAAGCAGTGGAGTAATACCACCATCTGTATTTGGAAGGAAAATACCTATTTATCATTGAATGAATAGTTAAAAGGATTCACCTTTTAATACAATACCTATATTACATTTGTCCTCGGTTTAAAAGACATTTATAAAATATATTATTTTAGTGTTAATAAAATGTAATATCCTAGTCTCTACTTCACATTTAAATTATTGATAGGTATTTTAAAGATTTGAGATTGTATACCTATTTGCTGCAAGTAAGTATTCGTTAAATATGTATTATTATTTGTATTTATTTTTATCTAATAATATTATTTAAGTTATTAATAAACATATTTTAAGAATGTTCTATTTTATTATTTATTGATATATCTTATATTTATTTAATAATAATATGCAAAACCAACTCTTCACATCAGACCCCTGCTTATAACAAATTAATTCCTCAAATTTGGTATAATCGACCTAAATTATTTTGTAAAATAAAAGTTTCGAACTTACTAGTTCCATTCTTTATTTTATAAAATAATTTATGTGGAAATCATTTGAAATTTAATTTAAAACTACTACCTACTCCTAAAAATTACAATTTGAATTTACCGCCATCTGTCAATTGTCATTTTAGTTCCAGCTCCAAACACAAGGTGGCGCCAATTTGGTTTAAAAGTTTAACATTGGCGTGGGGTCTCTAGAAGATACGTGCTTTGTGGTAGTCGCCAAGCCTGCCAATTTATGAAGAAACGTATAAGCGGGTTTTTTAAATATTATTTTTATTGCGTTTGATATAAAATATTTAAATGTAATCCATTATTTATGATTTTACGTATTTTACGTCCATCGTGTGTCGCAACCCTTAGATATACCAAACCTTCCCACTGGCAATTCATTTGTTTGGAATGCCTAATTCTGTCGAGTTAACATACTATAGAATAATACACAAAAAATGTTTCTAGTAGGACTTCGAAAAATTCACGCATTTCTGATCGTATAATTCTTCTTTTTAAGCCTCCGTTTGGATTTAATTCAAAGCCACGCGTGAGTAGTTATCACTAGTATGATCTGTATTTCTGACTGAAGTTGGGCATGACCAACTTTAGAAACATTTTTTATGGATTACCCTTTATTTCGCAAACTTTATTGTTTAATCGACTGTAAACTCAACACTAGAAGGCAGACAGAAGTTGAACAGTATTTTCGCAGTTCTCCCACTTCATATACACAGGATTTGGACGGTTTATTTCATGCAACAAGATTTTTTATATCATCACACGATATTACGATATTCAAGTTTTACTTCAATATATTTGTATATGAGAGTCACCGTTAGCCAAAAGCGTATGTTATGTGTGTTGTGTTGCCTACTTACCTGCAGATTGAAAACGGGGCAATCAATTGTTAATGTTTCAAGTTTATATTTTGTTTGAAAATAGCGATTTGCTTTACTAATGACTATCTTTTTAAGGACCGATTCCACCGTTGTGTTAAACGAAGTTTAAAGTGACATTTTACATTAACAATGTCATTTTAATCTCCGTTTAACACAACGGTAGAATCGGTCCTTAGAAACATACTTTTATTGCCGCGTTTGAGAATCCACATCGGATGCATCTGAGATGTTGTGAATTTTTTATCACGTGATAGAGAATTAGATCTGAATGTAGATGTAATAAACAAACGCTCTAGACTTTATTTGGTCACGTGATAAAATGTCAATGACAAGTTAGAAGTTTATACTTATTAAATTTGACTTTTGAGACTACAAATCAACCGAAATTTGAAATATAAACAAAAATTATACAAACTAATCACTTTTATATTCATGCTAACATAAACAAAGGATAAATTGACAAACAAGGCTTCACAGAACACTTACTTTCTGACATGGAACGAACATCTCATTTCAAATCGAGATGTAAAAAATGTAATCTGAACAGGTACATCTGGGATAAACAAACGCAGATGTAGATGTAGTAGATGTGTCCGATGTGGATAAAAAAACGCTCGAGATGTAAAAAGGCCGTGACTAGCCACACGTTAACCTGCCGCGAGTGCCTCAATCCTGAAAAATTAGCCACACGTAAACGTCACTCATGACGTCATGGTTTGTTTACTTCTCGATACATAATACATAACCTTACTATTCAATTACCGTTTATGTGCTGATATCGTTTGTTGCAGAATTTTACATAATATCTTGATTTATTTGTAAAATATGTTCACAATAACGATGATTGCAAGTAGAAATTGCCAAACCTCAAACGGAGGTAAATTGTAAATTACCTTCTACAATTTATATTCAAAACATTGCAACAGGCTTTCCATTAGTAAAATTTCGAACTTTTTACTCATCTAAATTAAAATATGGATCGAACGGGCTGAAGAACAAGGAATATTTTGCATGCATGGGCATGAACTCAGGATATAAGATTTCTGAATGCACATGATCACCAACATTTGTAAAAAAAGTGTTACATAAATTAACAATATTTTTACCATAAGTGTTTTTTCTTTGTTTCTGCAAGATTTAGAGGTATTTTTATTTATATATTTTATTTTGAAAGTACCTATTTTTCTTTGCTTCTTTAATAAAAGTCTTGTTAATTTAGTTCTATATTTTATAAATTTATTTTTTCATTACAAGTTTGCAGTTTTTTTGTATTTTAATGTAAAGCTCCCCTTTTTAATTATTAATAGATTCCATGAGCCCATAATACAAAGTATTCTTTGTTTTATCTTTATTGTACTAGTATTGTTCTGGACTAATTTTATTTTAATATCTACCTATATACCTTTTCAAGATTTTTTTTAGAAAAATTCAACTTTAAAAAATGGTTTATGATAAACAATAATTTGTTAATTTTAAAAAATGTAGCTACATTTTTTACTTTCCTTTATTAAGTAAGAAAAGTATAAGAATTGTGATTTTTTTTTCAACTTCGAGTTTTCGATTGACCTTTGTTTTTGGGGTCCCTTGAATCAGTTTTTCCCATTTTTGCAATGATGTCTGTGTGTCTTTATCCACAATAACTTAAGAGTAGATAAAGAGAACTTGATTTAATCCATCTTGGGGAGAGCTGACTAGATTTTGAGCATAGTCTGAGCATTGGAGATACTTTATAGTGGTAATTTTTCTACGTTAAGGTATACTTGTTATTTATGATTATAGAAAAAAATTCTTTCAATAAAAGTTGTTTGTGATGTCATTTTCTATAATGTTTTCATTATATAGTTTCTCTAAAATATATTGTAATAAATAAATATGAAAAAATTGCTAAATTTGAATTTTTAAGTATTTTCATTGGCAATGAAAATATCTTTTAATTCATATTCTGAACAGTTTTTGATTAGATCAACCGTACTCAAAATATTTTTAATAACTTTACAGGAAAGTCATGTGTTGGGCACATCATATTTTTTTGTCTTATCTCAAAGATTAGTAACTGGTAAGATAGGACAACCTGCACATTTACTTGAAAGGTTTAACATTAACCTAGTTTGAAGTGTAAATACAATAATAGGTTTGATGTCGGGCTTTATAGAAACATTTACACAATAAGCCTCTAAAATCAGTACCTACTTATTTTGTTAACGTTAAGTTGCCAAATCAACGAAAGTAAAAACCAAACCGACTGTTTATCAGAGAAGTCTGTAGGACTGGCAAGATTGTAGATGATTACTAATAATTTCAATCAATCCGAATCATGGACTAGAATCTGCAGGGCTACATTTACATTATATTAATCTTTTCTGAATGTGCTATCTTAGCATTATTAATATTTACTTATCTTTTATTCTAAACCTAGAAGGTTGAGATAAATATATACCTTCAGTTATCTTTGTTTCCTTCTGGAATATGAGCTAACTGGATAAATCTATAAAATTAAGTTGTTATCTTCATCACAAGTAGAACAAAAAAGGTAAAATAAGTACCCGAGATAAAATTTGGAATAGTCAGCTGAGACTGAGATGCACTGCAAACTAAACTATTCGTAAAAAATCAGCTTTGCCTCAACCAATAATCAAAGTAAAAACTTAGTATGGGATAAAATTTTAAATTATTCAATTTAAAAATTTTGAGCATTAGTATTTGAATGATCTCCTTTTAATATGTATGTGAGTTGAGATTTTTCTACTACTGTGGCAGGTATATTTTAAAAAACCAGTACATAACAAGTAATTTTAAAATCAAATCACCATAGATTGTAAATGACTAGGAGAATCAACAGTGATTTGTTTGTAATTTTTGTAAATGAGATTAATAAAATATTAATATTACATTGAACAGATATTTTCCAATATTTCGTATTTGTAAATAGGGCATTTGGTTTAATACAGCTTACTTACATCAGGAGTTTATTATGTGTTAACAAAAAGAAAACAATATACCTATCTCAAGAGCTAGAAACTATGTTATTGTGTATTATTGGAGAAGGTTGTCTTATTCTTCCACTTTCTTTTCTTTAAAATATGTAATTTCACAATTTAATTCGAATTCTATATCGTTTATTATGCTCATTAGTAGACCTCTTCCAAAACAAAATAAGTAAAAATTGATTGATTTGATTACCTAACCTTAAAGACAACTGTCATACTGCGAATTTTCCGTGACGTCACATCCATGACGTCACTACCATGATTTTTAACGTGTGGCTAGCCACGGCGATGTAAAAAATGCATCCGATGTGGATTCTCAAACGCGGCATATAAACTACCCTTAATAAAATTATCTCACTGTGTAAACGTGGTTTACGTTTACTTCTTTTGTCGTTCGTTCGTTCTCCGTTCGTCGTCTTCCGTCTTCCTCCATCTCTCCACACGCGGTAAAACGTCGTCTACTTTTTATATTGTTCTCATGTTAAGTTAAAATTTAATTTATTTTTTAATAATAAATTGTGTAATATTTTTTTATTTATTTAAGAAAGAATGTTGCTAGGTACAGTGTGTCTTTAAAATTAGTTTCATTTTAGGTAAGGAGAATTTATAAAAACCCATTCTTTATTGTTGATCACCTCCCAAATTGAATATACCTACACCATTTTGAAAAACTATATGAATTTGAATTAATGAATTTTAAATAAATTGATCAAATAGACTCTTATTGTTAATACAAAATTAATTTTTAGATCTATAAATTATGACTGAATGTAATCTTCAGCATTATAAAAAGGAAGAAACTTTTTGCTATCCACCTTGGTGTTCAGTGTGTGAGAGAGGTCCACAGAGAAGGCGTTCAATTAGCGAAACTAATGAACCCTGTAGAAGAAAAAGTAAAGAACTAAAAACCCTTATTCCAAAAAAATACAACCGGAGTCAAGAGTATGAAAACATGGAGTTTGAGTATGAATGTAAGTCATTTAAAAAATGGGTGTTTATAAAAAAATGACATTATTATTATTATCATCATACATATTAGTTTTTAATTTAAGTATAATGGTTGCAGCAGGCTTGCTTCTAATTTGAAAATAAATTTAAAATGTTGAGCTCTCAAAATATAAAAAAAAAGATATCTTTACATTTGATAAAATAACAGAGGTGATTTAATTCCTTTTTATGTAGTAATCTGATTTTAAAAATAGAAAACTTAAATGTTTAATCGTCCCTTGAGATTGTCAACATAGTTGGTGAAAGGCATATTAAGTTTTAAAAATAGGTTTAGCAAGAAGTACTTAAATCTGTTTCTATTGTTTGTTACATCCTTAGACTTTTATCTAAGGTTACATCAAAGCTTCATTTTCATTTTTTTGTTTTTTAGGAAAATTCAGTATATATTGGTTATTAGTAGATATGTTTTTATATTCATTGGGTTTATTATTTACTCTCATTAATAAAACCTCAGATCATGCCAAAAACCTACATAATAAGTAACACATCTGTTTAAAAAAAATTTCAATGCTTTTGTGTACTCTTTAAATGTTTACTAGATAACAATAAACACATCTGGAATATTGCTTTATATTATAAAGAAAATTGTTTGATATACTTTTCCTAAATGTGTTAAATACCTAACACATTTTTATTAATTTTAAAAGTAAAAACTTATTTTGAACATTATTTTTAAATCAAATGGTTGCAAATAATACAAGAACTGTTCAATTTTTGATAGATTGATCTATTAATGAGGATACATTTCAGAATTGTATTGAGTTTTAAGTTTCCATATCTTCCAACAAATTTTTCAAGCTTAAGATCCTTTTCTTGGACCACACTTATATGTTATTCAATTTTTGTAGGTAAGGGCCAATGGCAAGAAAAAGACATGAGATACGAGTTTACTAGAATAAGATCTAATCTTTGTGAGTTACCTACATCCTATATATCAAACAACTGTCAAGTTTCCAGTAATGTGACAAATCCAAAAATATCCAATGAGCTAAGTAGTTTTGATTGCATGAAAACTTTCAACGTTTATGAAAGTCCAATAAAATTTACAAAGGTCAATGATCAAATTGAAAATTTAGGTGATATGCAAGGAAAGCCCAGGATCCAAAAGAAGCAGGATTCTAAATGTTCACTTAGAGGTGGTAACTCATATGTAAAGAGCCCTTTGTTAGACCAATTCCATAGCAGAAGCGAATTAATGAGCAACTACACCATGACCAGAGTAAGGCCTGAACCAAACAATTCTACATGCTCTGAATTTTGCTCATTATCAGATTTTAAATTACACAATATCCCTGGTTTAAAACCAGTTTGTTTTGAAACTAGCACTTATTTTAATAAAAATGATGATGTCTTAAATATATCTGAGAGACATGCTAGGGAAATGAATCGATTAAGAGAACAATTAATGTCCCTAAGAAGTGCACCTTTTAGTCAAATAGGAAACTTAAATGAATCGGAAACTAGCTCAAGTGCCAATAAATCTATACTTAGAAATTCCAATATTCTTGTCTCAAAAGTTATTCTTCCAAATCAAAAAAGTCTAGAAAATAAGGTTGTGCTAATAAATGAAAGTAGAAGCAAGCTTTTAAAGAAATTATCTGATGAAACAGACCCTCCAGTAAAAGTTAATAAGAGTAAAATATCTTTGAAAACAAGAGCAAAAGTGAATTCTGCAAAGTTAAAATTGAAAACTAAACCAAAAGCTGTTTCCACCATTTCCACAAGTTCCAACCTTACAGAAAGGTAATGTATTTTGATTTATTATTATTATTATTTGTGTAAAGTGTAAAAAATATGAATATAATGAGGTACATATTGGTTTAAAGTATATAAAAACTAGAATGAAGATATATAAGACTTGGAATTCTATATTATTATTCTCTTCACAGTTTAACTGACCCCATTAACCCCTATTTTCAACCAGATATTTTTCACATTTAATAGGCTTCATGCCTTTATAAAGCATTTTTTTTTCGTGAAGATTTCTATTTGATATCATTTTTTGTTGCTGAGTTATGATTGTTCAACCCCTCTTATATCCCCATTTTTATTTATTTATTTATTCATTCCCTTAGAGAGCTTGATTTGTAGTAAACCTTTTATGTTGATATCACTTTTGGTTTTTAATTTCCTTTTTTTTTATTTGAACCCCCATTAACGCCTATTTTATTCAATTTTTTTTTTAAACCAAGAGCTTGATATTTGCCAAAAATTTCAAGTTGATATTCTTTTTTGAGTTATAATTTTTTTTTAAATATTTCAACCTCCCTTAACACCCCATTTTTGTTCATTTTTTTAAGAATCAATAGGCTTCATCTCCTTATAGAGGTTGATTTTTACTAAAAATTTCATGTTGATACCTATCGTTTTTTGAATTATTTTTTTTATTTCAACTGCCCTTAAACCCCCCATTTTTATTTAGTTTTTTTTTTTTTTTTTTTTTTTTTTTTTTTTTTTTTTTTTTTTTTTTTTTTTAATCGAAGGACTTCTTCCACTTATAGAGCTTGATTTTTGCTAAAAATTTCAATTTTTCATTTTTGAGTTAGGATTTTTTTTTTAATATTTTAACCCCCCATTTATTCAGATTTTTTTCAGAATCAATAGGCTTCATCTTCTTATAGAGCTTAATTTTTACTAAATTTTCATGTTGATATTACTTTTCGTTTTTGATTTATAATTTTTGTTTTCAATTTCAATCCCCTTTAACCCCCCATTTTTAATCAGATTTTTTTCAAAATCAATAGACTTTGTCCCCTTATAAAGCTTGCTAAACATTTCAAGTTGATATCATTTTTCATTTTTGAATATTTCTACCCCCCTTAATCCCCCATTTTTATTCAGATTTTTAAAAATCAATAGGCTTCATCCCCTTATAGAGGTTGATTCTTCCTGAAAATTTCAAGTTTTTGACTTATTGTGTGGACGTCAGATGGAGTCAGATGGACGGATAAAGTCAATCTGAGATCGGAAGGTCTCAGGATCGAATTCCACCGGTGGCAGGAATTTTTATTTAATAAAAAAAAATAATTAAATATTAATTCTAATACATAGGTAGGATTTATCACTCGACCGTTCACTGTTGGGTTCTAATTAACAGTGCTGTTCCTGAAGTAGCGCTGGAAACAGTAACAAAGCCTACACAGAACACATGAATAAGAAGACAAGCACAAACTGCAAAAAAAAAATATACCTATTTAAATATTATAATAAGAGTATAAAAGAAAAATAAATGTTATTAACATAATGCTAAAATAACCTTCAAAATATATACAGGGTGACCTATTAGTGTTAGTAGTCCAATGTTTCTTTTATCTCTTTTATTTTTAATTAATTAAAAATAAAATTTTGTAATAAATAGTGTAATAATATACCTACAATTTTATAAAAAAAATTAATCCTTAATCCCTTTTGATATCACAGTTCTAAAAAAAGCTCCTCAAGCAAAAACTTAGATCATTTTTAGTGAAATCTCTAAAAAGGTCCTCATCTTGTATTTTACATAAACCAGCGCTCCTCCATTTTGTGGCGAACTTCTAAAAAAATAAAACGTTCTCACCTAAAGCTGCCGGCCCCGGAATTTGTCCCGCCAGCCCCCCCCCCCCCTCCCTCTCGTCGGTCCTGACTGGGTGTTCAATATGAAAAAAACAAAGTTCTAGATTAGAAGATGAAAAGTTTAACAAGTAGGTACACCTGCATTGAATCATCTGTACAAAAAAATAAACTTGATCCTTTCTGACATTTCAGTTAACCTTTAGCTTTGTATTTACTATATAGTTTAATTTAACTATCAATAACAAAGTTTTTTTCTAATATTTGTCATGAACAATTTTTCAGAATTTTTCACATCTTTTTTGTGATAAATTCACGTTGCAAAATTAAAAAAACAACTCAGTATTGGAATGTAAAATTTTACTCTAAAATTAAGGGTGAAAAACTATACGACATTTAAGCTGTCCCATTGTACCGAAATACCCTGTAAATTTCCAGTATTTTAGAAATATGCAAAAAAGTAAACCCTATAACTTTTACTTAAAACATTTTCTTATGATAAGAGAAATATTGGACTTTCTCGCACTAATGGGTAGGTATATAATATAATTTCTTTGATAAATTAATTGGTAAAAAAAAGTAGTTTTGATTTAATATATTAAACAATCTATTTTTATCATTGTTATTTATTATGATACATATTTTATACATGTAAGGTCAGATCTGTTTTTCAATAATTAACTAAATTTGCTTGCTCTTAGCAAATTTATTTTAAGAGTGCTGCACTTTTGTTTACTTATTGATTCACTGTATTTGATTATATTTAATGTATAATTGTTGTATGTTCTGTATATAAAAACTATGCTGATTCGGAAAAATAAAATATATTTTCTATTTTGTTTTTTCATTATTGTTAATTTGATTTAAACATATAAAAAAATTACTTACATTTATAATTTCTGATGTGATGGTTGTTACGATACCAGTGACAAAATATAAATATTTTTGTTCTATAAAGATAATGATATCATTCTACACAGGGGGATCAATAGCATAATTTGAATATGTTGATACACTTGAAGAAAAAGGTATTTTATTGAATTTATATTTTTGCAATATGCATATTAATAAACAAAAAAAAATTCTATAACAAATTAGTTTTTTAAACTAATAGTTATTGGTATTTTAAATTTTTCAGTAAATTTAGATTAAACGTACCTTACCTAACCTTACCCTCTTCTAACATTCCAATATATTGGCTAATGAATACTATTCAGCATAATCAGTATATTTTTACTTATTAGCAATTAGAAATGGAATACTCTGTGTAATATAAAAAGACAATTCTTTTATTTTATTGGCTCATTTCTTTTTTAATTCTTTTTAATAATAATTTTCCAAAAATTTGTTTGGATCTGAACTGTCATAGTTTGGGTAGGGGGGGGGGGGTTGGCATTTAAAAATAGTTACAGAGAAGATAAAAAAATTTATTTTTAGCACATTTACAATATACCTAATTTACAACGTTTATGTATAAAAATTTTACCCACACCATCCCCCTTGGGGAAGATGCAGGGGGTGGCATTCCCAAAAAAAAGTTGAAATTTTGGGTATGTATGTAGAAAAAAATCATAGATTTCAACGATTTCACATAAAAATTTGTAACTTAATTTTTTTGGGATGCCACGCCCTCCATCTCCCTCTAGGGGGATGGTGGAGGTAAGATTTGTATACACAAACTTAAAGCAGGTCTACTTTAAATGTGCCCAAATGAGTTTCTTTTCTCTTCTATAACTCTTTTTAAATGCCATCATTTCCTCACATCCGAATTATGACAGTTAAGGTCTGAAAGTTTTGGAAAAATTTTATCAAAAAAATTTGAAATTTTGTTTTATTGAAAAAATTGTAACTTTGGTATTTACCAACAAAATGTTTAAGGTGTAAAGAAAAAGTCAAGTGTCCCAGTAAGAACCATGCAGTGGTACTTATTGAAACAAGGCGTGGTACAATATGAGACATGTTAAAATGTATTTATTTTTTAATCTAAACTGCAAATATTTTATCTTAATTTCAAACTAAAGATGAAACAATTTTACAAAAATAATAGAAACATTCTCAGTAACTCTTTCAAAAAACTATAAAATATCTAAATATTATGTTTACTAAAATCAAAAAACATTTTTTATAGCCCTCTCTGTTCCACCATGGTAATTTGGTTTTTGGCAGCTTACAAGCTACGTCTTCTCTTTCTAATATTTCTTCATCTGTTGTTCAGGCAGAAGACAACCTTTGCATTCTCAAACTTTAACACATTCCATTATTATAATACCACAGAATGTCCTGAAGTATACCATTATGTTTGTTTTTGTTATTTTTTTTGTTTGAAAAGATACTTTTTTACCAGATACAGTTCATCAAATTTCTAGAGGCTTTCGACGGCTAGACAGAGAAAGCACTACTGACAGGCATCCCGACGGATTTACGCAATGAAAGTACACTCTGCGCATCAAGTATTTCACTATTTCATTCAGACGTAAATGTCAGATGTAAATTTCGCTAAAACATTTCTTTTATTTTCGTTTGTGTTTTTTGCTCATTACAGTTTAATAGAACCTAAGTATGGAGTTTAATAGCAAATTAAGAGGCCGCGTGATTAACAGTCAATCTCGCGAAATAATAGCCAATGTTATAGAGTTTATGAGAAGAGAAGGAAACTTTAATTCACCTTCAATACCATTTAAAAATGTAAATGATCGTGTTGCTGCAGCCACAGGAGTATCTAAAAACACTGTCGTCCGCATTTCTGGAGAGAAAAAAAGAATCGATAACCGTGAGATATCGGAATTTTCATCACCAAGAAAAACCATTAAAAAACCAAAAACAGTTAATGATATAGATGAAGCTGCACAAGAATCAAATTTTATTTTTTTATTATTAGATAGCTATTTTTGTTTCTGAGTTGTGTTCATTTACAGGCTCAATTTTTTTCCGTTTCTCCTTTTTGATTTTATATGGGGTTTCAAGTTGTTTTTGACTTATTTCGACGTAAATCACAACAACACACTTTTTTAATAAAGCAAACAAGTGTTAAGAGGTATATGTACGTGTAAACTACAATTGCAAAAAATTGATATGAAACCCATGAAACCACCAACAAAAATGTAAAGCTAGCTTCCGTACTAGAACATGGTGTCATTCGTCGAGATAATTTATCGTTTTGTTTAATAGATCAAGAAATGTAAATATTCCCCTGTTATTTTTTATAAAATTATAAGAGAAATAAATTTTTTTCTAAATAGTATAGTTTATTATTTTGTAGAAAAACAAAATTTCGAAAATTTTAGTAATGTTTCAGAAACAACCGTTATTAATAATAGGTACCATTTTCCTTAATAAGGTAGAAATAAAATATAAACTATTTCCACGATTTACAAAGGCCTACAAAAAAATTATAGGTATTTTCCGCTATCCTATAAAATTTATATTTTCTGACTGATTTCAAAAGTTTGAAGGAATTCCAAAACACCTTTTATGGCATAATAATTATTTTCAATTCTACATACTATCTTTAGCTGCTTTTAAAAACGTTCTAAGAAAGTCCAATCAGACCAATTTAATCCCTAAACTATTCCACACTTTTAAAATTTAATTACCTAAAAATATTAAAAATTGTTTAGCAGACTGTACAATAGTTATCTTAGTCACACGTAGCGCGTTCTCTGTCTGGGCGTCGAACACCTCTAGAAATTTGATGAACTGTACATATCTTAAAAACAGCTTAAACTCAATCACAGGTGTTATTATTAGTATTGATTTTAATTTTAAATACCTCTAGACAGTTTTATAAAACCGCAGAAAGAAAAAATAAACACCAAATCACCATGAGGGCGAGATTTCCCCATATTGCTGTGTCAATAAATGTGAAATCTGTGATTAATACACTTGGTTAGCATAAAAGGTACACTGTAACGAATAAGTAATTCATTTACTGTTCAATGGAAGGCACTAGATGGCTCTGTCTCACTGTAGGTGTACTATGTCCCTGTGACAGGCTTCTGGTTCACCTACAGTGAATCAGGGAGTCTGTGTGGCACTAAGATGGTGATTCCCGAATAGGGGTTGCTTAGGCGCCAGTTTTGGTATCACAGTTTGCTCTGCGACCCTGTAGTACACCAGAGTGTACTCAGGGTAAACTCAGTGGAGTTAAAAATATTTCCAGGCGGTCACTGCTAACTAGGTAGCTACTTAGAAAAATAAACGGGGTTGTTTAGCAGGCTAACAATATCACGGTCACTAACTGGGTTCGTCACTCGTCGGTAATAGAAGAGAGAAGAGCTTACAGCCCACGGTGGCCGGAAATCAAAGAGAACAATTATCAGTTGTAATCGAATTTATGCCTTTTCCCTGGGCAAGCTTGAAGACCGGTAATCCGGAGTGGGGGAGTACCACCACTGCAGCCGACTGTTTACAATTTAAAAATAAAAAAATGTCCTACTAGTACCTTGACAAATACAAGTAGATAATTGATACGAAATCGACTCTACAAATGCCCATTCGGATTTCGGCAAATATAGAAATATTTTAACCTACGAGGGTTCTCGCAATTGTTTAAAAACGGGAATTCTTGGGAAACACAAATCTTCTACATGTCCTGATGCGGGAATTAATTGAAATATACATTTTTAAAATGAATTAAAAATAAAATTAGTGTCTTCGTCACAATACCACTTTCAACTATTAATTTTTAAAGGACCAACATTCAGTAGAAATCAAAATAGGCTCTAATTCAGGGATTCCCAAACTATTTTGGGCAAGAGACCCCTTTTCCAAAATGAACTGATACTTCAGTCCCCCATAGCCAAATTACTTTAAAAATCCTATCTCTAGTTTTTTCCTATTGATACAAAATATTTGCCAATTTAAAAACTTTGTGGTTGGTTTAACAAAATAAATAGACATACAATTCAGTAAATATCAAGTGGAATTAATATTTTTTTTTTTTTGAGAATAAGCATCTAAACGTAGTTTTTTGCCACAGACTTGTAAACCGAATAATTAATACAAATTGCGTAAAAATACTTAAGTAGGTAATTATTGTGTTTCGATCACGAGTCGGGTAGCAGGCTTCAAGATCGCGCTCTATAGGGACGGCTTAGGCATTCCCATGACAATATTAAAAAAAAAAACATTAAAATTCAGTGTGATGGATGAACCTGGTTACTTTCTACCAATCTAGTTCTTTGTTTTGTCAAAATGTTTGTAACCACTGAAGCCTTTTTCGACTAGGTATGATAATGGAAAAGCAATAAGTTATTTTATCTATGCCCGTGAGATAAGAACTTCTTATCCCACCCATTTTGCGTGAGATAAGAAGTTTATTAAGGCACGTGTTTTTCTTATATCACTGCTTTTTCAATCAAATAAAAAAGTCAAAATGTAAAAATACTGTCATAATCTAAAGTAACAACTAACTATATTTTCAGCTTAATTATTTATTATTATTTTAACTTCGCATGTGTACGTTAATAAAGCTCTTATCCTACTTATATCATAAATAACTATTTTAGCAATGTTCCACAATACAGGATACTGTGTTTAAATGTTGCGCTGCAACCAGAATTGATAGCCCTGGTTGAACTTCTGCCTAAGCTCCTCGTCTGTGCTGATGGTGATCAACTCTTCTTGCATTATCACATTGGCTTTATTATATTTATTATTGGATTTATTATCCATTGAGGAATTTGTATATTTAAGGGATCCTCAAACCTCTTAGTAAACTCCTTTCATGAAGCATTTCTAATAATTTTGACAAATGCGGAAACTGTGAATATTATTTTCTGCTTAGATTTTGTTTATAAAGGATAAGTTTACCCGCAAAGGTTGTTATTATTGTTTTTGTTTAGTCAAGTTGAGATCATCACCCTGTAGCTGCCAATTATCTTTGTTAACCATACCAAGGATATCAGTCAAGTAATAAATATCTGTTTTACAATTGTTCAGATTTTCTTTCAAATTCGGATCTTTTTCTTGTAAAAACTTCAACACAGTGAATCACACAGTGAATGACCAGTACCTCAGGCAGTTGTCGCTTTAAGTGAGCTATAAAACCACGATGACGACCAACCATAGATGGTGCACCATCAGCCGCAACAGAAACAATGTTCTTTCATAGAATAGCTTTGTCAGTAAAAAACGTTCCACGACTTGAAAAATCGATTCTCCTCTGGTATCAGTTTCTAAATATGTAGCAAAAAGCAGTTCTTTTTGTCAGCATGTACTCTTGATAAGTGGTCCTCCATTTTTGAAGGCTTCATAGCTTCGTTACTGAATACTTTTTCACATATGAAACACATCGGCAAGTGTTGATTTGATAGAGATAGAATAAATCCAAACTTCAAGTAGTCCAAACTGTATTGTCGGCCATCATAAAACTCGCAGTAAACCAGCAAATCAAAAAAAATATATATGTTTAGGAAACTACTTAAAAAAACTGTTAAATATGCATATTTTGCTTATTTTTATTACCCTTGGCACTGGGTGTTTTTTTTTTAGGTATTCTCATGAACTTACTCATTGATGAACTTAGATATAGTCACTGTAGTATAGAAAATTTGTATTAGGTACCAATCATCGTAAAAAACGAAAACAAAGAAAACTGAACATTTATAATTTTAGGTAACAAGTTTTCTAAAGTAACTTCAAAATATACTTTAAACGTGTTTTGGTACTTAACTTTACTAGACAAATTAAATGTACTTGTAGGTTTATTCTTATGTGTATTTTCATATTTGAATTTTGACAAGGTATATTTTTTTATTCACTCAAGAGTTTTTTATTAGAACAAATAAATGATTATTTAAATGTTAATAGTAACCACTTTGTTTTTAATTTAAAGACTAAAATTTCTGACTAATTTCATATGCATATTAGGCATATATAAAGAACTATTAACCAGCTTCATTCTCTTAACTGAGGTATGATTAATTGTTCTCTATCTACTTTCTACTTCGTTTTTAGTTTCAAGACTTACTTAACATTTCTAACTCGTTTCATAAAGAATCATTAACCAGATGTGTTCTCTTGAATGCTGTTTGATTAATTTTTCTATGACTTTAAATTATAATTTATCTCTTATACTCCCTTCAACCAATATTTTTACTAATTTTTTTTTTCAAACTGCAAGTTTTTGTGGTTTTATTTCTGTGCACCTTACTCACATCACAAATATTTTATATTTTGGCAGTCTTTCCCAATTCCATGGAATGTTTAAAATTAGGATTTCCCCTTTCTGATTTCTAAACAATCAAATTTCTAGGTGAACCATTTGATGTTTGGCAGCTAAAATGCTCGCACATGGTTTCTAGTAAACACAAGTGTTCAATAATTTCCTGTCTGGATATTACGTTTCGCGCCATTTCATTTTTCATTACCAGATAATTATTAAATATAACTTTTTAAAAATGAAGTTGGAAATTATAGATTGCCTGTAAATAATTAATGTTGGAGCTGTTTAAGACGTACCTTAATAAATTGTTTTGTTGTAGTGATGAATGTGGTTCTGATAGTGAAAATGAAACAAATTTAGATGAAGTTGATAATGTAAGTGAACCATCTTCTACAGATGAAAGCAATAAAGACCCTTCAGAACCTACGCTATCTATAGGACCACCCGAAACAGGTTAGTGTTTTGATTAATTTCGTATGATGTTTTAATCTAAAACAATTTATAAAACTAACAAAATTTCTGTTACATAAAATCCTTTTTTTTTACTTTTTGATTGTTATAAAACATGCTAAATTTATTATATATTGCCAAATAATCTCAGTTGTGATTAACACTAATAATAAAGTTTCAAAGTACTTGAACATATTTTAATATTAAATAGTTCTTATTATGAAATTTATTCTTAAATTCCATATTTATTAGGACTTAATTTTTTAAATTGGTATAATGAATTAACTGTTAATATGTGTGCCATTACTTATGAATGGTTAAAAAGAAAATAAACAAGTAAAATACATTTTTTATTTGCTATTTAATATTACAGTAAAGACAAAAGCAATTTGTTATAAGCAGTTTTGATCCAAAATTAGATGAGCTATTAATCAGTGTCGTCTAAGTATGTATGTTATATGAGTTAAAAAAATAGATTAAAATTAGGTTTTTCTTGACAGTTTCAATATAGTTTTTTTTTTGGAATTATATATTTCTATACTCATTCAGTTTGAATATGTTCATAAATAGTACTATTCCCTAAAAATGTGGTTTAAAAAAATATTTTTTCGTTAAAGTATTTTTTAAATTATAAAAAGAATATGTGACTAAGTGGAGTAAAATTTTCCAAAATGTATACTCCTGTACAAAATTATCAAATATTTTTCCATATGTATAAATATATTTTGTTTTCCCAAAAATCATCAGTTTGCAGGTTTTGTTAAAAAAAAACAATTGAAGAGTCATCTATTTTAATGTAGTATTTCAAATTTGACCCAGTTTTTCGCAATTTTAGTTTACACTGGCAATGCTGATTGGTGTTGGTATTCATGGTATACAAAGTCACGTGAGTTAAAAATAAAAATGTATTTCTTCAAATTCTACACACATTATGGGAAGATGAGAACTGCACTGAGCAGGTAAAATTTATGCTTTATCGAGCGGAATTATAGTAACGCATCAATTATTTATTTTTGACTTGATTGGGCACATCAAGCTAATCTTTCCAATATGAGAAAGATTGAGAAATAATTATCACATTTCTAGGTCAACTCTAATGTACAAGTTTATTAATCTTCTATTTTTTGTTTTATTTTTCGAGAAGAGTAATTTTATAATTCATTGCCCCTTAAAAACCATAGTGATTTATTTTTAATTAATATTTAATAAATTCGTGTAGTTGGAAATATTTTTTTTATTCGTTTGTCTAACAATAACATTTTCGTGATAAATTTAACCTTTTCAGCACTGTACATAGTTCGAAAATAATGCAAAGATAGAAATTCAAAAAAGAAAAAAGATTTTTTTTTGATTTGACGAAATACATTTTTTTCATAAAGGAGCACTTAAAAAATATATTTTTTTTTTATTTTTAGAAAGCTATTTTGTATCAAAATTTGTTGTCATCCAAATTGTTCCAACATTATCAGTTTTGCAGTATTTATAGAGAGCTCCACTTACTCACATCCCCAACTTTTTTACTTAACCTTTTCCAGATTCATTATTAACCACAATAATTCGTTTCTATGCTCCTTTTATAAATGTGATTTCGTCCAATCCAAAAAAAATTGGTTTCTTTTTGTTTTTTCATATATGTTAAGAAAAACTTATAGGAGGGTATAGGCACTGCGAGTGAACATCTTTATACATCGTGTACAACGCCTACCACCTCTCCTGCGACCTGCAAGCTCATGGAAAGTTCAAATTTAGTAATACACGCACTATTGTGGGGCATTGTTCTCTTTAATTAAATAAAGATAATATTTACGTAATTCCATGATTCTACAATTAAGAATTATTTGCAAATGAAAAATAATAACTTAATTTTGAATTATCAATTCATATAAAAGCGAAATACCACTCACTAACTCATCACCAGATCTCCAAAACTATAAGCCCGATTAACTTCAAATTTGCATAGTTACTCCTTTCTGGTCGTAGCCATCCACTAAGAACGGATTTTATAAACATCATAATTTAAGGGGAGGAAAAAGTTTGATGGGAGCATCGAATTTTTTAAAGGTAGGAACTTAAAAATTGGAATTGTAGCTACTCATCATAAATAAATAATGATGTAATACAAGGTTTTCGGATTTTACATTTTAAGGAGAAGAAATTTGTATGGGAGTATAGATTTTTTTTAAAGGTAGGAAGTTGAAAATTTGAATTGTAGCTACTCATCATAAAAAATAATGACGTATTACAAGGTTTTTAGATTTTTACATTTTAAGAGGGGTAGATGGGAAGGTGAACGTTTGTATGGGAGTATAGATTTTTTTAAAGGTAGGGATTGAAAATTGGAGTTGTAGCTATTAATCATAAATAAATAAATAATGACATTTCAGGGTCTTTGCATGTTTACATTTTAAAAGGGGGGAATCGGGGGTGAAAGTGTGTAGGAGGTATCGAATTTTTAAAGGTAGGAACTTGAAAATTTGAATTGTAGCTACTCATTATAAATAAATGATGACAAGTTTTTTGGATTTTTACATTTTAAGGGGGGAAAATGGGAGGATGGACGTTTGTATGGGATTATAGATTTTTTTAAAAAGCTACTCATCCAAAATAAATAATGACTAATTTCTGGGTTTTTGCATGTTTACATTTTAAAAGGGGGAAATCGGGGATGAAAGTGTATAGGGAGTATCGAATTTTTTAAAGGTAGGTACTTGGGGGTATCGGGGGTATCGAATTTTTTAAAGGTAGGTACTTGAAAATTTGAATTGTAGCTACTCATCATAAATAAATAATGACATATTACAAGGTTTTTGGATTTTTACATTTTAAAAGGGGGAAATGGGTGGTGAACGTTTGTATGGGAGTATAGATTTTTTAAAGGTAGGAACTTGAAAATTGGAATTGCAGCTACTCATTATAAATAAAGACTTATTTCAGGGTTTTTTGATATTTACATTTTAAGAGGGGACATTGGGGAGTGCAAGTTTGTAGGGGCATCGATTTTTTTAAAGGTAGGAACTCGAAAATTGGAATTATAGTTACTCATAAATAAATATTGAAGTATTTCATGGTTTTTGATTTTCACATTTTAACGGGGAGAACATTTGTATGGGAGTATAGATTTTTTAAAGGTAGAAACTTGAAAATTGGAATTGTAGCTACTCATCATAAATAAATAATAATGTATTTTAGGGTTTTTGGATTTTATATTTTAAGGGGGAAATTGGGGGTAAAAGTTTGTAGGTATGGGAGTATCCATTTTTTTAAGGTAGGAACTTGAAAATTGAAGTTGTAGCTACTCATCATAAATAAATAATGACGTATTTTAGGGTTTTTACATTTTAAGGGGGACATTGGAGGTGAAAGTTTGTAGGTATGGGAGTATCGAATTTTTTTAAAGGTAGGAACTTTAAAATTTGAACTGTAGCAACTCATCATAAATAAATAATGACATATTTCAGGGTTTTTGCATATTTACATTTTAAAGGTGGGAAATCGGGGGTGAAAGTGTGTCGAATTTTTTAATAGGTATGAACTTGAAATTTTGAATTGTAGCTACTCATCATAAATAAATAACGATATAATACAAGGTTTTTGGATTTTTACATTTTAAAGGGGGCAATAGGGGGTGAACGTTTGTATGGGACGTAGAAACTTGAAAATTGGAATTGTAGTTACTCATCATAAATAAATAATAACGGTTTTGGGATTTTTACATTTTAAGGGGAAATTGGGGGGGGGGGGGGGACTTTAAAATTTGAACTGTAGCTACTCATCATAAAAAAAATAATGACGTATTGCAAGGTATTAAATACAAATATTTGTGAGATATAAAGGAACTTTTTCTTTCTTTTTCTACCTTTATTCTACAAAAATAACAAATTTATGCTGCTATACTTATTTTAAAGTGTTTATTGTACATGTTCACTGATCCGATTACGATGCTCTCTGACATTTTATGAATACTGACCTGCAATTAATAGAGATGGGTGCACCTACATCATATGGCTTGTACATATTTTTTTTAACCTGTATATACATCATCATTTTGGCAGCATTGTTTAGAATCACCTTGTATACTAGTATTAGTTTCTGTTCTGCTTGATAATTATTCTATTTTCTACTTAACCAGTAAATTATCCATTATTTCCCAAAATGACCCTCGACAGGTTTTTTCACTTTTCACAAAATGGTCGTTGGGCAATTTAAATGCAGTTTAGTATTTAAACTAAATCATTCTTGATACATTATGGATATCTTTTTACCTTCTAAACCTAAAAGTATATATATTTTCACATATTGCCATGAAAAGTGAATCGTGTACATTTGCTTAAAATAGGTACTCCAAAGTTTGCAATATTGTTAAACGTGTTCTTGTTGCCAAACATACTTGAAGTAATCTGTTCCAGGCTTATGCATGGATTGGTTAGAATGAATCATTATTCTAAAATGAACTACAACTGAAAAACAATGTATTTCTAGTTGTTTAATGTGTATAGGTACAACGATTTTACATAGATGTACAAATATATTATAAAAAAAATATTTACTTGTTGGTAGTAGCGTTCCACTTTCTTCACTTTTTAGATACTAATCATCTGATTCACTAACGATCTTTAAACGTACCTGTAAGTTACAGATGGGTAAACTTTAATGAGTTTCTAATAGAGTTGGGCAATATTTCAAAGACTGTCATTTAATTACTCATATTTAAAAATATCGGTAAGCTGATATTGTTTGCATGTTCTAAAATATTAACTAATATTTAATTAGTTAATGATTTGACGAAACAAAACTATTTCTTTATATTTCACTAATTTATTTATTGACGGGAAAACCTCATTACATTCTTAAATATATTAAATGACTTATTTTTGTTTATATTTTATAAAACTGACAACATAAACATAAGACATGACTAGTGAGAACTAAAAAAAATACAATTAATTGTTTTATTTTATGTCTAAATTTATTGTAGGAGTCATTGAAAACATTATTGTTTTTACAGCCATTTAGGATGTTAAGTGTTCTGGTAATAGGTGAGAGTTTGCCATAGTTCGTCGAGTAAATAGGGTTTAAAATGAATCATTTGTTCTTAGAAGTCTAGAGGGAATGTTTAGATATATTTGCTCCAGAATGTTAAGACATTTGTAAATTATGTTCTTTTCTCCAGTTGATCTACATTAAGTAATTTTAAATTTTCAAAATAATTATCCTAGACATTCAATTTAAAAGAGCAGTACAACTTTAATAAAAGGTACTGCCATGGGTAAAAATTAAATATTTAATTTAGTCTTCATGATATAGGTTCATACTTAACATAGACACAACTATTTAGTTTCTAAATTAAATTAGGACAGTGTAATATTTGCTTTTTATAACGTCTTTCATTTTTTTGTAGTTGCAAGCAGTGGCGGCTCGTGGGGGGGTTCACAGTGACAGAATATAGGTATCAGTACAGATGTATGAAAAAAAAAATCAGTATTTTAGAAAGTTTCTAATATACCTTTCTAAAACACTGACAGTTTTTTACCTATATCTGTACCGGGATCTATATTCTGCTACTGTGAACCCCCAAAATTTTGGTAACGAGCCACCCCTAGTTGCAAGTGATACCATCATTTAATTAAAATCCTCATTGCTACATCTCTCTGACACTTTATCAATACCTCTAGCATTTATAGATAGGTCATATTTCTATAACTTCAAATTCATTAGAGACAACCTACAAAATAAAACATATAATAAAATTGTCATACTTCTGAAATATCTTTGGTACATTGATCTTTCTTGGCCGGCAACCTCATCTGAGATCTTTTTAAGTTAAGTACTTTATATCATTGCAATAAGAGCCTATTTCTTGATGGAACTCATTCATCCCTTAAATCG